ATGTGACCATATTGTTGCTAATTGGGGTGGAATGGGTTCATGCTAAAGTCAGACTGTGACTAGAACCTCTATCTTAGCCACCCGCGCGCCGGTGAAGAGAGATGCGGCGGCTGTCGTTCTTGAGGTAAACAGGAAGCAGATTTCGGTGAGGGAAATCTAAGAGGTGTCTTGGAGACTCTTCTTGTGCTCGATGCCTTAGTAATGGCATATGGAGCTGCGTTGGTGGGAAGCGGGTTGCCAACGGACATCAAAATCCAGATGATGTACTGTTTGAAGGTATTGACGTGTGATGGATTTCATCATAAAAGGAGTTGAAACTCGCATTACTACCCCGGTTTAACTTTTTGCTGGCGGTGAAAGAACGTCTCCCAGTAAAAGGAAGCCCTTCTTTTCCGTAACTCTTATTAAAAGAAGGAGGTTCAAGAGCCCGTCGAAGGTCTTACCCTAGAGGCTGTTGGACACAGACTGGGGAGCCATGGCAAAGCAAACATGCACTGAACAATGCACAAGCTACAGGCTGAGACTGGCGAAAAGGGCAGGCAGACTTCCCGTACCCTCTGATATAGGAGGGCGATATATTTCAGAGTACGGCAGGGTACTCTGAATGGCTTCGAGACGGAATGCTCGTTTTTGGCTGCGTCGCGCTTTGTGTCGGCATTGGGAGGCCGCTTCGAGGAAGTTACTACCGGTACCACGGACTCGGCCAGGCTGCGAGGAAAGGAGACATAGATAGCCCTTCAGCCTACATCTGACATTGTGTAGTTGTTCTGTCGTCATTCGGCGGCCATGTTGAAAAGACTTGGCATCTGAAGCGCCAATTCAATAACAACAAGGCTTTGTACTGGCGCTCCCGACGAGAAAAGTGGTCTAGAGGCAGCGGCTGCAGATGTGCTTCAGCTTGGGCGGAATTTTTTGGTCAATCTGTATGCTGCAGCAGCATATTCACATTGGAAGACAGGAGGCCATCCGCAATGTCATGGCTGCCAGTGGCGTTTAGACTTGCTGCCTGGGCTTTGTTGAGACGTAGGGCATGAATGACGTGTCATGTATGGGAGGCCAGCCAAGGTGCCGCATACCTACTCGTTTTATTGGAGTGGGAAGACTCTCGGCGTCCTATCAACCTACTATATGGTTAACATGAGTCCAAGTTCGAGCTCGAGTCTCGGGTTGGAGTTGACGTACTGTATGGCTACTTATTGGAAAGAAAAGAAGGGTTGCCGAATCTAAGACGTACACAGTGCTAAATATGGAGATGTCTGGGCTCTTGTTCTCACAGCAGACGAATTCGCCTGCGCTGAGCGTGATGCAAATAAACTACCGACAAGAGTTAGTTGTGGGTAATGGGTACCCTTGCGAACGAGCGGCAGTAGGGTGTTTCGCGAGACCAAAGATTGTCAGGCCTCATGAGAATGAACAGCTTTGTCTTTCAATGACTGTGAGAACCAGTCACATCATGGTCGCGAGCAGTGGCGTCACCCCTTCGCGCCAACACCTAGCATTTCGGAAGAAAGAAAGCTGCTAACCTTGAGGAAAGGAACACACCCCGTTGTCATGACGATTAAATGGTTTAACCTTCTCAGTCGTGCGCACAATAAAGTCCTTGAAAGCAAGACGTGGCGCTGAGATGCTCTGCACTAACGAAGTACCGTAAGCTGTCTGGAAGTGAAGCTACGGTATTCCCGTCGCCTGCCATGGCTTTTGCTGTCTCTGCCGTTGGAATGGCCAAATGTAGACGTTGGGGTACCGTACGATTATCCAGGTTATTGTTGTGGTGCGGCATTGAACAGACGAAGGAATCTTGGCCAGACTCAAGGCTAGTCCAATAAGTTTCGGAGGGTTATGTCAGGATGAGACTGGTGACTGCCGATAAGATATCCTCGCAAACCCTGCAAAGGCCCTGAAGTCAGCATTGAAGAGGCGCTTCAGATACCTGGCAACTCCGCGGCGATGGAGAGAAGAAGGGAGGCTTTTCAAGGCCCGCCGTCAATAATCAAAGTATTCCCGGGGGTTTTCCGGGAGCCTTCGGCGCTTCTGGTGATGTCTTACCTTCAAAATATCAGCGACTGGGCTAAGAATCTGCGTCGCCCAGCTCCCGCTGCAGAAGATGCCTATCACGGAGGTAGCATCGTTATCGTCCAACAACCAGTCATTGAGGATTTCAGTGACGGCCAACCAACACTGAGAATTAGAGGGAGCTAAGTTGCTTGAAGTTGCTTGAAAAATGATAGATGGTGTGAGTGTAGTTCGCTACCAGACACGTCGAGCCTCGAGGTGCCCCGCCTCGAAACCATGGGGCATATACTCTATGGAGACCGACTCGAATCAATCGCCGACAGTAGAGATACGGGCGAGCAAGCAAAGACAGCTGACCGGATCCTTGTTGCTGCCGTTGACACGTCGAGGAAAAGCCCGTGGCCAAGGCAGAGAAAGAGGGGGGCCCGCGACTACTCCTCGCTCGATCCAGGCTGGAAAGCTTACTACAGAGATTCTGGCGAGCATCCGCAACTCCCTCCAGCATGGGCGGAGGCGCAGAACTAGTTAGCGGTTTAGTTAGATGTTTGTGGACGATTGGGCTAAACTCACAGTGAAGCCGGAAATAGTGCTAGTGAAGGGATGGGGTTGTGAAGGCTGTCGGCCCCGGCCCTATGGTCTCTTCTCACCGTAATCCAACCTGGACCTTTCTGGAAGGGCTCAAGGTCATCCACCAGCCAGCGGCGAGATTGTGCCTGCCCTAGCGGCCGCGGGAAGGCCGTCTGGGATCCCACTTGAGTATAAAGACGGGCGGGCGCCAAGGCGAAGAGGACTCGGGAGGCTACGATTTTCAAGTTACTTTATTATATGTGGTTAGGTCATGTTCTGTTGTCTCACTGGCGCAAGTTCGCCATTAGGTTTGACGCGTTGTAGGGAAACCTGGGACCTCCTCGAAAAACGCGCTATCAAGTGACGACGCAGAGCGCGACCTAACCTTAAAATAACAAAATGGCCGCGAATGGGACCACCGTCGTGCTTTTGGCCTGCAACTTGCCGCAGAAAACATGAAGCAAGCGTATTCCATGCTTGTTCTCTACGTAGTGTTGGTCGTGCTGGTGAATAGTATCAATTGAACAACCCTCTCCGGCCTGCCCACTCTAGTGCCATCTTGCCCACCTGCCCAAGTAGGGCAGTAGGTAGACACACCTGCCTGTTTTCATATACCTTCTAATCTGTCTGTTATTCGCCTTGTCTATATAATGCGTTCAATTTTGGCTTATCGTATAAGCCTGTTACGGTTGGTGTGGATTTTCATAGTTTCGATGGGTCTGCTAAGGATGGTAAGCTTATTTTTCCTTCGTGAATATTATAGTCTCCAGTTCGGCTTACCACAAACCTTTCCTTTTTGCCCTACCCTTCATGTCGTACCTTTGGAGGTGCCAATCTAACTCCACAGCAACCGCAGAGACGGCAAGCCGATGGCAGAGACTGTGCTGGCTTGATTTAAGCTTTCACAATCAAACCCGTAAGTGCTCACGGCCCATGCTACTTTTGCGGACCTGAATTCGGGGCATCTATGACTGCCTGTGTTAATCACAAGCCTTGCCCAGCTAGAACCTCTCGTGATTGGGATACTTCTACAGCGAGTATATAGGCCTCGAATGAATTCCATGATACTGGGCTTACTTACAGATATTAAAAGACTTCAACAGTCATCAAATGTGATCTCTCTAATGCGTCGCAAGATTCCTTTGACAATATCCTCTGCGTTCGATTTCTCCGCCTTGTACCCTTCGTACTTGCGGATCGGGAGAAACGGGAGCTAAAAGGCGTCTACAGGTGTTGGTCGGGCTCGCAGCCGTGTGTCAGACCTCTTCCTGACCTTCCATTCCATCGATTCTTCTTCAAGCACCTCTCCGAAGCACTCCAACATCAGAAAGACGAACACCGAGCATCGCGTCACCAATTTGCGACCTTGAGAAGCTACTTCCACCAACGACACCATCACCACAACTTAGAGGACCTTGTTACAGTGCCACAAGGGGAATACACGCGGCAAGCTTCTCACTACCTCAAGATTTACAGCGCCTTCGACAAGGATTACAGAAAAATACAGAGTCTCATATACAAATGAACGAGCACGAAGGCTCCCATTCACTGTTTACTACTTCTCACGTCTTACGGTCGGCCGCAGCCCTTTCATCCCCCCAACCCCTCTTCAGACGCCTCCGCAGACACTAGAAACCTCTAAACGTCTACAATAAGCCTTAAAACATCCCAACTACGAACAGCGGCCGTTGAGTAACCGGCATTTTCAATCTCAATGAGTAGCTTCCAGGAATGCTGCGTCAACACCATACACGACTACGTTGCAAATCCAAAGCAAGGATGTCAACACAGCTGGAAAACTTCTCATCTCAATATTGACAGCACCTTCGACAATTCTCGCGCCAAGTACAACACCTCTTTTACCAATAACCGAAAACGAAGTTTCTTTCACTGCTCAATACATCTCATGTGTTATGGTTGCAGACTATTCGGATAGTCCATTTTCCTCCTATACTCATATTCGACTCTGGCCAAATCTTTGACTTGACTAGTCTATCATTTGCTTGGACGAATCTGTAGGCATACAACAAGGGCATACATGCGCGCATGTGCATTTTCCAAGTCAATTAATCTGGAACTCTCCGCGTCACGCCTATGATGGCCTTGCTTACGAGTATAAGAGCCCCCGGTACCCGAAGACCATAACCTCCGTACTCTCTAGATACATAACAATTAGCTTAAAGCATAGGGAAAACTATCAATTATTTCAGAGTTTAGAACTCATAAGTGCTGGGATTGAGGGCACTAGGTATTCAGCTGCAAAACAAAAGATAAGAGAATAGGGTATTAAGCTTCCAACTGTCTGAACCCTGACTCCAGAAAAACATTCAATCAACAACTCCAAATATCCAGCGAACCCCCGGTTAGAAACTCCTCACCTCAAAACACTTTCATAATTGCCCACACCCTACTTTGGGAAGCTATTTAAGTCTCCTTCTCCGCACCAACTTCTCAGCCGCTATCACTGCCAGCCCACAATCCCGCCGAATATCCACCTTAACAATCCGTATCTCCCAGTACAGAATCCATTTACCCACTGTAGAGTCAATGACCTGAGCCATCAGCTGGGCCTTGATATCCGGGATCGTAGAAGCCTAGTTTGGGCAGTGAACGTCGACTCGAAGAGTTCTATCATCTTCTCAGTGAGATGTGACTTGATCAAGTACCCATATTTACGAACGTAGAGTATGGTATAATCTTCAACGCCTTGTAGTGCTCTACCGTCCCCATTGCGGGGTAAACAGGTATCTTGTCTCGCGGTGTTAGGAAGATTGGTTGTGAATCTATAGCCGAATCTTTGCTCGTGCTAGAGCTCCAGAGCTGAGAGCCAGGGGGTGAAGCCAAAGCGCTAGATTCGCGCACTCTCACTGGAGACCAGGTCTTCACATGTTTGAGCGCCACTTCTCCAGAGCTCAGGGGTGGGACGGCGTCTGTGAGGACTAACTGTTTGGTAGGAGAGGCAACACTGGTGGTGGGAGAGGAAGAGTGGACGTAGAATGCATCATCGGCTGCTAACTTAGCTAGAAGATTGTGAGATTGGCCCCATGGGCGTTCGTAGGGTTCTGGTGGCTGCTTCATTCCTGATTCCTCTGCAGTTGGACGGCCTGACTGGATCATTGTGGGCTTGATGGAAGAGGTGCTGGAGGAGTCCGCCATATTCGCGCCGTGGATGTCGTTGTCGAGTTCAAGGATCTGGTCGTCACCGACACTGAAGTTAACATGATGTTGACGGTGTAGGGTTGTTGGCGGCACAGCCATGCGGTGGGCCGGAGATGAGCATCTAGCAGCAGTGAGTGTATCACCATTCACGCCTTCTCCAGGTGCGTGCTGCTCTTCATTAGCATTGTTCACACAACTGACAATGCTTACTATAAGCTTTTTGAGTGAACCATTGGTTCTATATTACATTTTTTGAGTGACTTGCATCATCAAGTCCAAAAATATGGCTCCAGGAACGTGGAGCAATTCGCTGTCGCCGCCCTTCACCAGCATCTCTGTCTTCCATGCCTCGAATTATCTGAGGGACAAGAAACTTTCTCGTTGGCTGAGGCTTAGTCGGCCTTGGTAGCGTCGGACAGTACCTGTTGGTTGCATTCCTTGGCGTAGGCGGTACTAATCGAGTGCTAGTCTTCACAGGTGGTCGTGGTCCTTGCACAGCGGCTTGCGGTGCCCATAGAACTGCCTTTGTATCACCCGAGGCCTCCTTGTCGGGCGAGGCTTTTACAATTTCAGACTTGTAATTTAGATCTGGAAGCCAGTATTCTGGAATGCCTGGATGCAGCTTATCCGCCTGGATACTAGCATCGCGACAGGCTGGATGAGGATTTTTAACAGGACCCAATTTGCGCTTTGGGAATGAAAGATACCTAGGTGGAGGGCGAAGGCCACGCTGCGAAGAGGTGCGGAAGGGATGGAGAGAGGTAGTTTGATGCTGGGTTCTTAGTTCACCCTGTTTGATAGCTTGAAATTGAGTATCTAGGAAACTTTTTGACAGAATCTGGTTGGTTTGGCGCTGCAAAACGGCTTCTTGACGATATTCAGGGCAGAGGATCTTGCGCGGAAGAGAACATAGGGCGAGAGAGAAGGGAAATTGGAGGGGCCCTTCTCTAGGCTGTCTCTTCATCTTCTGGTTTGCAGTTGGTTTGGCAAAATCGTTGATGATAATGCCTTCTAAGTCGGTAGGATTGACGGCGATGTCTTCCCAATCATCTTCTTTTCTTTCTTCTGTACGCTCAGACATATCCTGCAAGGGCTGAGGAGTTGCCTTCGAGGTGGAAGCAGAACTTAGAGAGGAGTGTTGAGAAGATGGTGTAGGAGTGCTCGCAAGAAGAGCCTCAAGATCCTGAGCAAGTAATCCGCCGATCTCGTGCATTTTAAGTTCTCCATCTTGATCCATTATTTTTGATGATGTAGTTTGTTTTCCGCTGTCGATCTTCCGCAAGGGCGGAGTCTTCTTCAAGGTTGGCCTTGAACCAGCAAATAGCTTGACAAGAAGCTTCATCATCAGCGGAAGAGAAGAAAGGCCCTCTTGTATCCCATCGATAACTTTAGCATTTGTTACGGAAGTGGCTTTTGGGGAAATTGGGACTTCTGGTATTGGGGAGCATGTCCTCGTTGACAATGGTGAGAAGGGATATGATGGCAGTGATGGTTGGGAGAAAGGAGAGTCTTCAATGGTACAAGAGTCGGTTGCTTTGATGGTGGCGCGCAATTGTGTTTTCAGCGCGAGAGTTGCTGCCCATGGAGTTGCATTTAGATTAGATGACATCTTTGTCTCTTCGTCTGTGGTTGTCGCTGTTAGAAATGTTGAGATGTTGGAATGCTAGCTCCTTTCGGAATAGATACACATACCTTTCGATTCTATCGACTCTGCTAACTCCGGTTCGCTCTCGACAATTTCGACTTGTTTTGTATCCAAGAACTTCACTTTCTTGAACGTATTTGTCTTTGGTGGCGTAATGGTCGGGGAAGTAGTTTGAGACGATTCCGCGCTTGAGGGCGCGGGCGCTCCATCGCTACTGTTCTCGAACGCCGTGTAGGACACAAGCATAGAAACTAAAATAATTAGCTCATGGGTGATTCTGAACGACGCAAGGCAACAGGACACTGCGTATTAGAGCTTCGTACCTTTAGAATTTTCTCCGCCGCCTCCACTAAGGGACGGTATGGGCTTCATCCCTTTCCTTTTGCCTCTCATCTTGCTTCGGTCGAATTGCACACGTCTCTTTCGAGGTCTTGTGGAAGCCATGGTTGGCACTTCGGGTATGGTATCGAAGGAGGGGAATGTATTTTGGTGAAAAAGAGTCTGGGGGAAGAGTTATGTGCTACTTAAGTGCCAAGATGGTAGCGCATTTGGTATCCCTTTCACGCGCAATCACTATTCCAAGGTTTCACGTTCTCATAGTCAATGCTACTAAGTTTGGGGACAGGCACCAAGCCTCCTGGCTGCTCACTTGCATCTACGAGGTACAGGGATGACGTCTCTTTAAAGGTCTCGAGCTTCAATATTGCTATATTCTTTTATGTTCGGATTCCCAAACACTTCTATTTACATGTTCGGTCACAGCCTCCATCCTAATAATCCAAGTGAATCCTGCCTCCCTCATCTTAAAAAATTATATCTTATCTTCCTTCTTACCTTCTTCCTATCATGTTCATGATTACCCACCTCGAAGGCTTCGCTAAACCCACTGCTTCCTTCTTTCACCACCTCACCTCGGCATTAATACAGCATGTATCTACTCCACCGTGCCACTTTGGCATCTTCCAAGCCCACAACTCCCCATTGCCACCCCTATCCGCGGAAATGGATACGACCGGAGGTGGCTACAATATGTCAGCGTCACACTTAGTAGGACCAATGGTGGGCATGTCGAATGGCCTTCATGTCTTCCTATCATTGCCAGCGAGAGTGTAGCCAAGCAGTAAAATCTCCTAAATAAAAGTATGCTCGTCATGACTGATTTCACCAAACTTGCTCGTGTTTTGTGTCCATCTCTCTGAGTCACTGCTATAGTGCAGGGGAGGTGATCATAAAAGCTGTTCGTTTACATCTAGCAAGGAGCTGTGTCGGCGCCAACATTTTCGGGATAGTAAGCTTGTTGGGTTGGCTGGCGGACGGAGACTGCATTGGCCACTGATATCGTTGAGAAGCTGCGACTATCCTGGCTGTTGATTCACTGCTAGCAAGGAATCAGCTCAAGATAGTCGTCTTCTAAGAAGCGGCGCACCCACTTTTAAGCCTACATAGAGAAGACTAAGCAGTGTACTGCCATTATGATAAATGTGTTCTGTTGAGTAGAGATAGTAAACCTCCTGGCAGTTGCGCTTCAGCCAGGAAGTTTCTTGAGAGAGGCGGAGAATCATCAGCGCACGTACTTTTGCGAAACAGGGCCGATAGTGCAGATATTTAAAAGACTCTGCCTTATTATTCTGTGCAAGGTTTCGGCTCCTCTACCTCAGCCCTGACTGGGGGCAGTTCAGTGATGGAATAACAACTGTGAAATACTAGCTTGCTAAGCCTTGCGGCTATAATTATCTAACTTGATACTCTTCGTATATGTTTAAGAGGGTTAAGCACGAGTAGAGACGGTAAGTATCCTCTCGTTTTAGAGCTATCTAGCAAGTGCCCATCAAGGGGAGAATATCTCCACAGACGTGGGGCGATTTCCCTCACATGATTGTTGCTTATTGGGAGGGCTGCGAGTAAGCTGTTGAGTAGTACATCGCAAAGCAAGGATCAAATGGGTGTCAAAAGATGTGTATTCTAATTGTGAAGGCCATCTACCTGGACGCCCAAAACTTGCGAGGTATCATGATCGTGTGCTCGTTTCGCTACTAGTTCCACTAATTCTCCCACAGTTCCATGTTGAGAACATCCTTTTCTGCACAGATGAAGGTAACTACTCACTATCAGCCCAATAATAAAGAGAAGCATCATAAAGGTCACCTACCAGTGTTGCCGCGAATGAATGCATCTCCCCACGAGCGTCCTTTGAGGCCGTCCTTGAGGTACTCATGGCATCCCTCGATGGCTACGTTCATGTAACCGTCGACGGACTGGAGTTTACCTACTTCATGTTACGACTCAGCCATCAATATAGAAGGAAAGACATGCCCTTGAAGGTAAGACCCGAGTTCAACTTGACCCTGACGACTTCACCGCGCAAGCCGTGAAGGTAGCCAACCGGATGGTTAGTGTCGAGCGCCCTGTCATACTCTTCCTCGTCGGAAGAGCTGGCGTCGCCGTTCGAGGGCCTGAGACTGAGCCCTTGCACCCCAAGCCTATTGTTTGGGGCGGGATTATGGACTCCCCTTTCACGTGGCGCCATGTTTGGAAGGGAAGTTTGATGATCTAAGGCCGCAGAATCGAAATATCTTGGAAATGGTGTAGACCTTACTCGGAGTTGTCGGAATGCGTCGAGGTTGCCGACTCCAAGTACGCAAAGTGGGTGGTTGAGTGTTTTGGTGATGCCAAAGAAGTGAAGCAGTGGTCGGTGAATTTGACGAAAAGGCGCCGATCTCGTGCACGGTTCACACCGCTGAATTCACGGGGGCGTGATCACGCGTCAGCCCTGCGCACGCTCCCGCCCTTGTCTCCACAACCGAGACTTTAAACTCACATCTCAAAACAATACCGACTCTCTCTGCTGTCGAAATGACGGACAACGCCAAAAATGGTGCAAAGGTACCGCCGAAGAAGCGCTCTTTCTTCAAGAAGGCGGCTTGGCAGACTTCAGCGAAGGCTGAAGATGACCAGGAGGAAGATATATTCAGCCACTCCAACTCGTACAAAGATATCGTTGCCGAGCAAGCGAAAGCTAAGAAAGATGAGAAGAAGAGGAGAGAGGAGGAGAGGCAACGCACAGATGAAATCCGCCAAGGCAAGAAGCGCAAGGTTAGTGCAGAGTCCAGCAAGACGAAGCTACCTACCAGCGGTTCTGGGGACTCCCCTCAAGCAATGCTCAAAGCGTAAGTGCACAGTTTTATGTCTTACACCCTCTGATACCTATGGCATCCCGACCCCTGGGCTGATTGCAAGATAGCAGGTCTCCTCATTCTCCTCTCCCTCTACAGCCCACCCCAGACTCCCTCTCTGCGCGTGACAAGCCTGTGACACAGCCATCTGGCGTCTTCGCTGTCAACAGGACCGAAATAGTAGATCTGGGCCCTCCGTCCGGATCAGAGACCTCGGAAGAAACCCCCAAACCTTCCACCTCCCAGTCGACAGCCTTAGACGACGAGGTCGAGGAAGTCGAAGACCCGCTCCTTGCTGAACTGGCGGCCAAGGCCCGCGCTAACCATGGTGCTTCCCCGATTGAAGAGGTGAACCCGATTGTGCAACTCTTGATAACATCTGTCATACCTGAAACTAAGCCACTTCTCATCAACATCCGGATAAGCAGCAAGGTAGAGAGACCGCGGGTGGCGTTTTGCCAAGCTTACGGCATCTCTGGCGACAGAGCCAGCGATATCTTCTTAACGTGGAAAAGGAAAAGGCTCTTTGATAGCACAAAGATAGCGCGATTAGGCGTTAGCGTTGATCCGATGGGCCTTGTTTCTGTGGAAGGAGATTCAACTATCTCAGATGGGGAGGCAGAGGTGGTGAAAATTCACCTCGAAGCTTGGACTGATGAGCTTTTCAAGGAAATGCAGGAAGAGGAGGCGAAAGAGGCTGCGAGCCGGCGGCGAATTATAGCGCCGAGTCCGGTGGATTATGAAGCGCAAATTCCAGAGGAGACGCAGCCTCGAGTCAAGAAGACTCGACTGATTCTTAAGGCCAAGGGCCTGGCGGATTTCAAAATTTCTGTCAATCCCGTATGTCTTCTGCTAGTGCTTAAAGTTTCTTCTTACTAAAACATGCAGCAGGATACAACATTCGAGCATCTGACCTCGGCGTACAAGGAGGCCCTCAAAATCCCCGTAGGCCAGAACGTCACCCTCATGTTTGATGGCGAGAGGCTTCCAGTTTTCGACACCATCGTTGACGCCGAGATCGAAGACATGGATACGATTGAGGTTCACCTCAAATAGACTATCTTCTCACGGCCGCATTTTCCCTCCTTACGTTTCATGATTTAACGCCCTTTTTTCTCATCCATCGAAAAATATCCGCTTCACCACGTATGGACGCCCATATTTCAAGGAATCTACGTTCGTGGTTCAGCTTCATTCAACGAGCCAGACTCTGCGTTTTATTCTATTTTCATTCATTGATCGAAATCCGCGCTTATAAAATCCTGGATGCCGTAACCCGATGCATTTGCGTCGGTAATTTGGGTCAGCTCAAAGACTTGGGCTTTCTGGGAATATATATATATATATTCCCTCTCTTCGATCAAAATGGTACTGCTTTTACTATCTGGACCGCTAGAACCCGAAGGACTTGCGTCTGGGTCAAGCTTGCTTCATTCAACGGTCTGGATATACATCATCTCTTTCTCTTCTCTTCCTAGGCCGAAACTTTCCGGCGCCTCGCCTCTGAACTACATAATTCGAGGCATTTGTTTCAGTAATCTCTTTTTTTCCCTTCATAGATGAAGAGGTTTCAGGCATCTCACCTCTGAACTACATAATTCGAGGGGTCTACGTCGGTATTTCAGCTTCTTATACCGAGTTGGGGACCTGCAAGTGTCTCATTTTTTCTTTCCAAGGAGCAAAACTTCCTGGTTTCGGACATTTAAGCTGCCACCATTGGAGGCACTGGCGTCGGTAGTTCTACGGCATCTATGGATTACTGAGTTAGGCTCTGCAAGCATGGCGTTGGTGGCCTTTTGCATGGTAGTCTTTAGATATGGGTATGGCGAATGACTTATGACAAACGGGATACTTCAGCTTTCGTTAAAGCTTGGGCGAACATGTCGACATGGGCGTCGACAACTCGGGGTTGCTCTTAGACATGCTTTCCACAGCACAAAGAGTGAGCGACTCTTGCTTCATTATCTAAATATTACTTCTCCCCGATTTGCTTCATTCGTGAGGCTTGATAGAAACCCATTGAATCCATGTAAAGCTGTGAGATATTGCTTTACTAAACTATTCATTTGGTTACCCAAGTTTCCTTTCAAACCAGTCTTGCGATGGGGGGCGACTCCTAAAGCGGAATAGCGCCATTGGTGAAGAGAGGCTTAATTTTGAGCCTCATATCAGCCACACGTTACCCCGCCACGAACGCTTAAAACTTTTGTTCAGGACTACACCAGAACTTTACTACTGCAATTTCGATTTCACAATCATGTTATAAGAAGCTCGTCACCGGAATATTCAGTCCCCCCCATCTCTAGGAACGCCTAAAGCGATTCAAAGACTGTCCTCGATCTTCTCTCTCGCTCCGAAGCAGCTCAACAACCAACTCCAACTGACTCAAATCCACTACCCCTCGACCCGACCCAACCTGCCAACCGTCTCTTACAAAATGAAACTCCTAACCCTCAATTTCCTAACCTGCGCCATCAAAACCTGCAAAACGAGCCCATCGTCCTTTCCTCTACACCCACAAGACTCAGAACTCGAGATCGTCGAAGCAGATATCAACGTACTGTTCCTGCGAAACATGCTCCCGAGGCTAATGTGGAATGAACTCCGCCTTATTGTGAACGAAGTACGGTCTCCCTCCCTCTCCCTCCCACCTTCCCTTTCTGCCCCTCTCCTATCCTCTCACCCGCCAACTAACAATCTCCCCACGGCTCAACCTCTAACACCCCCACCAGCTCGGTCTCCCCTCCCTCCCGGAAACCGCACCAGACGCATCCTCCCTCCTCGAAACCAAGCTCCAAGTTCCTGAAGGCGATACCACTGGTCTGAACATCGAGAAAATCGAGGTTCCGAGCCAGGTCGCGAAGGATCTCCATCGCGTGCTGTTAGAGACGTGTATACGGGAGGGGAAACTGGTCTGTGGGAATTGTGGACACGAGTATAAGGTTATGGAGGGTGTTGCGAATTTTTTGCTGCCAGGGCATTTGGTTTAGGGGTGTTGGTTTGTGGGTTTGAAGTTTGGGATTTTGAGGGATGCTTGCGGCAACAGGGGAGTGTTGGGAGGGTGCTTACAGCAAGAGTTGCTGGAGGGTGGATCGAGGTAGTTAGGTTGGCTGTGGACATGATACCCTTTGATATTTATTGGAGTCCGGAGCTTTAGAGGGAAGGAAAATTGCTTCATGTGAGATAGGACTGGGAATTTAGGGTCAGGATTTGCAATTGAAGTAGAGAATTTCGGCCGCAGGAAAGTACGCACGCTGCTATGAGTCCAATATGAATCATTTGAGGAAATAGTTGCACTGGCAAATCGCTGCCAGCTTGTAGCAGGAGTGGACTTACTACATCGGCACCATTCATCATGGTATCTAAGCTGTTCTCCTAAACACCTAACCTCCGGCCCCCTTCCTCCCGACATTTCCCTATCCACCACCCCTTTCTCCAACTCCCCTATTAATTTGTACCCTCTTATCCTCACCAGTACTCACAATTCCTACATCCGCATCCCACCTCACACCAAACACCTTAACCCCATCCCCACTCGCTTTGCTCTTGCCCCCCATACCCTCCCTTTCAACTACATACACACTCTCTCCTACTTGTCCGCCGTCTACCATTGCTCCCGCATTCGGCTTCACGCTACGTACGTCCCAGATCCTGCATGTTCCGTCGTGAGACGCTGAAACTAAGCCGTACTCGGAATTGGGATTTGTGTCGAGAGATACCACGGCATTGAGATGGCCGCGGAGTGTCATTACTGCGATTTGAGTCGCTGAAGCCCGCGGATCAATCAGCGTGATGTGCCGGGCGGATGTTCCTGTGGCAAGGAGGTTGAGCTTAGGGAGTGCGGTGAGGGAGAGCAAGGAGTGGGATGTCGTCCGTGTGTCGACACATGTTGAGGTTGGCAGGTCCCATGTTCGCAGTGTGTGATCGTGGGAGGCGGAGTAGGCGACTGTAGCGTCTTCAGGCTTAAATATCACATTTGATGCGGGTGCTGTGTGCCCTGATAAAGTGGTTAATGCGCCGCGGGTCGGAACGGATTTCTCGGGCTTGGACAGCTTTTGTCGTTTGTTTGACGCTGTTGTTGACGTTGGGAGGAGGGTTGAGGGCGCAGCAGGACTGTCTTTTGCTGTAGCGGAGAAGAGGGAAATAGTGGCGTCCGTTGAAGCAGACAAGATGCGGTTTGTTGGGCCATGGACAGCAACGTCTTCAACACCCCACCGGTGGTTGTAGAGTTCCAGAGATTGCGTTATCGCACGTGTGTCCTCGTCGTATTTGTAAACTCGGACCACATTGTCCAAGCCTGCAGCCACGATCTTCTTGTTTGACAACCATTTGGCCGTCTTCAAGCTTGTGATCCGTCCACTATTATATGGGGGCGTAGATATCGCAATTGCGTCTCCGGAAAGATTCCACACTCTGAGCAAACCATCATAGCTTGCAGTCAATATTTGTTCCTGTCCACTCTGTATCCCATGTTCACCCGACCACACCCCAGCCGGTGAGGTTTGGGAGAGAACATCGACGGCGGAAACCCAATCATCGTGTTCGAAACTTGCGACATGTAGTGGGGGTATTAGTGCGCGCGTGTACTCGACATTCAGCGTTGACTCGGCGCTGATGCCGTTCTGGGTGAGGAATTCGTCGATCGAGGTCCGTAGGAATTGGCCATTGATGAGAAACTCGAAGGGTATCGGCTTTTTGGTATGCAATAGGCTGTTCACGAGGCTTGAGAGCGCATATCGTCGCAGTGCTGTAGGTTATTACTATACCGCAACCGAGATTGGGAGAGGTTGGTGCGGAGGTGAAGTTGGCTTACAAGTTGAGACGAGCAGTGCGCCTGGATCTTCTGGTAACTCAATATCTGCATGCCTGGTGCTAAGACGAATTTGCACCTTAGGCTGTGAGGGTTCTACTCTATTTGAATCCATGGCGTGGGGATGTGAATCGTGCATGTATAGAGCTCTAAATTTTTGGATGGAGGTCGGAAATTTTCGAAACGGGTTTAGGGCGGATGAAGGTCGGCGTTTGGAAGATCCGCGTCACGTGTCAGTCTCACGCCTCCCTTTTCGTAGGTGCCAAGGTACGTGTGTTAGCATTGCATGGCTTGCTAGAGTCTACAAGTCATGTAATTGCTTAATTGCGAATTGGTGTTTCTGCGTGTTTGATGTTTGGTGTTTGGTTCCATCTCAAGCAAAGTATACATATATTTAATTGTGCCGTCAGCCTCATTCTCGATGGCAGCTAAATACACTAGTTCCTCACACAGATAATAGTCGTCGCAAAGCCAAATTCAATCCAATAATCTCTCTACTTATACTGTGCTCCGAGAATGCTCTACCTATCTGCCCATGCAATGACGCTAATGCATGCTCGCTCTCCGAATCGCTCCAATAGCTTTCCGTCGATAATCGCTCTCAGCAAAAAGAGCCTTTATCAAATCTACTACCTCCTCAGCCTCCATCTCCAGCTTCAACTCACTACCCGTCCAAAGAAACTGGATATCGGCCAAACTAGAATCCAGAATCTCACCCAAGTACTGGAACTTGAACCAGTTGGGCGTGTACACGTTGGTCATATCCCTGCTCGTCCCCGCTGCGTCCTCCGTTTGAAACAAAGAGGACAGTGAAGAAAGAGAGACAACATATCCATGCAGTTTCCTAGACTCGTCTTCAGCGATGTCGGTTATATCTTCGACGTCGGTTATGAATTTCGTGAGGGCGGTTGAGACAAGGGAGCCGAGGGATTGGAGCAGCGCAGAATGTGAGAGGATGGTTTGCCATTGTCGTTTGACTTCAGTGATGCGATCAATAGTCATGGCGATTGCGTTGTCGCATTCTGCCGCAAATGGGGCAGCTGTGCAGGTCTGAAAGCCTTGCGCACCATCGAGCAGGTCTCGAACGATGGTACGCTGGGACTCCATTTCTCTGCCGTAGGCACGTTTGCCGAAGGCTTCGATCGTCTTGATATCGTTGTCGAGCTTGAGGCTTACGGATGGCCGAAGGTGCTGTGGAATACTCGACGTTTTGTCATTCTCTGTCAGTTGATGGACAAGCGATCGTAGTCTGTCCGATAACCTCGAGCAATCATTGTAAATCAACATGTTTCCGGCGACGTCTTTTGAGTAGTGAGTTGCTGCAGTTGCTCGGTACATTGCCAATAGTAAACTTGGTATGGCATATAGCCCGACACTGGCAGGCGCCACAATTGAGTTGATCAGATCAGGCTTGTTGAGAATTCCGACATCCGAAATTGTCTGCATTATTATCTCGACAATGGAATCGGGGATGGCAGTGACGGTGTATGTCTCCCTCAGAGTAAGTTCCTTCTCCAATGCCAACTTCTGCGGCACAGTCGCTTTCACATTGGACTTCTTTTGCTCTGAGGGCTTAGACGACGGCTCTAATGGCACCGGCTGCGTCTCGTCTTCCTCTCCCCAACCCCAAGCTTCTGTATCTTCTTCACTATTGTCCCCCTGTTCTGGTGGCTTCGACTCCTGCTGAATTTCCTCCGCTGGCTCATCATCATCGATACCCCAGGCGCTCATATCCTCCTCCTCGACTTCATCTGCCTGTGGAGCTGCGCCATCCTTTCCAGGCTCGGCTTCATCGCCCCATTCGGCGCCCCAGTCTTCATCCTGTTCTTCCTGTGCTCCAAGCACGGCATCGCCCTTGGAGACCATCTGAGTCTCCACTCGCTCAACCGTCTTCTTCTCGCGGACACGTCGGGGGCAAAAGGCGCGGACCCTTGCAATGGCAGTCGCTTTCCGTCTCGCTAACCAGATCTCGGGAGACTTGTCCACCCAATCCCGTAGGCGATCCTGCCCGGTCCATTCCAGCTCATCAAAGAACAAGGCCAATCCGAGGACAAGAGAAAGGGTTTCTTCGAAATCTGACACTCCATTCGGGGATAGCGGTACAGCAGGTAGAAGCCAGTTATCGATTAACTGCTTGGCCATGATAGGAACCCACTTGTCCGACAGAGGTATAGCGATGGAAGGCGGGAGTCGAGTGCTCAGGTACTCGGCGAATCCTTGGATATCCTGCAAAGCGGCTTGCACACTCATGTCGCTGACATGCCCCTTCACTTGAATGTCGTCCCGGTCGATTTCGAACGAAGACACAAGTCGATCGGCTCCAATAACAAGCCGAGAAGAAAGGATGAGGGTATCAAGGTCGCGACTTAGGCGTGAAATGAATCCATCGAGTAAGTTTAGCTTGGTGAGGGCCTCGACAACGGTCTTGATGTGGATGGATTCTCCATCTGCCCCTAGGTAATTGTCAGAACCTTAGAAAGCAAGCAACGCACAAATTAACCTACTCTGAATTTCTTCTTTCAATGACAGGCGACGCTCGGCAGTGTCTGCGAGAATCAACGCATTCCAAGATTCGGTTGTAGTCTCGACAATGGCTGCCCTTAATTGATCTGCTTTTGATCGCAGAACACCAACAACTCTAGTATTCCCGAAAGGTCCAAGGCGCTTCAGAGCTCCATGTCCATCTTCGAGCCTATTCAGTGCATGTATAACGTGACCGTGTACAGCAGCTTCCTGTGCAGCTTCCAGCAGAGCTGAGATATCTCGAACCTGCTCTACCACCTGGACAAGACTTTCGTTGTATGTAATTTCCGAGTACAGGAAGCTAACTTTGGCGGCGGCATCTTGGACGCGAGCAGCGTTATTCTTTCCCGACTCTGCTTGCTGCACGATCTCATGAGCAGTTTCCTGGGAGCGTTTGATGTCACCTTGGAGTTTGCGAGCTTGAGCAATCCATCCATCCACGTCGGGGGCGGTCTCGCGGGAGAGCTTTCGAATCTCGTTCTAGTAACCTACAGTTAGCCACCTCTATGAATCTATATGGAACCAACACACCTTTGTATCCTCCCGAGCCTTGTCAACAGCCGCAAGCAGCTTCGGAACGACCGTGGAAGTCACCAGTGCTGAGGCCACATCTTCAGACTGCGGAAAGGCCCCGTTCTCGACAGACCGGAGGATGGCGTCGCCGAGATCTTGGTCAGATACTTGTGGGGGCATTTGAATCAAAGGGCGTGGACCATGTCTATTCAGGAAGACCCATGGATCGTGAATGTTTGTTGATGGCCTGTCGAAATGCCTTGTTCCTGCACCTTAGTCGGACAAGTGTGGTCATAGCGTCGCACCTGCAGCCCTACAGCAATTCACCCCCGCCATCACGTATTACTCTGGCTGCCTACAACAACCAAAGCTCCCCACACGATTTATTCCCCTCCTCCTCCAACAAATACCTTTCGTCGCCGCCGTTGGAAGAAGCGGATATAGGTTATATCTCGCAAAACACCGTACAGAATTCCCAGAGTGCTGATATAGGGTAGTGCATGCCATTTCTCTCTCTCAGGCCATTCTGCACCTTATATCCAGGTACTTCCTTTCCTCTAAAATCGTCTCTGCACAGAGGTATGTACCACTCTTTTCCGCAGGATAGTTACGACGTCTTTGTTCATTCTTGAGCTACGTTTGAGGGCAGTTTTCTTCTTCAAGCGGTACTCCCTCACTATCTCTATTACTTCAAGAATTTTCGAACTGTTTGGAAAGGCTAATATACTCTTTTTGGGATGCAGCCAAGCCATGCCCAGTGATTCTTAGAATATGTTCTGGGGAGAGGAGTTGCGGATCCTGCTTCTCATTCTTATTGTGCAGATCGGGGAGCTAACGAGGAACAATGGTAGGTCAGATTCATCACTGGACAAAGAGGATTTGGCACACCGGATCTTCCTCGACCAACAACGGATCGGTGTGGCCACGCCAACCTACACTTCTTCATTTGATCCGAGGAACCCGCCCCTTGGCTCATATCAACAACCAATCCACTACGACAGAATGGGCCCCGCAAAGGAGACCTCGCATTTCAAGAAGATCCAGAGTTTCAAAGCCGACTATACTCCAGCCCAATTTACTCAGTATGAGTCCCAGCGAACGGGAATGCGAGTGGTAGTGGTTGACAGGAAAGGGCCGAAGGTAAGTTGAAATCAACCTCTCCACAACTTATACCTAACCCGATATAGGTATATGGGTATTTCGCTGTAGCTACTGAAATCCATGATGACTCTGGATCACGTGAGTTAACCTGCCCAGGTTGCTGAGTCGAAATTCTAACTAGGATTAGCCCATACGCTAGAGCACCTATGCTTCATGGTAGGTAAATGCGATTTCAGCCTTGGTACCAGATATTTAAAACTTTATTAGGGCTCACGGAGATATCCTTACAAAGGTGTGCTCGATAAGGTTGCCACTCGAGCTTACTCAGATACCAACGCATGGACCGACACTGCAGAAACTGTCTACTCCTTGCACACCGCTGGTTGGGAAGGTTTCGCGCAAATCTGTTCGTACCCACACACCTTCTATCTAATGTAGTGGCTAATCTAAGCATAGTGCCGATCTATCTTGACCATGTAGTTGTACCGACACTGACCGATGCTGGGTGCTACACAGAAGTTCATCACATTGACGGAAACGGTTATGATGCTGGGTAACTTGGCTGCCTTGCTCTTATACCCAACCAGCTAATTTTAAAAGTGTTGTCTACTCGGAAATGCAAGGCCGCCAGAATCTGCAGGGCGACCTCATGGATCTCCAGATGCGCCGCCTTCTCTACCCGGAGGGTGACGGGTTTCGTTATGAGACAGGAGGTATGATGGAAGCTCTGCGAGTCCTCACCGCAGAGCGCATCCGAGAGTTCCATCGTGAGATGTATCAGCCCAAGAATATTCGCCTTGTCTTGATTGGCGAAGTTGATCATTCCAATCTTCTCCACGTTCTTGACGAGTTCGAGGATGGAATCGTCGACCGAGTTCCTAAATTTGAAGCACCGTTCAAGCGGCCCTGGGTTGAATCGACGCGTACCCCACCTCTAAGCAAAACTGTCGTCGACACCGTCGAATTTCCTGAAGAGGATGAGTCAACGGGCGAGATCCAGATTTGCTTCCTTGGGCCAGAATCAAAAGATGACAAGTTGGAGACTGCGTTGAATACGCTCCTTATGTACCTTGCCGGTTCATCCGTCTCTGTTCTCGTCAACACCTTGGTGGAGAAGGAGCACCTCACAAGTGCTGTATATTTCTGGATAAAGAACCATTATGATATGATCATATGGTTCACTCTAACAGCTGTTGAAACGCAAAAGCTTGAGCAGGTGGAAAAGCGCTTCTTTGAAGTCCTTCAGGGCCATGCATCGAAACCGCTAGACATGGCCTACCTGAAGGATTGTCTTCACCGATTCAAGCGTCAAGTGCGATTCGCCGCCGAGGTTTCCAATGACGATTACAAGGACCCGATCATCAAAGACCACCTCTTCGGTGATCGCAATGGGTCCGATCTGCATGAGGCTTTAGCATCCTTGAGCGTCTTCGATGAATTGGAGAAATGGGACGAAGAAGAGTGGCGAGGTTTTTTGAAGAAGTGGATATCTGGTGCCCATCATGTTTCAATTCTTGGAAAGCCCTCTATCGCACTCTCGGAGAAACAGAAAGCCGATGAAGTCGCTCGTGTCAAAGCCCAACAGGAGCGTCTCGGAGAAGAAGGTCTCAAGAAGCTAGCGGAAAAGCTTGAACAGGCGAAGGCCGAGAACGACAAGCCCATCCCAGGAGATATCATTGAGAAGCTGAAAGTTCCAGGGACAGAGTCGATACACTTCTTCGACACTGTGACAGCGCGTTCAGGCCTGGCAAAGAAGATGGGAAACCTCGACAACAAGATCCAGAAAATCATCGACAAGGACGAGAACGGCTTGCCTCTTTTCATCCACTTGGAACATATTCCAACATCGTTCGTGCATTTCGGACTCGCATTAGGTACATCTTCCGTCCCCATCGAACTTAAACCCCTCCTTGGCGTGTATCTCACCAACTTCTTCGCCACGCCCATCATGAAAGACGGGAAACGCATTGAATTCGAGCAAGTCATTACAATCCTCGAGCAAGATACCATCGAATATAGTCTGGACCGAGGCACTGACATAGGAAACTCGGAGATGGTGTACATCCACTTCGTCATTGAAGCTGAGAAATTCGAGACTGCCGTAAAATGGCTTGCCACGCTTCTCGTGCACTCAGTCTTCGATACTGAGCGTCTGATTGCGGCAGTGAAGAAGATGTTGGCTGATGTACCAGACGAGAAGCGCGACGGGAATAGTATGGCATTCGCGGTAGATCGTATGATTCATTATGAGCAAGGCAGCTCTGTGCGGGCCACAAACACACTTGTTAAAGCAGTGTATTTGAAGAAGCTCCTCAAGCTGCTGAAGACGAATCCCGAAGAAGTCATTAAGATGCTAGAGTCGCTGCGCAATCACCTCGTCACCTTCCAAAACCTCCGGGTCCTCGCAATCGCTGACTTCGAATCACTGCCAAACCCGGTATCCACATTCTCGCATCTCACGGATGCCATCAAGCCTGGCCCAAATCCAACGATTAATCCTATCGACGATCGAAAATCGTATCTTTCAGCGGCAGGCAAAAATCCAGGAAATACTGCCTACATCGTCCCTCTGACTACAGATTCCTCCTTCGGTGTCTTAACCTCCAAAGGCCCCTCCTCCTACACCTCCCCCCAACTCCCGGCACTCATGGTCGGCCTTGCATATCTCGACGCGGTCGAGGGCCCGATGTGGCAATCCGTCCGTGGAACCGGTCTCGCATACGGCACGAATTTTTTCCGTGATATCGAAACCGGACTTCTGAAATTCCGCATCTACAAATCTCCGAACGCATTCTCGGCCTACGCAAAAGCGAGAGATGTAGTTAAAGAATACATAGATGGGACAAGGCAATTCGAGAAGTTGGCACTGGAGGGTGCGATTTCGAGTATTGTGAGGGAGTTTGTAGATGATAAAGCTACGATTGTGGATGCGGCGAGGGGTGGGTTTATTGACCTTGTTGTGAAGGGTGTAGGTAAAGAGTGGGCCGATTGGATGCTGAAAGAGGTGAGGAAGGTTGGTGTTGAGGAGGTTAAGGCTATCTTGAAAGATGTAGTGTTGGCTGTGTTTGAACCTGAAAAAGCGGATTTGGTGGTTACGTGTGGTACAGTTATGGTTGAGGTAAGTTCACCCTCTCGTGCTTTCCTTTGAAAGTAGAGGCTAACGATTATATAGGGCTTAACGAAGAACTTCGAAGAAGCAGGCTTCAAGATCCAGGTCAAGCAACTCGTCGATTTCCAAGATGGATATGGACTTGAGGGTGAAGAAGATGATGAGGTGGACGCTGAAGATGATGGCGGTGATGAAGAGGGGAGTGAAGATGATAGCGAGGTGATGGGATAGAGGTCTGATATCGCTATCGATATCATGCTTATAGGTATAAGGGGCATCATTAAAAGGCAAAATAGAGTTTAGATAGAAAAAAATATTCCAGCTTTTGCATAGTTTCATGCCATAAATATCAGCATTGTGGTAACTAATAAATGATGGAAAGATATAGCTCCCCCTTTGTAGCCCACGACAATACGGCTGGTGCATCGTATGCATCTGGTTCCGCTCCTTCTTAATCGATCTTAGAGTCTCCTCTCCTTCAAGCATATTTTGTTCTTGTGTACCAGATCATCTGACAAACCTTTCTGCTCTTGTTGATCTTCTAACAGCTACTTCTCTCCCACCCCCACACTCTCCCCACAAACCTTAGTTCTCCCTGCTCTCTCCACCTTAACAATTCATGTTCTTCGTCTTCTCTTGAGATGGATCATTTCTTCCCGCCCTTGAGTCATTTTATTTCCTTCTCATACTGGCATGTCGGACTTGTACCTCTGCTCAGCAAGAACGCTCCACGTACTATGCAAGCGGGACAAGCCCAGCCGCAAATCGCCCAAGAATCAAAAGTTGGCAAATGGACTAGCGTAATAAATTCGCTAGAGATCATACACTCCCATATCAAGATCTATATTAAGAAATTATTCGGGCCAGCAAGTGTTATCTCAAAGCGGGTTGATTTCACCCGGTAACCCTCGGGCTCATCCTATTCTTTAAACCTTCCGTAAGGTCGTAGAAGGCACTACTAGGCCAAATTCCATCTCAAACTGGCAGTACTGTATCAAAATTTAATACAGAGGCTTCGGATTGGGAGCTAGGTGTGGAGATCATGCAACCTGGCCTCTAGGACTTACGCTTGAGCAGGATGCAGGGCACCAACCATATGGAATATGATAAAAGGTGGTAAGATCAATAAGGGGTCGTTGGGAGATTGGTCAGAGTCTCCATTAAATCATTCATAAATTTCTTCGGGTAAGAGTGAGTTCTTGGAATTTGTCCTCGACAACAATACTCATCTCATTTTTCTTATCACCGAAGGAGCACCGGGTAGGAGATGGTTGTTCCCCCCTGTAATTAGCATGAGAGCGCATAGAGCGTCATAGAATGTCGGTATGATCATTCTTGGAGAACCGTTGGATGTAAGTTAGGGGTGAATGAGCGCAGGTGAAAGCTTCCCTACACCCCCTTCATCTCCAGGCGGGCGGCTCCAGACTTATCTTCACGATTCAATAGCCCTTAGCACAGGTGGTAATACTACGTCATAACCCATCCCAGCAGCTTAAGGAAGCATTCTGTCAGACGTGAATCGACGCAGGTGAAACCTTTCCTCACTCTTTCACCTCCACACAGCAAGCTTACAACAATATTCATCTTGCCAAAACTCAGCACAAGTGCGAAACGTTATTTCACCTCTTTACATTCACCATCAAGATTTCACTTCCTGGATCCGCATGTATGTATTCATCTATCATACAATCATCAATCACGCCTACATTATGCTAAAGGGCCAAGTCAAGAGAACACCACTTATGCGAGCCATTTAATGTTGTCGAAGCCTATCCTAGTGCTCTGAGTCCTTTTCGGGGACAGAGGAGCAGCAGAAAACGCCAACAAAGAAAAACCAAAACCTGGGTAATCCCCCTTGACCCCCACCCAAATCTGCCACGCAAGCCAGAGGGAATCTAAAAACAAAAACAAAACAGAAATTCCGCAATCGCACCGGATCACCCCAGAGGCCTAGGCCTCAGACCTCCTCCGGGAGGATCCGGGCGAAATGCTTCTCCCAGATCCATCCAATTGTCTTGGACGGATCGTCTTGGTTCCTCGCCAGCCACAGCTCACCTTTCAGGCCAATTACGTCGAAGATCTCGCCAGGTACGTAAACCAGGTATGGGATACCACCCTCGCGACGATCATGGGCGATATTGAACTCGAAAAGGGAAGCAGCCAGGAACAGAACCTCCGGCTCTTCTGAATCAGGTCCATTGAGCAAACCTTCTGCACAGGTCGCCTGAATTGGCGAGTCGGACATTGGCAAAGCTGAGTTGAATATGGTCGAGGTGCGGGAGCTGTTGGGATTGGATGTAGGAGATAGGAATGCGCTCTCAACCATGGCCGGGGGATCATAGTCGTCGAAGGCGCCGTCGAGGTTCGGGATTTGCCGCTCAGGGCGGATAGTGGTGTCGCTTTTGTCGGAGACAGGGCTGAGGGCGCGCTCTCGAGCTGCTGCGACTGGAGAATACTGAGAATAGTCCATAATAGGAGTGTTGTAGCGCTTCAGGGCCGTACGCGGTGGTCCCTCGAAGGAAGTCATGTCAGTGCGTTGGGTGCTGTAGCCGCCGCTACGACGATGACGGGTATCTCCGGACATGTCACTGCTCACAGACTCGGTGCGGCGAGAGGAGGACTTGCGTGAAGAGGTATCGTCGGAATAGAGAGTGGGAGTCGGTGACAAGAGGTTGGCGACGTTGTTGAGGAGCGTATGGTTGGCAATGCTGAGATGGTTGATGTTGCCTTGGACAGACATGTGATCTGACTGAAAGCGTTCGACATATTGCTGAAGGTCGTAGGTCAAGGACGTCGTGTGCTCTGGTTCGTACTCGAGGAGAGGCAATATCTTCTTCTGGCAGTTCTTCCACCAATCCTTCTGGTACAAGACGAATGACTCAAGACAGGCAATAACACAAGCCTTGGTCGCCGCGTACAGCTTCGGAAGCTCGGCCTTGAGGGCATTGTTGACCGTCAGAAACTGGTCGGAGGCGTCTTGGAGTTTCATATCAATCTTCTCCTTGCGCTCGAGCGCTTGCTTGAACTTCACGTGCTGCTGAAGGCCTTTCTTGCGCTGCTCCATGAGCTTCTGTGGTCGATTATGTAGGCTCCAAAGCTCCAGGATTGGTTTGATTATACGTATGCGCACGGCGGATTTCTGTAGAGGTTAGTAAGGCCTTGGTGAGGCAACACCATGAATAAAACTTACGTGGTCTTCAAGGGCGACAGTCTGCAACTCAAAAAGAGCCATCGCCTGACGTCGCCATGCACTCTCGATCTCCGGGCTCGAAGACGGAGCGCTGTCGAGCATACCAATGAAGCCGAGAACGATACAGTTGATATTGACCATGTAGCTGCTGATATCTTCAAGATACTTTTCCACATCTCGCAACACGATCTGCAACTGGAAGAAATGACCACCGAACCGCTGGGCCAAATAGTTGTACTCTGGGTCGTCAAAGATCTCAGCGGCGCCTGCTTGCTGTTTAACTCGGTCGGCTTTGCTCGTCAGAGCCTTGACGAAATTCTTGCCGATACGGTTGTCTAGAAAGCCTTTCGATTTCTGTTTCTTTCCTTCGTTCGTCGCCTCTCGCAATGTCTCCTGGCGCTTCTTGGCCTGGTTGATTCGGACGCTGATTTGGATGAGTTCTTCGCGAGCGGCTTTGATGGCCTCATAGTCGGGGTGGTCCTTGCCAGTCACCTTCTGGAGTTCATCGAGGAGCAGAGGATACTTTAGAAGCCGCTGGGTTGGCTTTACAAGGAGAGAGTCAAGATCCCAGGCATTGGTCAGGCCTTCCGAATGCTTGATGCAGGCCATCTGCCATCCGAGAATCTTGGGGTTCTTGGCGTTGGCTTTCAGGAACTCGTTGGCGTCATCGTGGTTGAGGAGATACGTGGTGAAGAGGCGCTCAAGCCTAGGCATATTTTCGTTCATTGTGGCGCCCATAGTCGTCTTTCGGTCATTATCAGAGGTGAGGTTGACAAACTCATCATAAGGCTCGTCGGTGTAGTCACGTGCTGGTGGTGCACGGTCCAGCGTTTCTTGGGAACTGTTGGCGTCAGAGGGAGCAATGCTGTGGTCGTCGCCAGCTGCATTCGCATCCTTGGGTGGAGGTACGTTGTTAACCACGGGTCTAGCAGCCCTCTTCAACTCGCGATAAAGCTTGTGAGAAAACTTTGCAAGCTCGTGGGAGTTAGAGAACAGAGTGCGACGCGCCTTGTCGTCAATGATGGGAAATGACGTCTGTTGGAAGATGGCATCAACAACCATCATGTCGCTTGCGTACAGATGCTCTGTGGTGACAAATTCTCTGATGATGTTGTAGCGTCGTCGAAGGGCAACCGCATCGCTCTGCTGGTTGACGATTGTCGCACCGAATGCGACTGGGCCATTGGCGGCACCAGTACAATCAGCGGCATCGGCAGCATCGGCAGCAACATCAGGCTGAACGTCAGCCAAGTCAGTCTCGCCCCCGGGGCCGCCCGGGGTAAGAAGCATGTCCTGGTGTCCGTCGCTGAGCCGCTTGTAGCGACTGTGGTCGTTACCCATGATGCGCGGGCTCAAGGCGAAGGCGGGCATCGGTGCCGACGGATGGAGACTAGATGGCGGGCGTCGGCTGTAGACGCTAGGCGTGTACAGGACAGGGGCAGCCAATGGGGTTGAAGTTGCCTGGTCGATGGACTGCGGGGCTGGCGGAGGCGGTGGCGAGTAAGATGGAGGCGGTGGAGGGCCGTAACCGCGAGCGTGAGCGTGGGCGTGCTGGCTGTGGCCGGCTTGTAGTGAAAGACCAAGGCCCTCACCCGTGCTCTCAATTTCCGGCAGTAGGGACCCGTATGTCGCTCCCACACGCTCGCTACTAGTGCTCGGCCGGACTCCAGTCGGATACGAATGGCCTTGAGAAGTAGAATCCCCCGAGCTCTTGAGTGGCGGGTATGGTGCGTACAGGGGGTCGTTATGGTGCTGCATCGCGGTTCCAAATTCGCCAAGAGGCGCGCGGTCACGTGATAGATTAGCGGAAGAACTATCGGGCCGACTACCATCCTCCCAAATCGTCGTGTTTGTCGAACCGCCTGAGCCTCGCGAATACCGTCGCGATTCCGGAGGGAATATGATTGCTGTTCCGCTGGCCTCAAAGTCTGCAGGCTCCTCGTCGAATTTGTTGATGTTCAGTGCGGGCATGTCCTGCTTACCTTCACCAGATATATTTTCTGCCGCTGCAGCTTCGTGATTAACATCTGGTTCTCCAGAGAGGGTGGCATCGCTCAAGAGCCTCGCTAGATAAGTCTCCGTAGCTTCTTTTGAACCCCAATCCTTGTGCTGCGCTATCATCGGCGACACGCTCTGTACCTGCTGTCGGGAATCATGGGCCATTTCTGGCGTGACGGCGTCAGATTGGTGGTATATATTCAACACCTTGTTTATGACACTATATGCCTCGCTGTCCAGTGTTAGATGGCCGCGCGCGTTCCTGCCCGGGAGGGCCCATTCTGGCTCTGGCATGCCAAGTCGCGCATGCTGGTAGAAGGCTACACTAGCAGAGTCGTCCGGGCGTAGAGTACCTCGATGTGCAAACGGGTCAATCGGCGAATCGTCCTCATCCAGGTAGGCGATTGATCCAGATGCATCAAGCGGTTCGGCGCGCCACTTGTGGGCACCAATATTTAAACGAGGAGATTGCCGTGAGCGAGTTGGGGACACACCCCATCCAGGCTGTCGGTCATCAGCTCCGAGCATGATAGGAATCGATTCTCTCGCACTGAACTCGGATATTGCATTCTGTGGTACATCTGAACTGGAGCTCTCCTTCATCCCATTGCCTGGAGGGCGGAACGTTCGCGCCTGCAGCAACTCTGGTTCTAGTATTTCAGTTGGTTTTTGCTGGGCTTGCTGGGCTTGCTGATCCTCAACCTGCACTGATCCTAACGGAGGTGTGTGCTGCACCATGGGTGGAGTCATCATGAAGCTGCCGGGCATGCCTAATACTGGGGACTCCTCGTACTCGAATTCCGTAGTCGAGGACAGGGGCTCCGAGTCTTGTGGAACTTGTAGACTAGTTGTTTGGAGACTCAATGGTTCTTGAGCAGAAGGAGCAAGTTCTTGTTCGTGGACAATTTGCTGTAGGCGCTGAGATGTCACTGTGGCAGGATGGATAGATTCACCATTACCCTGGCTAGCACTATCTCCTACTTGCGCATCAGTCACTGCTGACTGAGCCATATCAGGTTGCACGGGTGGTTCCTCTCCAGTGTTCGGATATTGATCAACACTTCTAGAACTCTGGTCTGGGGACCCGGACTGAAGGAGTTGCCTCTCCCTCGAATTTCGAAGACGGGGCGACGTCTGCTTCGGGGGAGCTGAAATGATAGCAGTCAACTTTGTGCCGTTAGGCGTACCTTTCGGTGGCTTACTACGACCCTTGTGCTCGTGGTAGCTAACCGAGGCTAGTGTCACTTCGTGCGAGTTGTGCGGCTTCCCTGGAGCGGTGTTTTCCTTCCCTTTAGGCACCCGCGCTCGATGTGGCCGAGGAGCAGGAGAGGCCCTAGAATAGCTGCCTACAAGTCGCGCGGAGCCAGCCTTGAATGAACGATTTGATGAACTTGAATCTGAAGCTGCACTCATACGCCGAGATGCTACGGGAATCCTAGATGGAGGAGAGTATCGTCGTGGCTCTCGAGGATGTGAAGGCTCCGGTGGGTGTGCCGAATGGCCGCCTACTATGGATGGGTGGTTCATATCATTTGTTATTCTCCTGTGCTGGACTGGGGAATTTCTCGAGAAAAGTGCTGAAGGAGCTAGACCAGATTCGTCAGATACGATCTTAATCGTGGAGTTTTCCGCGCTCGGTGACAATACTGGGTTGGAGTCGAGCAGCGCTGGATCGGCAGTCGGGATACCATAGCCGGGTGTTACTGCATCATGCTCTCCAACGACCTCTCCAAAGAATGGCTGTCGAGTCGCGGAGGTTGAGTGCTTGTGGGACCGAACCGGCGACGACACCTTCGTTCTTGACGGTGAAGTGTGCCCTTGTATACTGTTCCTGCCACCGTTCGCACGCCGCGCACTTGCTGAGGAGGGTGCTGGCTGTGGTCGCTCCCGAGGTTTTAGATTGTTGAACTTGTAGGAACCATACGATGCCTCCCTAGCCGGTCGTGCGGGAGACGACGTGGTGGATGTCTGTTGCACAGCGGGCGATGTTGTCGATCTAGGAGATGGCGAGGGTCGTGCGGGTCGGGCACGGGAGATAGAGGGAGAAGATTCGGCGGAGGGAGATTGATTGAATTTTTGCGCGATGCTCTTTACTGACGGGCGACTGGCAGGCAGCTGAGGAGTTGAGCGTACACCAACACCACCCGATGAAGTCGCAGGGCCAGATGCGGATCGAAGAGAAGGTTTTGGAGTCGAGCGTGAGGTCCCGTTGGACGTTTGTTGTCGTTGCCGCGTCGTCGTCATTTCGCCGGGGAATGGAGATGACTCTTGGTCGGTCGGACGGTGAAGGGAAGGGCGATAATATGCATCAGGATCGTCGGTGGGCTCATGAGTGCTGCCCTCGTATTGTGCCAACGAGGTGTTTTGCACCCAGTCGGCGACGCTGGGAGCGTATGCATAGTTATGCGGCTTTTGCTCTGGCTCCCCCATTGTGCTCCCCTACCGCACCATGGTCCTAATTGCAAGTCGGGAGGGAGCGTGGGCGCGAATCAAGACAGCGAGCAGTCCAAGGCGAGCGAGGGTATCCAATCAGCCTGTGGCGGTGAAGAGGGGCCTGGACAGCTTGAGTACACTCAAGTCGAGGCGGCAAGGGTAGCAGAGGGACAACTCATACGGTGTTAACCTCAATCTATCCAAGGGCGGGCCAATGAACGTGGGGAGGCGGCTAGTGGTCCAAGTTTGCGAGCCCGGTCTGGTGTTTCAGGCTGAACTGCCTCACACGCCGGCGATAGTGACGATGGAGGGAAGCAGAGGCGTCACAGGAGGGTGTTGACTGTGGCGGCCACAGAGTGAGAGGCGCGGGGGTGAGTATAGATGTGGTGTGGGAAGATGAGAGAGCGGGCGCCGCGGTTGAGGTTGAAGTTGGGTTGGGGTGGTCTTCGCGCTGCTGATCGACGGGGCAGTGCGGGAGAGGGAACAGAGAGTACGGTCGGCCAAGCTTCTCCCGTTGACCGTTCTGTATCACAGGGCCGGGTGCTGATTGGCTGATGGCAGGGCTTCCAGAAGACAACACTGAAAACGTATATTTAAATGAGCTCTCGCATCTTCCTGTGCGCTGTATCGAGAGCTGGAGTAGCACAAGCAGTGCGGTCAGAGATGAGCTCTTCGGCCTCCAACGCCTAGTCTGCTCCGCAATTGGCCACCGCTCTGGCCAGCCTAGCCTTGAATTGCCTTGTTGCCTTAGGGGGAGCCGACGATATCGACCTTCAAGTGACTTGAGCACGAGATCAGCAGGAGCAGCGTGTGAAAACAAAGCCAGGCGAGACGAGCTCGAGTATCATCCAACGCCTGTGTACCCCTTTTCGTTCTCGGTTGCTAGCAGCATCAGCGACGCGGCAACACAGGACTAAGATTTGCTGTATCACCTTCTGTGGCGGATAGAGGTCCGTCGCGGGAAGTATTGATGATGGGCGATCAATCTCGCACCCCTGGCTGCCGGCACTGCATTGGGCATTTCGCCCAGAACACAACACCCTACGCTGAACACTTCAGCAATTGAATGCACCTCTTGCCTCTCTTTCATTATTTGACCTCCCTACAATTGCGTGAAGCACACCGCGTCACATCGATGCCAGTCTCCCTGCGCCGGCATGAAGAGAAAATGCAGCGCCCACGTCGGAGACAGACCGCCCAAGAGACCCAGGGATGCCGTCAACCAATCTATCCTCGCCACAACTCCAGGCGTCGCCCATCCTGTCTTACGGCGTCTCTTCCCCGAGGTGTTCTCGTTGCGCCACTATTTGCTGTCACGGCTTCCCAGCTCGTCTAAGAACAGGCGTCGGAAAATATCTCAATTGGGTCTGTTAGACCCTGGCCACGATGCCACGACGCGTGGTGTCGATGTCGACCTCAGTGAGTTGCTGGACTCGACCTGGATTGGAATCCCTGCCAAAGCCGTTGCGGCCAACCGAGACGAGGCTGCAAGAGCGGAGGTTCTCGATAGAGAAATTGACAACTTTTCACAAAAGCTGCCCGACAGTGGTGCTACTGCCAGCACCTTCAAGCCTGGCTACTTTTTACATTCAGAGGTATGCAGTTAATTGCTTATTTAAGCCTTCCTTTTCCGGCTACTTCTTTTTCATCTCATGTTTTTTAATTGGTTATTATTCTTCTCCTGTACCTCAGCTACTAATACTGTCTCTCCAGACTGTTGATTTCGTTATCTGGCTGCTTTTCAAGAGATCTGGATTCCAAAAGCCTTCGCACTTGCTCTGTCACGGCTTCCAGCGAGCCGGCCTACGGGGACGATATGGTCCGAAATTCAACGCCGCCCATGGTATTCCTGGGATAGCCTCTCGGTCACCAAACACCTACGTGGACACCATCAAAGGGCCACTATGGTGTCATCTTCATTCCCTTCTAGGTCCAGGGGGGGATCGGATTATGATGGAATTGCTGCTCGACTGCGGCATTTTCTGTTGCGTGGATAAGTCTGCAAGGAACTACTACCAGCTCAGCGGTGCGTCTGTCGCCTTGAAACCTACGGTCCGCTAATTCTAGCAGGCATTCCAATCTCAGACTTGAAGCCTGAGCAAGAGGCCAAAGCCATATCAAAGCCCAATGCTCTCAAGGATGGGGCAAGCCGAAATATCCATGCCTTGGCCAGCAAAGTGCGGAAACCTTCTGGAATCACCTTTGTGAGGAGTCGAATGCTCTATGCAAGGGCAGCGCTAAACGCCAAAGGAGGTGTGCGATTTGGGATGCGCCACATCCGTAAGTTGCATGCCATGTTCGGCCTTAATGAGTATTTACACTGATTTTCAGACGCTCTAAATCGTTTTCCAAACCGCGAGAACCACGAGCAGACTGTTCACATCATGCGATATATCTTTCCTCGCCAATTTGATCTGCACAATGTATTTACATCGAAGATTGACCCTCGAGAGACGGCGATGCCGTTCAAAGATTATACGCTGCGCGAAAAGGAAATTCAGCAAAAGGCTCGCAAAGGGCTTTCAGAGGAACAAACTGCAAAGTGGAGATCACATTTACCAAAGAGGTTGCGGGGAGAGCCCGCGATGCTCGTTGACAGGCTTCGTAAATTCAACGAGAAATGCTCATATGTAGAACTCCTCCGGTACTATTGCCCAGTTGAGGTGAATACCACGATTCCCTGCAAAGTTATTATAACTAATAGTATAAGGGTATCCCTCTCTCCTCACGACCGGACTGGAGGAAAAACCCCCTTCAGCCTAGCGTTGATGTTCCTGCAGATGCAAAGTCAGCGCATCGCGATAAGGGAAATGGCGCTGTCATATCTAAGAGCCGAACCGTTGGAAAGACTTGTTTCACCGATATGGCGTGCCCATCGGCGCATGTATCGGCTTTTTGTCGTGCTGTCATCGCTAAAGTCATCCCACACGGATTTTGGGGCGACGAAGAGAACAGGCGCATGATGATGTACTGGATAGATCAATTCATCTGTCTCCGAAGGCATGAAAGCCTCAGTCTGCATCAGGTTACCCAGAAAGTTCAGGTAAGGCGTGTTCCTGAAGACTTGGCGCAATTGACATTTACTCTACTGCAGATTTCGAGTTTAGCCTGGCTCCGGCTGCCCGGTCAGGAGACCACCCTCAAAATGGCCAAGACCGACTTTGACAAGCGGCAGGAAATTTTCATGGAATTCGTTTATTGGGTTTTCGACTCATTTCTGATACCCCTGGTTCGATCCAATTTCCACGTGACGGAGTCGAATGTGCATCGTAATCGCCTCTTCTACTTTCGGCATGACGTATGGCGCATGCTAACAGAGCCGACATTGTCGAACTTAAGGATACAGATGTTTGAAGAAGTGCCGCTTGACAGTGTCACTAAGCTGCTCTCTAGCCGGTCGATTGGGTTCAGCAAAGTTCGCTTGCTTCCTAAGAGTGCAGGTGTTAGATTGATCACCAACCTCAAATCGAGACAGCAGATAAAGCGTAACGGAACCACGATACTTGGTCGAAGTATCAATTCCGTCATGGGGCCCGTTTTCAACGCAATAACCTACGAAAAGGTAAGTTCACCTACACAATCGAAGGCGTAAGACTGACCTCGGCAGGCGCTCCAACCTGAGAGGTTTGGAAGTTCTCTCTTCTCTATTGGTGATATGTTTCCGAGACTGGATGCCTTCAGGACCTCATTAGCAGAGCAAGGTCTCAGGAACGCGCCACTGTACTTCGCCAAAGTAGATGTACAGTCCTGCTTTGACTCAATCCCCCAAAATCAGCTGCTAAGCATGGTTGAGAGTCTGATGTCTATAGAAGAGTATCAGACCGGCAAATATGTTGAGATGAGGCCCCTGGGTCAATTGCAACGACTCGAAGGCCAGCACGTAGACCCGTTACCTGTGAAAAGATACGTTCCGCACAGCCGAGCCGCTGCGGACACCACATCCTTTGATCGCCTTGTTCGAGACAAATTCTCGGAAACCAAGTCCAATACGGTCTTCGTCGAAACGGCTATGCAGCAATGTGAGAGCAGGGATAATCTAATGCGGTTGTTGCGAGAACATGTTGAACGCAATCTCGTCAAGATCGGAAAGAGGTTTTATCGCCAAAAAATCGGCATTCCGCAAGGCTCTGTCCTTTCCAGCATCCTATGCAATTTCTATTATGCGCAGCTTGAGCGGGATGTCCTGTCCTTTTGTCTCGGCTCGGGATCGCTTTTGCTGCGGCTACTTGATGACTTTTTGTTGATTACAACAGAACGAAAGCACGCGGAAAGGTTCGTGCAGGTCATGCATCGCGGTAACGCTGACTACGGTGTCTCCATTAAACGTGCAAAGTCGATGGTGAACTTCGACATGGTTACAGAGGACGCGTATCGGGTTGCTCGAAGTGTCTCGGATCGCAAGTTCTCATACTGTGGCGTCCTTATCGACACGCAAACCCTGGAAATCAGCAAAAGCGACGAGCGGACTTGCCGAACAAGTAAGTACCAATTGTAGCTCTATCTCTGCCACGTTTTGACCCTTGCAGCGATTGTCGATTCTCTGACCGTGGATTTGTCAAAAGCGCCAGGTCAGACTTTCCACCGCAAGGCTCTGAAGTAAGTTCCCTTTTACCAGTTGCCTTCAAACCAATGGTAACATACCATTGATACGAAGGTGGGATTGCTGCAGCAAAACTAACTTGGAAAAGTGCCTTCAAAATCCAGCTTCAAGCCATGTTCATCGACACATCATTCAATACTGTGGCGACTGTGCTGGCTAATCTGCACCAGGCCTTTATTGAATCAGCGGTGAGATGCCTTGAATATGTTCGCACTCTCTCTAAAGCGAGGCCAACACATTCTCACCTCCTTATCAGTAAGTCTGCGTACCAAAATGGAATAAGCCTTTGTACGCGATCTGCAAGCGCATCAGCGTGTGCATTGTCGATCAAGCCACAACCAACCCTGCTCGCATCACTGACCTTATTCATCGCAGAGACGGTCGATAGTATAATAGCATTAGCGTTTGTTATGTTGCAGCGACGTACGCGGAGCAAGGGGAGCCAGAACGCCGAGCGAATACGACATGTCATAAGTCGCAGGCAAATTCAGTGGTAAGTGTGGCTGATTGGCCCGTCTCAAGATTCCTTTAAAAGCTAATAGTCTCGAAAGGCTGGCATGTAAGGCCTTCTCCGCAGTGTTTCAGCGGAGGCAGACCCAGCACCGCGCCCTGCTGGAGTGGTTGGAAAAGTCATTGGCTACGGTCCGCCCGAACAGCAGCGCGGAAAGCTGCATGTTGCACAGCGCCATCGCTTGGCGTGCAGATAAGTGGCAGAAGTGACGGCGTCGTGAGAGCAGGGCGAAGTGTGGTGGAGCATCGAAAACCTGCTTCCCCTCATCCTGCACGGCCAAGATTGAGATGGAGGGGACAGGCGGCGGGATTGCTGGGGATGGCTGCACAGTTCAGCTCAAAACTACCATCTCAATTGGCGCAGCCAGTTTTATCGTGCTTCGTGATGTCCACAAAACGGTACAACGGGCTGGCACCAGCCACACCAGCCCTCAGGTTTCACCTCTGCCCACTCTCCAACACGGTCGGCTTCTGAAGACGCCTGCACCACGTCCCCCTCCTTCATCTCCGCATGTCCTATTCTTGTTCATCCGATGCATATCTTCCTCTCTGCTATGAACTGCCCCTCTACACCCGTAATATATCGTCAATTGACCCAACATCTTTCATTTGAATACATCTTGCCACTAGCCCCTCCTACGCCTTCCCGCGCGCCGTTGGAAGTTGGCAGGGGTGCACAGGCCCGGGTTGGCCCTGCGAAAGTTCGCGATCAGATCAGGGGCTTAGCTCACTCTCCCGAAATTGCACCTCTCGACCCTCGCCATGCCCACAACTCTCTTCGTGCAACAACACAACCACTCTCTGTTCGACCACGGCCACGGAGAAGACCCAGAGGTCCACTATTTCCATCACTCGAAGGCACTTTATATCATCACCGAGCATGAATACGTCCACTCATTAATCTCCTCCGCCGCCCAGCGCGAGCCTCGCTTCAAAGTGCCTCCCGGCTTGGTCCCCTCGATCCGCATTGCACCTCCTTCACAACAATCGAGGTTGAAGAACGCACCACGGCCGCTCATGGCGACCATGACCTACGCTTCAGAGTCCAGCATGGGGCTTGGGGGAGCTCCAGGCTCGCCGCCGGATCTCACAAACTCGAAATCGTCCAAGTCCTCGTCCTTCCATTCCTCGAGTCTCTCGGATATCGTGGGCCCACACGACCTCTCCCACTTTGAGGATATAAATTTGGATGATTTGCAAGGTGCCTATGCCCCCTCGTCCTTTCCCATCCCTCCTTCACCGTCTAATCGCGTGCTTTTTGAAGCCCCTCGAACGTCCATCTCCTCAATGTCGAGTAGCCGGACTACAGCCCACCCACACGCTCCAATACACTCGTTCCGCGATTTGACAGGTGGCTCCAAACCTCGGTATCCTAGTTTAAAGGGGCAGGTCAATGGGGCTGTGCGGAATCAGTCAGGATTGAATGCTCCAGCTCGGTCAATGCGGCGAGGATTTACTTCGCCATCCGCTCCATCTCTTGCCAACATACCGAATCTGTCGTCTATTGGCCGCCGGTCACGCTCCCCCTCTCCGTCACACCCGCAAGCCTTCCCTTCGGCGCCTCGCACACTCTCTCGAAGATCCTCCCGCAACCTTGAAGTTTCCCCTTCCCCTTCCCTGGGTACTCGGCGGCAGTCATGGCAGCATAGCGCACGTAAAACTGTGAAAGAGTTAGAAGCAGAATGTGACGATGAAGATGATGAAGTACCCGAGGATGCCGTCATCTGGAATGTCCCAATTTCCCCTCGCCCTCCGCAAGAGCGATCCGCAGCTCCATCAGCCTGCAACAGCCCACCCCAGACAACACCAAGCCCTGCAACAAGCCGTCCAGGATCAAGCAGGGGCCCGTCTCCACACCGGTCAGCGTCCTCGAAACCTTCGCTAGCTTCCTCAAGACCTTCACCATTGCATGGCCCGCGACAATTTTCCCAACCACCGTCACCCAATCTTGCTCAAACTGAGAATATACCACCTACACAACACCTAACTCGGCAGCGGACTAATATCTGGGAAGAAACATATACAACGCTGGATCCAGACGCAAAGAAAATCACGGAAGCGTTGGAGGAGTACCAGGCTGAGTTTGAGCGGAAACAGGAAATTGTCCGACAACAACCTGGCCTCTCACGAACAAGTTCAGCCGAGGAGACGAAGCCGAAGTCTACCACAACCGCACTACCACCACTACGAAAGAACGATCCGCTCATTGACCCATTCCAGCCCTCCAAAGAGAAGCAGAAACACCTCTCACGAACGCGGCCATCATGGCTTCCTCCGAAGGATCCAAAGGAGGAGAAGAAACATATCAAGGAGTACCAGAGGATTATGGCCCGTGTACAGGAAGCTGGTGAGTAATATTATACTACGTATGACTGCAGACAGTATATTGACTATTTGCTAGAACGCATCGAAGCCCAACGCCAAGCAGAACAGAAGCTCGCTCGAGAAAAGGCGGAAATCGTAAAGGCAAATTACTGGGAGCAGCTTCTGTTTCCCCACTGGGACACCGAAATGTCTACACCCGCGAGCCGCGGGTCCCATCGCCAGATCTGGTGGAATGGAGTTCCCCCAAAGCTCCGTGGTACTGTCTGGATGAGGGCAATCGGAAACGATCTGGAGATTTCCGAAACCACATTTAAGATTGCTCTTGAGAAAGCTAAGACGGAGTTGTGTAGCCCCGAAAACTCTCCTCTATCTCTTATTGTCGAAAATACGAAACTCGTCTTCCCAGAGTTGAAGATGTTCGCTCCCAGCTCGGGCATCTCTGAAGAACAACCATGTCACAAGGATCTGGTTAACGTATGCCTTGCATATGCTTCGTACCGATCCGATGTCGACACTCTCTCCAGTATTCACGTTAGTACACACAGATATATATATAACCACTTTGCTAACACCCCGCAGCACATCGCTGGCCTCTTCCTCCTCAACATGTCACCTCTCTCCACTTTCATCTGTATCTGCAACCTCATGAACCGCCCCCTCCCACTCTCCTTCCTCACCAAAGACCAAGCCGCCATGACGGCCGCCTACTCCACTACCCTCTCTGCACTCTCAAAAAAGGCACCACCTCTCGCAACTCATCTCGAGACTCTCCACGTCGAACCCCGCGAGTATCTCGAACCGATGTTTTCCGCCTTATTCTGCGATCGTCTAGACTTGGAGCACGCGGCGCGATTTATGGATGTCTATGCTATCGAAGGCGATAAGATCCCTCCCAGGGTTGCCGTTGGCGTGTTGTGTTTGTTGGAGGGGAAGTTGTATCAGGGCGATGCCGGGGATGTGTTGTGCGTCCTTGGAATGAAGGGCGTAGAAAAGAGATATACACTTGTTGATCCCGATGCTTTTATGGGAAAGGTGTTTGAGGCGGGGAAGAGTTGATAACCCCACTTCCTCTTCCATTAGACTGTGTGGTTATTCTTATGTTCGACAAGTTGGTGTGATAGTTGCGAAGATGATCCGGAATCCGTCAATGGATGGATCCGATGAGTCGAGAAAGACCTCAAGAGCGGGCAAGATATGAGTTCATGAATTTACGCTGGCAGGCTCCTGCGGGTAGGTGGAGCTTCACGCATTTGCTGGCGTTTTCTGATGGAGACCGTTTCTACGAAAGAAACCTACTCCTACACTATTTTTGGAATTTCTGGGACTAGCGATTCTTTCTAGTTGTTTCGACCGATTCATGGAGTGAAGGAGATAGACACCTCCCTGTCGTGGATGAACGGCTCAGGCTTAGCCTTTTCTTCTTCGCCTACTGTATAAAATAATGAGTTTTGGAAGGAATGGGTGGGGAAAGTAGTCGAGAGGGGTGAGTCTGAAATTCTTGCAAAGTTGGAGCACCGATTGGGAGCTATTAGAAAGGGGTAGAGTTATAGAGAGGAATGCTGACAGTCTGTTGTATCAGGAGATCGCGTCTCCGTGTTTCGATTGATGTTTAAGTGTGTTGCTAACATTGCTAGAAATAGCAGGATTGTCTTCAAACGAGCCGGCAAGACGAAGCGATGTGATTTAGCTAGAGGACGAGGAGAACGAGCGAAAATAATTTGTCTACAACAATAAGGAAGTTGAAGGCTTTCGAAAGAGCTGGGGGAAGGGCAGGGAGCTGTGTGCTACTGTGGCCTCCACATTAGAGGATTACTTAACTAGCGTTGCTGCACGCGAGATGGCATATTATGGCATGGGATCTTCAAGCCTTTTGATACCTTGGGGATGAAGCTGTGAGAACGCCTTTCAAGTCAATGATCTATGTATTGCTAACGACAAAAACTGAAGTTCCCCGTCGCAACCTTGCAAAATCACTACTGATGAGAACGCTATCGCTTACAACACGCCTCAAGAACACTCCTTACCGGACTACAGGGCAGATTTAAGAGAACGCTAACTCCTGTCCCGAATTAGATCCTTGCCCTGTTCCATCATGTGACGCAGCGTGCTGGACATCCCAACTCCTGCCGCACACTGAGTACAGCAGTGCATCCACCTATCCGCGCAGTACTAAATTAATGTTTCATGCCCTCCATGAATCATACATTCAATGGCACAATTTTCCAACCCTACATGACGCTGTGTGCAATGCCATAACCAGCTAAACCAAAAACTCCAAATGCGGCAATCACCGCCAAGGTTTTGCCAAGACTCCATATAAGACCAGTGTCCTAGACAACGGTGGAGCGACGTGGTACAAAGACAAAGTGTTCGCCTGTAATATCTGTATACTATGTTGTGGGCCTAGCTCAGAGTTTTCAGGTCATTAGGAACCCTAGATGCAACACTGCAGGTGGACTGAAAGCGGTGCATAGCTCTCACAATGTCATCGATATTAGGCCGAGTACGCTACCTAAAACCAAGCTAGTCAAGAGAGGGAACCCAAAGGGATATGAGGGAATATGTAACGTGGGATAGCTTCTGTATCCGCAGATTTGGCCAGAAAAAAGAGCAGGACCGGACGTGCATCTATGGGGCCTGCGAGGCCTGAGATCAAATTTTCAAGAGATTGTTCCAGAAAGCAAGTCGCTATTAATCACTTGCAGTACATGGGCGGTAGCAATCCCGATGGCGGTACACATACCCTACCAATGTTCTCTTCCGGCAATTCTGCAACGCGGCGGCGCTGCATGTATGTCTGGCGCGGTGTGGAAGAATGGCCGCAATAGCTTCGGGCCGACCGCATAGTCATGTAGCCGTTACCGAAAACGCCTCGGGGCGTCGCTTCGTGATAGCTGCATGCCAGGATACTAATTATATATGTTCGGGAAGCGGAACAGCCGAAGATCTTTACAAAGACTGAAAGTGAGAATTTGAGAGGTGTTTGCCAACCCACTAGGAATTGACTGCCAATAGATCTCCCAACGGAAGATTGTGACTTAGCTCTCCTTAGTGGAAAGACCGCGATAGTCTAATCCGCAGACAGAGGTGATGAAGGCATTCACGAGGTCTTTCTCCTACACATTGGTCAGATGTTGAATTTCTACGCGCTTGGGACATATGGGCTTTTAAATCTCTCTGGATATACATTGGCGAAAGTATGTACGTGCCTCGGAAAACCTCACCTTGTATAATCGGACCCGAGAAGGCGAGAGAGTCTTTATATCAGGATTGGTTCTATTCGGCATCGCTGATCGACAAATGCTGAGGAAGCGGTTTGGGGATATACTTACTTGCAAAGCACGAGGCCTTGCGCTACCCTACCCTGACCCTGACCCTTACGGCAGTATAGTAGGGCAAAGAACCCAGTACTATTCAATGCTCCCCAGCCTCATAGCTCACGATAGTTTTTGAATTAGGTATGCTTAGAGCCGAGAAATATTTGTGTTTAATCTTTAGATAGCAGCAGACCGATCAGTGACACTGTTCTTCATAAACTATTAGCATCAAATTTGGAGCAGCCCTTCGAATTCCGAAACTGTGAGTAAGAAAACTGGTAAGTGGGAAAGCAAATCGTGTTCAGCATGAAAGATGTGCGCGCCTCTGAAGACCTCTCCTTGTATAATCAGACCCCAGTAGACGAGAGTGTCTGAAGACAATAAAATTGTTCATATCGGTAGTTTCCAGAGGACAGAGCGGAACCAGATATAAGGAAAAAAGTTCCATATTCTTGGTACGGGCTGCTGTGGGCGGAAGGTTGAAGAGAAGAAATTGGCTTACTTGGGACCAAGTGTAAGTTCGAGGCAATCGACTCCATGGGTTCGACGGGTGACGAATGTTCTGCTTATAGCTAAGCCCATAGTATATGAAACGACATGTTCCCAGTACTGTCTTATCGCGAGGCTTCCTTCCTTCTCGTCAAGGTGGTTGGAAGGCTATAGTGTGGAGGTCGTGACGTCTATCATAATAGGGATTCGCAAGGTGGCAGGTGTACACCCAAGCTAGCAAGGAATTGAGTTAGCTGGTGGCTGCTACCAGCGATGATGCGGTGCCACTGGCGGCAACATCCCATGGATAAGAGAAAGAGATATGTGCGATACTAAAGGCATTGAAAGGGGAATATCTTGCCGGTAGTGAGCTAGCAGTGTCTTTCGGAATTCCAAGCCGAACATGAATAGACACGGGAAATAATGTGGCTAGGTGGGCTTACCGGGCCCTCTTCCCACGGCATTAGATTCTTAACGTGTTGCTGAAAGTGAGATAATTACGCGGGACAGACGAAGCTGATTAAGGCGGCAAAGAAAGCATCGAGTCCGTTATTTTGACCGGACAAGCAATTCGAGAAGTCGATGCGAAGGCGTTTATAGGCTCGGTCATGTGGATTTGGGGTGTTGTGGATGTGGAGTTCCACTTCACGCCGACTACCGTTCGCAGACGAAGCTAGGCCGCGTTCGTCCTCCTCTAACTTGACACTTAAAACGAAAAAGCCTACCGAAAGCGCCTCGTTTTGGACATTATAATCTCTTCTGACGAGAGCAGCCTCTCAAACCCCTCACCGTCAAATTAGTCAAAGTCACACTGATTCAACCCTTGCCTCGAAAGCTCACAGAATCCGAAAGCGCTCGTTGCTCTTGCCGCCCACTATATTGTCCCGGTCACGACCATTCATCACAATTGATCGAGTTTCGTCCACCGCCCTCCCCTCTGCGGTCTCCGTACACAAAGCACATCGGAATATCATTTCTCCATCCACGCCACCCAGGCACACATTGTGCAGAACTGTTCGAATATTCAGTAATCTAGTTTATTTCACGGAATTTTCAAATGCAACCCCCCAGTTAACGAGGCTTAATTCCAGGAGAGGGCACAGCATGGCCAAAGCTCAATGGTGAACCCAGTGCACCTTCCCTCTTCACACGCTACCGCCCGAGGAGGCACACATACATTCTCCCTCTTCCTCTTCTTTCTCCTCGTCACACGGGCTTTCAAGAAATTCCAGTCGCCCTTTGATTTGGTGCGAATTTATCTTCAGTCCGATCAACTTTCATAGTGAGAGAAGACCACCTGCCTTTAATCCCCTTTACTTTAAGATCCCTTCAGCCCCGCCGTTATAGTCATGCTAACAGTTAAGAGCAGGCTATGAGTCTTTCTATAGGGGGTTACCGAGAGTACCATGTCGGCTGTGCTTTGCATAATCTCGAATCCTCCTACGTACAACTATTCCTTCCTCCACCTCACTCGACCTTTATCCTCAATCTGGGGCCTCCAGTATGAAGTTAGCCTGGCTATCTCCAGCGATGGAGTAGTAAGTGCCTCCTTTACTCCACATCTTCTCCAGCTCAATTCCAACCGTACACCTAGTACCAAGCCGAGCTTCCCCCCGAGCTTCCTAGAGTTTTCAGTTTTCTGCATGTTCGAGGCGCATAGCACACACCTCCATTTAGAAGAATGATGGAGTTAGGCATTACGGAGAACCATTGAATTTTTCTCTGTTAGAGCCTAGCCTGAGGCCTTAAAATTCCCACTAATCCTTATAATCTCTCGAATTGTGGGCGTCGCCCATAGCTGGTGGAACACTGGGGAAGCATTACGGAGAACTGTTGAATGTCTCTCGGTCGGAGGTCTGTGATGGGGCCCAAGGCCACTTCAATCCCCAAAACCTCTCGGATTTTGGGTGCCGCTAGTAGTTAGTGGAACATATGGGGAGCAGTACGGAGAACCATTAAGTATTCTTTACCTCGTAGTTGGCTCAAAATGTTAGGAGCAGATACTCAGGGCGAGAGTCCTACATTACGGGTGCCTATCACATGTAGTCTATTCTATTAGCCCAGGATGTGAGTCTGTGTAGCATTATAGCCAACTCGAGATATATACTATATTTGTGCGGATGTCAACGTGGGTCTTTCTTTCCGCGTGTAGGGACTGGACTGCCTTCTGCTTCACACCCCCTTTTAGCATGCATCTTGCACCAAGTCCTGCAAATCCTGTTCCCTAATTAATTAGCCTATACCGCGTCAGGGAGGTGATAGGAACATATGCGCTGCCCCAGATAAATATGAAATCATTTCTCCTTTTCCATATCCCGGCGCTTCCTTGCTGCCAAGTATCCTCAGTGGTACGTATCTTGGATCTGCCTGGATATTCCACTTACCTACTCCATCAATCACTATATATTGTGACCATGCAGAAGAGGCAAGTCCCTGCTCCTTTCCATGACACCCAAAGTTAATTCCACTAGCTCTTCATCTGTGTTTGGTCAGCACTCCACTAGAGTTCGCCTATTCTGTAAATAAAGCCTGTTGAGTCGAGTGGCGCTGCTGTCCTGTTAAGGATAAACAACATCTAAAGTCAATTGATGTTAGGGGTGAACAGGAACGACTTCATATGTCAGAAAATACAGTTGAAGATTGGAGATTGTTCACTTCAACAAGCTGAAAATCCGCCTATGCCGATGCCCTAATCGGCAGTATTTATACTTGAATTGCCGTTCCATTGTCCCATTCCCATTACTATAATAGAATATACATCGTTTTCCCCTTTCCGCAAATCCAGAAGCCCCTCTCTGCCCCGCCCACAGCGCAACTAGCGTCGCGGAGATTGTCTCTAAGCGGCACCGTTCTCTTTAGACAGATTCTCTCGGACTATAGACTGCTCAGAGGAGAGCAGACCAATAGGTCCAAAGAAGAGAGTCACTTACTACCAACGTAAGCGCCCCTCTTCAGATTGAAGGCCCGCTGGTCCTTGAGCCAGCGCCTATAGTCCGAAACAGAGCCGATCTTCTCACCATAGTAGTCTGGGACGGGGTTCGCCATTGAGGAGGAGGTCGGGTCGACGCGATGCTCTTTGATGCGCTTGTAGAATTCGCGCTCCTTCTATATTAGGATTAGAGGGTGCTCGAAAGAGGGGGTATATGTGATTAGAAAGTCACTTACACTCTCGATCTCGCCGCGAATCTTCCGGTAGTAGGCGTTAAAGGCAGAGTTTCCGAAGAACGGTCCAATAAGCCACCCTACGGCAAGAAGTCCTACTGACGTGAGTCCTGCTACGACAATTGGGTCCAGGCCAAAGCTGGCTGCCCATATGGAGTCATAATTGTTCTCGACGAAGACTCTCATGCCGGCATAAGTGGTCGCGACAGCACTGAAGCTAGACGCCACGACGCTGATCTTTCGACGCGTTCGGCGCAGCGTGAGGAAGCGGTTCCAGGTGAGCTGGGTGGGGGTGTTCGAGGAGGTGTTAGATGTTGAGGCGGGGTTTGGCGCCGGGGAGCTTGACGGAGCGGTGGAGGCATAACGGACTGAAGCAGCGACTGGAGGTTGTGTTGCATAGGTGACGGGTTGCTGGATTCGCCGAAACTTTGCTGGCCGGGAGGAGGTGGTGAACGCGGCGGCCACATACAATGGAGTGACATGCGCCGGCTGGAAACGGACACTGAAAGCTCGAATTGGCCGCATAGTGCTGGTGGAGAGCATTATCGCGGTTTCCGTGTTGAGAATGTGAAGTGGAGAGCGGGCGTGTGGAGGAAAGGTGCGGAGGGAAAGTGTGGAGGAAGTTTGCAGGGTTGTTCACCTGAATAATTGTTCGAGGGCTTGGCAAAAGTTGCAGAGACGGGGGCACCTCTCATCTCGTGAGCGGTTAACAGCGGTAAAAAGCTCTAGAGGGGCACTTTGAAGGCTTCTGAAGCTGAGCTTGATTAATTGTAACCCTACTGAAAAATCTACCGATGGCAGTTCGCAGCCTAGGCTCAGGAGCTACCCCCTCCAACGTCATGGCAGCTTCACGCGCTCCGACCACCTGCTTAGTAAGTGCAAGACGTCAATCATGTGCTGCCAATCGGATCCTGTTCGACTTCGGGAGGATTGAAAACTTCCTCCGCAGGGAAGTTATAGGGCTCGGGTAACATATAAGTTTACACACAATTTGGGAGACAATTAGAGATGTTTGCGCTTTGCAATGTCTCCTGCACGTTTCCAAGGCTAGACAGGGCAAAGATTCGCCCAATTATATTTATAGTGTACAAACCTACCCCTTAACATATCGGGGTATCCAAAAGTGTCATACCAATCACAACGACGCCACCCTAAAAACACTGGTACCTACGTAAATTCAACCACCATCCAAGAACTCCAGCCAACACCGTGACTTTTGCTATCGCACCAAGCCTGGCAGCATCCCTTCCCATCAGAGCGCAACGAAATCTATGTGGTCCCAGAAGAGCAACTTGAGGATTGTACAAAATGAGAGGTGCGTGATGTTCGTAGTCTTCTATCCTTCATCAAGAGAAACTCAACTGTAGAAATATACATGAAATGAAAGGATCAAAGCCGGACAGGGTCGAAGGGTTCAACCAAAGAACTCGTCAGATACTAACGACTCCCACGGTTTCCCAGTATCCCAGACTTTCTGCATCAACGAGCGAGCTCTGTTTACCTAAGTATGGCATTATTATTCGAGGTTCAGGGCGGACAGGGAAGAGAATTCAAGACTTGACACTCACCTGAGTCATGCCAAAATCCTCTACACACCGCAGCCTTTCCATGATCTTCTCTCTTTGCCCTGCATCTATAGCATCACACCCTGCAGTGAACATTGGAAACAGAAGACAGGCCTCCGCGGTACTACCTCTTCTTACTTTGTACAAAAGTCCCACAATCCCTCGCACGGCGTGCTGGACTTCCGGATCTGTTGCCGGCTTGCCAAGAACGCGGCGATAAAGATGGATGAGGCCCGCCCAATGGAACATTTCGTTTGTGGCGTAGATTTCAATGGCGTCCCAGGCCCCCTCGCTCTCGCTGCTATCATATGATCGATGGTTGCAACCCTTGTACACGATGCGGTCGCTCAGTCCAACCTCGAGCTCACCGCGAATCTGCTCGGCCTGCTCGAGAATCTCTTCCTCAGGTCGCCAGTCTTCCCGAATATTGCCGTCATCATCAATACGTTTGGATTCACATTGTTTGGCTAATTCGGCAATCCGAGCTAGGATCCCGACGCAGCGTGTTGTGAACCCGAGAAGGCAGTCTATCTGGAAGTCTTCGTCCGCGGAAGCGTTTTCAGAATTCCAGTAACATGAGCCTAACGGCCTGTCGTTCTTGTTCCCGCTTAAGGAACCCATCACGTCTAAATAGGCAAACCACCTCGATAAGAAGTACACTTCCCGATCATGGCGATCTACACTTCTCGGCCCACCTCGTGCGATGATCATCTGTCGCGCCACAGTGAGGTGATTCTGCCAAGATATTGGCACTTCGAAGGTGTTTGGAGAAACTATCTTGAGAGAAGCCAGCATGATAGCAGGAGCGAGCGTTGAATTGGAGATATAACCCGGGTTGTTTATGAGTGACTGTCGGAGTTTGGGGAAAACATCCTGTACCCACACCGCGATGCGATTTGCAGGTTCGGGGTGACCAAGCAGACGCGCACGGTGAGAGGCGCTGAAGGCGAGGAGCAGATTGAGGATGTTCTCGTCTTTCACAGCCACTAGAGAAGTTAGACATTGATGCGCAGCTAGGGGGAGTAAACTTACTTTCCGGAAGAATTTGTCGAAACGGATTTTGTTCGCAGTCATGGGGGACAAGTATACGCGCTGTGTGATTGAGGAAGTGATGGAAATAGAGGAGATTCATCGGATTCTCTAACAAAAGTTGTGGTAGCGGTCCTAGCGATTTCGAGATTTTAATTGCCACAGGTTTGGCATAGTAACCACCCTTCTCGAAGGCTATATCCTTGCCTCGAACCTCAGCATTGTAAATTCTCTCATCGTCAAAGCCCAGGGTGTCGCTTGGGGGGCTGAACATCGCGATGGCATTCACATCGTCGTTTTTCGGTGTGTCCAAGTCGGGGTATCCCATGTCGTACCCATACGTAGTCGTAGTTGAGTCACCAATTGGATACTGCCGACCTTGTTGGATTTCTGTACTGTAACCATGCGGACTGTCGCCTGGAGGCCCAATAAGCAAGGATTGTACTGATAATCGACGGAGGTCGGGAGGAGGATAGGTGATTGCTGATCTTGGGGCATTTCGCATAACTGTATCCTCTGACTCAACTGATGAATTCGGCGTCAATGGAGTGGCCATAAATGGGCTGTAAGGAGTAGGCGGACCTGGATGTGGAGAATATGTTTCTGAGACTGACAGTCCAGAGCCAGCAGGAGACTCAGCAGACTGACTACGCTTGTGACGGTGGCTCGGTGAATTGTACGAGTTTACACTTCGTATGGGCGGGAGCATAGCCGGAGGCGATAGAGGAGAATCCATCGCGCTGGTCGGTGTGAATGCGGTGTTAGAGTAGTTGAAGCTGTCGAAGCTCGAGGTTGATGGAGATGGGTAATCTAAAGCCCCGCGATACTGGGCATTCTGAATCCTGTGGTCATAAGGAGTAGAAGTTGGCTGATGGAAGCCTCTTCGAGAATGATCAAGCAGCATACCATGCTGGAGGTATGGGTTCTGCTCAAATGTCCCTCCCATAGCTATTAGACATTCCGACTGAGACTGGCTCATTCTTACCAGTTCCGGATCAATCATAGAGGGATCGGAAGTAGGAGAAAAGTTCGCAGATCGGGATCTCGCATGGTGGGTGAGATTCGTCGGGGGTATTGGGGTATCGGGGACGGCGGGAGGAAATGTTGGTGAATCAGTGCCGGAATCGAATGAAAAGGTCGATGTATGAGGACTGTTGGTTGCACTTGAGGGGCCGGACGCCGGCTTGTCCGTGCTTCTCTTTGTGCGGCCTCCCCAATTGAGCCTGATGCTGTAGTCGCACATCTCGCCCTGTCGTTCGCAGTTGGTGCATCGCGGTTTTTCCTCCCCACTACCACATTGTTATTCAACAGTTGCCTCGTCGAGGGGTTTGCGCAAGTTACCATTTGACTTTCCGGGATTTGCAGGGCCTGGTCACAGATCAGATTAGATGAAGCTCCTTCTTCGCCAGTCAAATGCGACGCATGTTTGCTTACCAGCACCCATTACGGGACCTCCTCTTGGGCTCAGCAGCGCCGGGTTTCTTAGGTCGTGGCATGTCGTTTACGCGTTCGGCACCAGCACTACCAGAACATAGCCTTTTCAAAATATCACTGGTAACAGGAGGATCGGCGTGAAGCTTTTATGGAAGATGGCTGAGGCAGGGCATGTAGAGCTGGCTTTACAAGCTGAAGAGTCGTCTCGACTGAAGGAGCGGGGAGACAATGAGGCTTCGGATTTCTACTGGGCTGGAGCAGCAGGCGTGCATGTGTAGCGCCATACGGCGACTTGGCGCATGATTGATTCCAACGAAAGCGAAGGTCAGCGGTGCCAGCAAGATGTCTCTGCCACACCAGGCGCAGACAGCTTTTCACTGCTCCTGTGTCGGAAGTGTGGGGGAGTTGTCCTGATAAGGTCTCCGCACCACCCCGGCGACCAGGCCAATCGTCCCCTGGTCCGCATCTTGTCAAGCACGAGGAGTGGGTCCTTCATCGATCTCCCGCGACATCCTCGTTTGTCGCGTTTACGTGAATTCTCTACATCCGCAGCTCTCCTCTGCTCAGTCCTCAGCACCCTTCTATCCCGGCTCTCAGCCAGAATCAATTGCATCACAAAATCACAAAATTTCAAAACTGGCATCCAAGCCATGCCGTCACCGCGCACTGACACCGCCATCCCTCCATGATTCGCTTCTGCATTTCTCAGCCTTTAGCTCACCCGTGTACTCGGCTTCGGATACGACATGCTGCATCTACCCGACGAGTTCTTCTGCATCCACGAACCAGTTTGGGGTTTTCAGCATCTTGCCCGTCTTCGGGACGTTACACCGAGTATGAGCCGCAGCCTTATACCCCTGACTCAGCGGCTTGAGCTGAACTGTCAATTTCAAAAATATCTTCAGCCTCATAGAAGTGCACTATTACGGACGCGCGAGGGGACTGCATACCTGGATGCGTACTTTGTTGCGGCAATTTTGTCATCGTCCTCGTTCGAGAGAGTCCTTCCGGTGTGGCTTGTGGCTATGGTGTTGAGTTTTGGGCTTCTGAAGCCACACCTGAACCCGATTAGAAGTGTTCTCGTTAGCCCTCGGAACACTTCCGTGCTCTTTCCGGCTTGTCGTTTTTGCTTCCAGAATCGTACCGAACATGAGTTAATTAGACAATGCATCGCGTGAGCAGAGAAAGGTATATAGGCCAGGTGTATATATACCCCTCCATTTCCAAAAAGTTCTTCAGAGGGTTTAGTCTAGTGGTTAAGATATCGTACGTTTCTCAGTCTTTCCAGATTTCCTTTGTTCCTTTCATTGTACTCATACTAAGAGAGTGAATGTAAAGCGAACCTAACGCATATTTACTCGGAAGTCCCCTTGTTCGATTCAGGGAGCCCTCCGATTCGATTTTTGTCCCAAACCCATTCGATATTTGTTGTTACGCTATCAACTAGCGCGAACGTTCTTTGCATTGGATGATCCTGACGCCACTGTCCGACCAATGACAGCTTTATCAATGAGACCTTCTGCAACTACTTCTCAAACTGAGCAGTTTCAGAGGTGGGCCGTTCGGACGTCGTTCGCGATACTCCCCTTGGAGAAAATGCCGACTTGCAACCTTAGATTCGATGCGGGAACTTACCCCACATTGTTACCTAATGTAGAACATGATCAGGGTGAGAGGACAGAATCCTAAGTCTTGTTCACAATTCCCTAGATTTTAGCAAGAGATTTCAGCCGGGATGAATTCATTTCTCCTTGCCGACATTCCGTGATAGTTGCAAATTTTCTCCTTGCCAGCCCCTGACAACCTTAAAACCGCCGACGATTTCGCCGCAATGTCTTGCGTGGAATGGGCTTTCCACGTCAGCGTCACTCGAAGCTAACTGCGAAAGCCCTTGCACTCAAATAGCAATAATATCACCTGATCAACTTTTTGATCCTCCTTGACTGTCTCGAGTGCATGGTCTAGTCGTAAGATTTCGAAAATGTCTTAATTCCATTCCGGTTGTCATACCGAGAGATACCGCTTTATCTCTACGACGCCAGCACAATGATTAACATCGATGAAATGTTATCTCAACAGAAGATCCTAGGTTCGACTTCCAACTACACTCCTCTTTTATTCTTGATGGTAGTCTGGCGACATACTGCTTGGGGCTGTTCTAAGCCTGCCAAAGCCGAACATTGGTCTCAGCATCTCTCATATATATAGTACGTCAGATGCTGATCTTTTCTGTGTCATGCCTTCCAGTGGCAGAGAGAACTAATTTAGATTCTAGGGCATTAACATATTCAATATCCATCCGGAATAATCAAAGTTTACTGAATGTATAGTTGAGTTGGAGAACATCATGAATTCTTCTATTCCCTGGATCCTATATATCCGCCATTCAATTACCGAGGGTCTATATGATATTGGGAGCTGTTGTTTCCGCAATGACATCAATTACGATTGGCCACCCGATTGCTACTTTGAGTGCTGGAGCGATCGGAAGTCGCCCTGGAGCCGCTGAAATATTGTGATATGAGAGTAGTTGGAGGCGAGGTTCATTGCTAGACGTCACTCTGAAATCGCTGCGACGATACCCCCAATCCTCGCTGGACATGTCTTAGTTTATTATAACTTGAGAAAGGACAGCCCGGGTCCGTGAAAGTTTGGCGTCATAGCACTTAATGTATTGCGAAACATTACAAAGAACGACGGAAATGGAATATCGGTAACCGGTCCGCTTATGAGGTCCCTATTAGAGCTCAGGAGGGACACTATCTTCCCCACATCCATTGCGTCTGTCGGTGACATGATTTCCAAGATCCACCAATTTCCGCTAATTCGAACTCCTTGAGCAATAAGGTGAATTAAATGGAGTAGCCTCGAGGCAGGAAACTTCCGCTTTCTTGCTCCTTATACTTCAAGCCTTCATCAAGGATTGACTTCAAAGTAGGAGTGAAGAGATAGGTACCATGGTCCACGGCGGAGACCAAAGAAGACGACCAACGAAGATGACCAAAACTTGTGGTCGACGCTTGCATGGTTTATTTAGCAGTCTGATACATGGGCTGCTTCCTAGAGGTGCAAGTGACGACTGACGAGTACATGGTTGGGGCAGTGACAGGTGTAGCGCTTCTAGAGGCTCGACCGCTGTCGGAAGAGTGCTGCGTATAGGACATAATTAACAGATGATATTGACTAACGAGAAAAAGGAAGATGCCGTGGTCAGCAATAATGATCAATGATGATGATCGAGGCTCGTATAGCTTTCTGGACGAGCTAGACCCGAACCAGCTGGTTTCCGGCAACCTTGGACCGACTCGATTGCTCTGATCATTAGGCCGACGCATCTGGTTGGCATACGTGATAGTCATTGTAATCCGAGCAAGCTGGGCTGGATATGTGCGGGAGGGATGTGCGTTGGGCTGGGGTTAGTGTGAGCGTATGGATTTCTCCTCAACGACATACCTCTCGCGAGATGGCCTCCGTAGCTCACATCATAGTATGGCTCCCACGTATGTCATGTTGCTCATATATTAGCCGCACAACCCAAACAAGTGAAGGCATTGGTATTAGAACTTGCACTCATCAGACACCGCAAAAGGTGCTAGTCCATCTAGATAGCAAGGCAGTGGCCAACGAAACAGGAATTTGCGAATGAGTAGTTGGAGACGTGCCCAGTTTGGCAAGGAAAGAGCCATGGCAGCGGACTGCATTAAGTCTAATTGAGAGTAAGCAGTAAATTACGTCGACTCATTTCCAACATGATCCTTGTCTCGACGGAAGCAAGCTCTCAATGACGAAAATAGAATTGAGTATTCGTCACTTCACAGGGTTTACTCGCCTTATCGCAGGAGCCTTCACAAATGGCCCTTTTATCTTTAAATTCATCGGGATTGTTGTGAAGGTTCGCTACTTGTACAATCATAGTCTTAAAAACGGAAGCAGGAAAGACTGTTAGCAGCGTTAAGTGAGGACATAATATAAAGAAGGTTGATTTCAACGGATTTTATTTCTAAGGGTTTGGGGTCCCTAGGCGTGTAAATTTAACGAGCAGGAAACTGGGGAAATTGTGGCTGCGGAGGCAATCATTTGTTACTATATAAGGGTCAACGAACACCCAAAATTATACACAACTGATTTATGTTCTTTGTCCAGGTCGTAAGTCTCCGCCCACTTATTCCTCAACAGGGTTAATGGACAGAAAGCTGTGACAAAAGGGAATAAAAAGTCCAGGTAATTGAATAGCTGTTGACGTCGAGGCATCTAAGTGAGGACTCTCCATTAGTCGCTTTTGCTTGAGTGGTGACTTTGGTTGCATTAATGACGCTTGCGATGACAGCAAATATATTGCAGCCGGTTTGGTGGTGTCATTGAGGGGATGGGGGGAGTGCTTGAGCTAGAGGTGCAGCTGCAATTGAGTCTTCGTGTAAGAGCTTGTCTGATATAGTGAGGTCGACCTGGGGTGGTTGCTGCCTATCAGTTCATCTCGGAGAGCAATTATTCACCCAGCTTATCTTCCCCTGTGTTCCTTTTCCTTGACTCTGCTCACAAAATATCCCGAAGTCAAACATTCTTACGCTATAGATCTTAGGCTGCACCTGTTACCAAGCGGGTTTGAGGGCGCTAGAAGGTATATATATATATATCTATATGCGATGGCATGCATGCCTGCTCTTAATGCCATGGGCCATGTCAGGTAAGGGTACAACGGGCTCTCATGCTATTTTACCGTTCATTTGCGAGTGATAACCTATGGTTTTGCGGGCAAGCAGACTCCAAAACATTGTAATCTTCAGCCAGTATCCTGCAAAGATGACGAAATGTGGAGCAGCATGTCGTGTACCAATCACAGCACCACACAATAAACCACTTACAGACGTATCGATGTACTACTATCCCCCGCTTTTGTACAGCTATCACGCCAGCGAACACTTTCCAAGAACAATATAATTTCCATCCAGATATCCAGAAATCCCACGGGCCACTCAAAAGCCGTTTCCTTCAGCACCTCGATCACGCCAAGCCTGAAGCAATCAGCGTTGGGAGGGAAGGGCGAGTGAGGTGGTCGTACTAGTCGCCTTTTATACCAAAGGACGCGCTCCTCTCAGGTGTGCTTCGCTTTAAGCTTGTCTTTGCGTGATGAGACTGGCGCTTGAACTGGAAATGCTCCCAAACAGGACATACGAATTGGTGTTTCGCTCGCCCGTGGAAGGAGGCTTTGGGGGTTGCGAAAAACCTTATAAGCTGTATGGTAGGTCGAAACAGATTTCTTCGCAACCTTAGAGGAAACATCCATACAGCGCTGAGATTTGCACATACCGCAGTTTTGACGATAGGAGGAGTTGTTATGTCCACAGTGCTTACAATCTTGTTCTCCTTGGGTATGCGTGAAGCGACATGTTTGCTTAGATGGAGTCATGTCCTGGCCAGGGGGCTTCCCTGATGCTGCATGCTTTTCATCATCCAACCTGGCATATGAGATCTTATTCTTGTATCCAACTCGACCATCGACACACCATTGACTCTCGCTCATGCCCGTATTAGACTCGTTTCTATTCCCACTACTAGGGTCATGATCAGATGCTAGTGAGATGGCCGACGGGGTCTTTTAATAAGAGGGTCCTTGCCAATCTAACGTACGTCATAAAGGCGCTCATAAGAGCAATCGTAGAAGATTGTCTTGCCCCTCATCCAACCTGACCTGGTGGCACCAGCTTGAATGCTGGTGAACTCAATCCGTAAACAAATACGGGTATTCCACTGGGAATCAGGGAGCCTGGCTCAGACACGCAAGCCTGGCGGCGAATCTCAACGACTGCAGCCTGGAACTGTCATGCTTCTAGGGCCTTTGAGCTTGAGTGCCTGTCCAGCACAAGGGCCTGGAACAAATTCAAAGACTTGGTTCGGATTCGTAATCTGAAGTTTGCCAACAGCTTCTGCAGCTTCCACAACTCCAGTGAACTCAACGAACAGACCAACGGGCGTCAACTTGCTCGGGACTGACCTTCTGCAACCGAGCTGTCTTGCCAGCGTCGATCACGGTGACTCCGAAGTGTTTCGTAAGGAGTTTATCCTCCGTGTGATAGTATCCTGCGACGCGATTGTCCCTCTCAAAAAGCTCCTTGTATTCTTTGTCCTTGTATGGACAGAGTCAGGTGTTCACCTATTCACCAGCCTGAAGGCTAATAATCTCTGCAGGGCTGAACCACTGTAAATCTACTTGAGGATTTCCTCGTTTGCAGGGTCGTTATATGTGTAGAGTGGACCACCATCAGCAGAGAAACCATTCCACCAGAGGTCGAGAACGCACGGTGGAATGGCCGAGTATCTTGGATCAAACAATTAATATTAGGAGCTAGCAGATACTGTAATTAATTGGAATACCTACCCTGTGCGGCTTTGAAGGCCTCCAGGAATGCGCCGATATGCTTCCAAATCACAGCGATATGAGACATCCCATGGCTTGACATCTTCTACTTGACTTCGGGGAGAATCACAAAATCGATGTTTTCAGATCCGAGTTGGATTTGTCTCTCTCCAAGGGTCCGAACGTGCACTGGATACTCGCTCGAAAATCCTGCGGATGACTCGATCTGTACAAAGATAACGTGAACAAAGCAGCCTTGGACAGTAGACAATCGAAAGCTGGAAAACACCATGTTGGTCTTGGATAGGTCAAGGAGGTCTTTGTAAGAAGAGCGCTTCGAGAAACTAGACTGCTTGAGAGCCTTGGAGGAGTCAGGAAGCTGCTGGACACCAATAAGATCCACGAGGAAGACGCTTGATCGTAGCTGAGGTTTTTGGATCAGCTTTATTTTCAGTGTTTTGTTCTCACACATGCGAAGATCGGGGAAACATGAATGAATGCCATTAGCCGGTTATGGAGGGCTAGACACCTGAAGGCCAAACCCCGATTGTCAACACGTTGTAAGCAATTTGCCAAGCAAGTAGTTTGGGGATGGAATTAACTGCAAGCTGAAGAGGCCCTCAAACATAAGAGGCAAGTGGAGAACAGTTGAGAAATACATACCGGTTGATATATTGAAAGTGTAAAAATTGAGTCGAGGTAGATATACGCTTGCTATACGGCGCTATTGAGTTTGAAGTATTGATTCGACGGTGGAATCAAGATAATATTCATCAAAAGACCAGTTTGGCAGGCCGTGCGGAGGAGGAGGAGGAGGAGGAGGTGGTGGTGGTGGAGGGACAAGGAGTGAAATAATGGCGACCTTGCGACTGCCGGCCATGGTTGGAGCCCATCTCCTTAAGAATTATCCAAACCCTCCACTTTAGTCGGCCGTGCGATTACCGCATGCAATAAGCAACGCTCAATAACCTATCCTTGGGCAAAGCATATAGGCACTTCAGCACTTATTTGCTTATGAAGAGAGATGTGGATCGAACAGACGAACAGTTGAATTGCACTCTAGAAACATATATATTAGGGTCAGAAGGTAAAAACTTGATTTCTAGACGAGCACCAGACCTGCCTAGAAGGCTACGACGATAGAATTGACTGTGATACGACCGTCATATAGTCTCGGGGATAGAGCGATCGAATGCCATCTGTCTAATTCAGCAAGTTGCTGGATCGACTGTTGCTGGAAGGGACACATGGCTTGGACGAATCCAGGACGTAATATGAATACTCGTTTGATAGGAGAGCGAGGCCAGATTGCCTGCAGATTGAGTATGGCAGAATTATAGATTCAGACCTGAAGACATGACGTGAAGGAAAGCTGCGGAAGCGATACCGGATCAGTCTAGCCCAATTTCTCAGCATTATCCATGCATCTTGGTCAGAACGACAATTCATCAATAAGGCATATGCACTCCCCTCTCTCTAGAAGAAATGAAGAAAACAATCTCCCTCTCCCCGTGAAGCCAGCTATTCACATTGACACTCATGCTTCAACTTCTGTGACCAATTTAAGGTCAGAGTTGACCAATTTGGCTAGCCCCTACCCCACGCTCCAAACTGCGGTGAGGGAAGCCCTTGTGGACCCTCTAAATTATTTCCCTTCCACAACAGCGCCATCATTCCTCCCTTTCTGCTCCCCAGAACACTTCCGCGGCTTTGTTCCAAGTCAATCGGGGGCTTCATATCATTCATTCACACGTCGCATTTGAAAACGTCTCCTGAAGACACCAACAAAATGGCCGCCGCAGGAGCCATCGTCCCTCCGCTAAACCAGCGCCCCATTAAGAACACAATCGTACTTTTCGACGTCGATGACACACTCACACCTGCTCGTCTGGTACGTAGCCTTCCCTGTGAGTTCATAGAAGGGAAACTAGACCTTCAAAACACTTTGCGCTTAACCTCAAGTATTCCCTCGACGCTCTTCAGCTAACAGCAACCCTCCTAGGCCGTCTCCCCTGAAATGCTCCAGCTTCTCTCAGAGCTCAGGCAAAAAGTCGCCATCGGCTACGTCGGTGGGTCCGATCTTGTTAAACAGCAAGAACAACTTGGGACGAAAGAAGTGAACGTGACAACGCTATTCGACTTCTGCTTCCCGGAGAATGGATTGTCGGCATATCGGATGGGCGAGAAGCTTTCCAGCTCGAGTTTCATCGAGTGGATTGGTGAGGAGAAGTATAAGGCTCTTGTGAAATGGTATAGCCGCCCTTCCATCCTCGGAGTAATTTCCTAGGCTCTGGGCTCGGGCGTGAAAGCTTTTATGAAGGAAGATTGAAAAAGGAGAGCATGGCATGCTAACAGACTCCAGGATCCTCCACTACATTGCCGACCTCGACATTCCCATAAAACGAGGCACCTTCATCGAATTCCGCAACGGCATGATTAATGTATCCCCCATCGGTCGTAACGCTAGCACCGCCGAACGCAACGCCTACAATGCCTACGACATCGAACACAATATCCGCCCTACCATGGTTGAAGCCATCAAAGCTGCCTTCCCCGACTTCGGACTCACCTACTCGATCGGCGGACAAATCTCCTTCGATGTCTTTCCCACTGGCTGGGACAAGAGGTTCTGCCTGAAACACGTGGAGGCGGAAAAGGATAGGCCGGATGGGGTGGAGTATACCACGATTCACTTCTTTGGGGACAAGGCATTCGAGGGCGGTAATGATTGGGAGATTTATTCGGATCCGAGGACAATTGGACACAAGGTTGAGGGTCCGGAGGATACGATGGCGCAGATAAAGGAGTTGTTCTTCTGAAGGCATATTGTGCGGAACAATAGCGGCATTCGGGGGAAGAACTGAGGACCTAGGTATGGTGTGTCTCCTAGAAATGCCATGAGAGCACGAGGCACGACAATGGCTGAGGATCTGGCGTGATAAAAGGCATTTGATAATCATGACTCCCCAAAAGACCATCGAGCGAGATAGACTATATCTCCTAATGCAATAAAGACTTTGTCTTTTTATTCACGCTCTCTGAAGGTAATATGATGTGTATTACAGCTTCCATGGATTGAAAGCTACCTTAAGAACCTCGTCTACCAAATCGTCCCGCCGTCCATGCAATGCAGGACCTAAAGAAAAGTCTGTGAGGGAGAGGAAAGATCACCGCTAATGCTAATGTTCATGCAGATCTTCCTTCAGCTGACCATAGTCACTCCGACGCTACGGAAAACCCACCATTAGACGAATGAAGCTACGATCGCCATCCAGAAAAAGCCTACACCATTACTCGAAGATAGCCACAATCAAACTACAAAAAAATTTCCCCCATCAGACGAAGAAAGTGTCAGCCACATCTGGTCCCTATTTGCCACGTAGCACGAAGTTTATCTCTCCGAGTGCGGCATGTCCTGTAGCGGATCACACTCGCTCTCTGGGGACCAAAACAGGAACGTATGAAAGCCAGATACCGACTCTGACTGAGTGTGACCCCTGATGCTGTCCGCAGGTTCGACTGGTGGTTCGTCTTCGGAAATGCGGACCTTCTTGGTGAGCTTACGCACAGCCTTCGCCTTCGCCCTATTCCCTGGTGGTTAGCGCGCGAACAGACAGGTCTCGGGACAGAGAAAGACACTACTTCTGCAATCGAGCAAGCCTGGCTTGACTCTTTTCAAGCGCAGCAGCGAGGCCATGTTGTGTAGGAATGCCCTCGATACGGTGCGTTGAATTGAGATTCTTAACCAGGCAGATCTGATAGCAGGTGGCAGTGCCCTGTCTGGACGCGATGGTTGAGTAGGCGAGGAAGAACTCCCAGATCTAGAGCGTTGTTAACATGTGCCAAGTATTTTTGAGAGAAGGGGATGCTCACGCGGAACCACCGGTCTCCATACTTCGCAACAATCTTGTCTTTGTTCGCCAACCAGTTCCTGTACCATCGCCAGAGCGTAGCCGAGTAGTGAACGCCGATGGTGTCGATGCCCTTGATCTCAAAGCCTGCAGACTCGAGCCTACCGACGAAGAAGTCGAGCGGAGTGGAAGCATCAGCCCCTGGGAAGACATATTTGTTCATGAAAAGACCCCAGGTGAGGTCCTCAAACTGCCACACCTTCCTTAGACCAGCAATTTGAAGAAAGAAAACTCCGTCATCGTCAAGCATATTATAGACTTGCTTACAGAATGTACCGAAATGGCGGACGCCGACGTGCTCGGCCATCTCGAGGCAAGTGATCTTCTGATAGCCACCATCTGGGACTGGAATATCACGATAGTCCATGCATAAGATCCGAGATTGGGATTCCGGAATTTCGGCATTCCTTAGGCCATTGTTGCCCCAAGCGGTTTGATTGCGGCCAAGTGTCACACCAGTAACGTGGGCACCGTAATTGACAGAAGCGAACTTAGCGAGCGTTCCCCATCCACAACCGATGTCGAGCATTTTCTCCCCATTCTCGAGACCGATCTTTTCGCAGACAATAGCGAGCTTATTGTCTTGCAATTGTTCGAGGCTCTCCTCTCGGTTGATGTCAGATATTATACCAGATGTATAGATCATTCGGGGGCCGAGAAACCAGCCGTAGAAGTCGTCACCGCGGTCATAGTGATCACGCACTTGCTCCTCGTCTAAGCAGTATATTAGCTTGTATTCAAGAGGCAACTGAAAACTCAGAGTAAGAAACCTGGGGGCTAACCTTGAGACTTAGTATGCATGATAACCTCGGGGAGCATGCCAGTCAGGAAATATTTGATCAAACCAAAGGTGAAACGGAAGTTTGCCCAGTCGTGTCTCATCTCCATGACCTCAAGACAATCGCCGTTGAAATCAACGTCACCGTCAAAGTACTTCTCATGAAATGTTTCCATTGGGATCGTTTTGTGGCCGTAGTATTTGTCCTTATCTTCATCTTTGTGGAAAGTCAAGTACGACTCTATGGGCTTACCCGGCAGCCTGACCTTTTCATTTTTCCGGGGGGCGAACTCAGAGGTAAGGACCCAGAAAGCGGCGAGGATTGGAAGATCGACAATCAAGGCAAAGAATACCCACGTCTTGAAGCCTCCACTGACCTTCCAGGTGATATAACCTGGGACGAGGGTCAAGAGGGCGAATAGGGTTTTGTTGTTGAAATGATCGGATCCATTGCCGTCAGCTGGGAGTGGGGCATTGGCAATAGCTGGAGACTGTTTCACGCCAAAATCAGCTCTGTAACTTCTCAGGGTAAAGCTCAATGGTTGGCGGGGCTTTTTTGTCTCATGTGATAAATTGACATACAGATGTTGTTGGCACTCCGCAGTTGGAAGGGGTCGTTGGAGAAGGCGCCGGCGGCGTCTCTATCCACTCAAATTTGTCCTCTCCGTTGGACTTGCTCATCGTGGAGGTTATTGTTGAATTTTGAAAGTTAGAGGGAGCGGTGGAGAGAAGTGGAGAGTGGAAGTTGCCAAGCAGGGACGGTGTGGCGACCTCAGACACGTAAGCGACCCAAGCTTCCCGCAAGGTCACCCACCGCCAGTCAAGTGGGGCTTCAAAGACAGTGCATGTTTGAACAGATATTTGACAAGAGCAAATGCCTCAAGGCGGGACAGGCAAATGGGATAATTGAAATCTAGCTAGATATCCCCCAAAGCTCCGCAAGAGCAGCTCCTTCATGCTTTCCCTTTGCGCTCTCGTTTCTCCCACGTCTCCTCTCCTCAGTCTGCAGAACCACTGCTCAATGCCATATTCCTTTTCAATATTCCTGCCTGCTGTGAAATAATTTTGAATCTCAGAAGCGATGAAATTGTGGAAGTGGATCGCACTCCCTCGCTCAGCTTGCTGGAATTCGTGCAGAGCTCTACAGGTATTCCCTCTGAATGCTCTCATCCACTGAGACTCGGTGGTGAAATTCAGTACTCTACCCGTGGCATTAGCTTCAAAAATCTATACTAAGCTCCATATTCCTTTTTATGTCATCGCCCAATGCAAATGTTGTGAATATCTAGAAAAACCGTGGTTTTTGCCTTGACACAAGGATGTTCATAATTCGATCCCGCTGCTCTTTCAATACGCCGGCATGGTCGAGGTATCCCTCCACGCTGCCGTAGTTCTTCGAGAGATGTTCATCGACTTCAGCGACTAGGTTTGGCGGGCAGGTGGTGAAGTGTGCTGAGAGTCCAATGCTAGCAATCTCCTTGATACGTTCGCCCTTCTCTGGCTCGAGCTCGCGCTCAGAGAGTAGGTAGTCTATTGTGATTGCGCGGATGCTGATATCTCGTAGTAGGAGCAGAACTAGAATGATGATAAGGCCGGTGCGGTCTTTGCCTTGAGTGCAATGGACCATGAGCGGGTATTGCTGGGAGTCAGATAAGACGTCGAAGACTTGCTTGACTTCGGCAGTGCAGACGTCAAGGGAATTGAGCGCGAGGCCGACGAGACCTTGAGCTTCCATGATCGGTGCGATAACTTTTATGGCCTCCAAGCGGTAACCAAACATGTGAAGGCTAGCTAGTCGAACGAAGCGCGACCAGGGCAATTGGCGAATAAGCATGCGTTTAAACGCCTGGCCGTTGAAGTTGATCTCAAGGTATTCAATTCCCAAGACCTTCATCTCGCTTTTGGAGGGGGAAGCGGAAGCGTTCTCTCTAGCAGCGCGTTTCTGCGCTTGCTCAGCGTGCTCAGTGCTGCTTGCATCAGGAATACGATATGTGTTTCCCAGTTTGAAGCATTTGGCTTACTCTGTGCGGAGGTCGATTATGGTTTTTATGGCATAATCATTGACAAGCCTCTGCTTATCCTGGGGTGAAGCCTCGTCCGGGCGAGCACCCCGAAACAACAAACCAGTCTTTAACAAGCTGTTTTGGTATTAGTACCTTTCAAAATGAAGAGATAAATACTTCTAGGATGAAACTTGCCGTTCGCCGGTGGTTTCGTTGATGAACGAGCCAACGTCCCTGAAATTGGGGATGCTCTTCATTGCTAGGTCCGAATCTGCCATTGTTGTACAAGCAATTAATACAGAAGACAATGGTGCTGTGAGATAGAAACCGACACGCGGCCAAGGTGGTATCGGTCAGCAATTTCGCGCTAATCAAACTCGGAGAATCGGTTCCTTGGCGATGAATTCTTGAGGAAGACAAAACTAGCCGGAATATAATAAAAGGCCGTAACTAAGTAATTACAAGCAAGATATAAGAAGTGTAGGAAAATAGGAATACTTCATTCTTGTTACAATAGGTAACGGACCTTCCTATTTACGTCTAGCTAGGTTTTGACATGGGGATAGATGTAATGACGGTCTTCGGGATGTTCATACACTACTATGGTACACCTACAGAAAGGTTTCCATATACTCAAACTCTAGCTGAGACTAGAGAGAGTCAAGAGGGTGAAGGATCTAGTCCCAAAACAAGAAGAGCAGAAGTTGAAATATCGCGCGATCTCCGGTTGGGGATCACCAGCCCCAGATGAGCAAGGACGCTCTTGGGATTGGCGCGAACCCAGGCGATCCCTTGTCCCACCGCACGGTGACATCATGGGGCCATGAACGCCCTAGTCATTACACCTCTGCATCATTATTAGCCATGTCTTCTCCTTGGGCTGTGGCTTTCAGTCATCTCTGCTACGGTAAATCACCAAACCCGAAAACTGCTCTTTCTTTGATTTCCCCTACAAAAGACAAAGCTCAAGACCGTCGGCCGGGCTCCGTGGACCCTTGAGCATCATGTCGACGCAAACTCAGACTGCACGGAACGATGGCAACAGCAGACCCTTAAAGGATAAGAACACTATGCCTGCGAATGCTTCCTTGTCGCCCTCGGGTATGCGCTGTCCAGATCCCTCGGCTCACAAGACAAAGAACAACTCCCTTCAAGACCAGGCATCTGCTGCCGCATTATACGGCACCAATTCCCCTAAAGGAGCGAGTGTGCGCGACATTGATCCCCTGGGACCCGACGGAAAGCTTTCTTCGGCGAGTGAGTCTCACTGTCTTGCGCTTCTGTATCGCCTGAATGTCTTTTTACTAATCCAATGCAATACAGGCGCCGCCACCAGTCTAAAGTACGCGAGAGCTCACGAGCTTCCTGGCTTTTCAGTCGTCGGAATCGATGCCCAGCAGTCAGCAGGCACCGCAGCGAACCTCGCGCACGCGAACAAACAGAGTCCCGAGTGGTGGAAACCCGAGCAGTCGGCTGCCGCAGGAAAAGCTGCGCTCCTAGCGCACGACTTCAAGATGGCACCACTCTGGCAACCGGAGGCAAACGCTGCGGGCTCAAAGGCAGCCATGGTAGCGCATAGAGATGGTGTGAAGTTAAGTATCTGGATGCCAGAAGCAAGTGCGGATGGAAACTCTGCAGCTACCCTTGCGTGGAAGAAGCAAGGTCTCAGCCCTGAGCCCAAATCTGGACGTATTGAGGACAGCAGGAAGAAGGCCTTGGTTGCAGCGACAGGTGCTGTTTCGTCTTCGGGGCGAAGGCGAGCTCACTCGACACCTACTACACCCCCACTGTTCCCTGACTCCGAGAACTCCGCGAGGAACGCCCTCAATGCCGCCACGATAGCCCATACACCCTCAATGAGAGCCCGAAAGTCTCCTTTATCCCCTCCACTCTCCTCAGACTCGAACCGGCTTGGATCTACCGCAATGGAAGCGGCAAGGATACAGCATTCAAAGAGAATCTCGCGGGACATGTACACAGAGCACCCTCCCATCGCTCTGGAAGTGGAAGAGAAGAAGCACCAGGATGCGCTGAGAGCTTCGGCTATCTCCATGGCGAAACAAATATACGACGTTCAGCAGCAACACATCGACACCACAGCCGGGCGTTCTTCACAATCACATGCGAAGACGGGAGCCACCGCCGCACATAGTCAACAGCCCGCTACTAGTGAAGCAGACATTAAACAACAGGCGATGCGCTATATCAACATTCAAGAAGCTGCACAAAAACTCGCCAGCGAACGATTGGCTAAGATCGGCACCGATGAGAACGCTGCATTCCGAAGCTACTATGGCTACAACAAACCGATTCGCTCAAAGCTATCCATTCGTCGTGGCCGCAGACGCGCACACAGCAACCCCGAAACCACTAATTCAGATGATGGCGAACTACAATCCGGGCGAATCCGCTCCCAGATGTCTCAGCTCAATAAGACCTTGGCGGAAGTTGATGCGAAAAAGCGAGGGCAGGATCGCAAGAACCTTCTCGCCGCCGCAGAACGTAAAGTGCATGCCCAGATGCAAGGCCTAGACAAGAAGATCTACGACGAAACTGGGAAAATGTCACTTGCTATGATCGAAGAATGGGACGCCAAAGCCCGAGCAAAGGCTGTTGCGGACAGTGAGGCTCGTATGGAGCACCATGGTAAAGTTCATATCGGGCATGGCATATTCATGGACCAAGCAGATATCGATGCCGTAGCCCTCGCGAGAATACAACCAACGCTCGACGAGATCAACGAGAAGACCGAGAAGCGCAAAGCGGAGGAAGAAGAGGCACGTCTTGACCAGGAGGAGAAGAAGCGCAAAGCACAGATCGATAAGGAACGGGCTGCAGAGCTGAGAGCAGAGGAGAAGCGTGCAAAGGGTAGGTCATTTCTTCTCCCGACGTCATCTGCTAAACTAATATCTGCAGACGAGGCCAAGAAGACCGCCAAATCTCGTACTGCAGAAGAGAAGGCTGTAGCGCGGAAAGAACAAGGTGCGCAGAAGGAGAAGAGAGCAGAAGAGAAGAGGATTCAGAAAGAAGAGAGGCGCAAGTTGAAGGAACCACCGAAAACAGGTGCAGTCATACCCACTGGCTTGGCATCTCCCACTGATGATGCTCCTGCCGAAAACCACCACGATGAGTTGTACCGGGACCCGCCTTTACCTACTCAGCAAGTTCCTCGGGCTCAAGAGCCCGGCGCTTCCAACCCGACTTCTCCAACCTCTCCAACCTGTCCCACTTCTCTCATGTCGCCAACGAAGGCCAATGCAAAGGGCATCAAGTCCTTCTTGAATAAGTTCAAACGCCGCTCCAGGCATTCGAATGCGACCGCGGACACTAACAAGCCAGGTTTCATCGGCGGCGCAGCTCTTCGAGCTTCTTCTGCTCATTCACATCGGAACTCAGTGCCCGCGAGTCCACGTCTAAGCTATACCGCAGGGCTTACACACATTCCTGACCAGCGTCGTTATTCCAGTGTCTCTTCGGTCTCTAGCAGCCCCGCCAGCTTCGATGGAAGAGGCCGTACTCCTCAGCGAACTGCCAGTGGGCTGAGTGCCGTCTCGACTGGTACTGAATATGAAGAGGCGAGGGATGAGTTTGACGAGAAGCTGGTATCACCACCGAGTTTTGCATCAAGTGGCATGCACGCTGCAAGAAAGGGCAACTCAAATCGGGATTCTAAGTTTTATGAGATGGGGATATAGTTTCGATACCGCATTGGGTTTGGACAGTATGGCTTGGAGAAAAGGGAAGCGTTCTGTGGCAGGTGTTGGGGTTATTTTTGTACAGTACATATGGGCTTTCCGGATTCCGTTGTTCTCTTCGCAAAGTTTGGCGATTTGGTGGTTATGACATGGACACAAACGGGTTCAATGCAATGGATGGTCTCCAGTTTCGCGGTTTGGTTCTGTTTAAAAGGGAGGTTTTCCCAAAGGGAAGTTGGTGACGGATTTCTTCACGGCTCAAGCGCATCAAGCAACTTGGCAGAGTTAAGGATTCACGGTCTCGCTGCCGAGGTTCCCTATAGCAAATGTACTATTGCAGCGTCGAGGTCCCGTTCACAGCCATCCACGTCACACATCTCGGGATTGTGGTGCATCATACAAATGCTCCACAGCGTTGCCAAATTCAAGCCCAATCACAAATCGCAGAACCGAAGTGCAATGAAGTGAACGACCTGTAAATTCATACCACATGCAAACTAACCAGAACTCGTTACACAACCAAATAGCCTTTCAAGGTTCTGGGATCCTGCACCAATGTGGCAAAGATGATGAAAAGAGCATATGCAGCCAATCAAGCATCATGCCGGACCCAACCTGCTGGGCAACACTTGTGCCGAACACTTGCTGGCGGCTATCGCTTCGCGCAAGAGGGAGGGAGCTGGAAAGCGCAGTCAAGTGGTATTTGGAACCTGTGAAGCGTTTGCCTACGTGAATAGCAGGTGTTTACGACGCAGTCGCCGCAGACAGGAGCTAGCTGTGCACCGCCTTTCCGACTAGAGAGGCTAGCCCGCAAGTGGCACTCCCTGTCAAGATCTCCAGACAGCAGATGCACGTAGCCTTAACACGTCAGAAACACTTGCATATTACCACCACGACAGCCCATCAACCTGCTCTCACCGTTCAACCCCAACAGCACCGAATATCACATCGCACAAGCCGCTCCGTACAGGTTCTGCCATGGATGGCGGCCTGCCCCGTTGATAGGCGCACAGAACTCCGCACATGGAAAACAGGCCCAATCGCATACCCCTCTAGCCGCGCTGGTGCAAGGTTGACACGCAGAGAAATCTGAGTTCCGTTCCGGCTTGGTGTAGTGACATCGGTCTCTCCACTTCGAATCGTTAAACATGTTGAGCTCCTCCGAGGGCCGCCGCCGCAAGAAGGACCCCGATCGAGAACGTAGCAGCCCGAGAAGCAAGGACAAGGATCGTGAGAAGGATCGCGAGAAGGACCCCGAACGACACAAGCGCAGCAAGTCATCCAAAACCTCGCGCAAGAGCAGCTTGTCTGCCTCGAAGGAAGGCGATCGGGATCGCGACCGACTCAACGAACTCTCGTCGAAAGAGCGCATCAAGACACCATCATCACACGCCTCGAGGTCGTCCAACCGGATGGCAGTTGTGCCGGAGATGGAACGTCGCGCCTCTTTGGGCTCCCCGACCGCCTCCAGGACGAGTCTGCCATATCCCACCTTCTCGAAGACGTACAGCAAAGAGAATATATACTCACGGGAGGAAGGCGCTGAGCGAAGGAAGTCGCTGTTCACACCAGAACCCACAGATCTTGGCGATGAGTCGCTGGATAAAGAGAAGGAGAGTGGATCACATGACAATGTCCCGTCGCCGTCGAGGGCACCACCTAGCCCTCCTCTCACGGCAACCACTGCTGCAGATTTAAGGAAGACGGCAAGCGCGAACAGCATGCGGCGGAAGAACTCGGAAGCTTTGGAGAAGGAGATGGAGGGAGGCCGGCGCAGTGTTGATAGCGGGACAAAGATCACTTCAGAACCACGATTCACTGCATCACGGTCAAGTGTCCGCGAAGACGACACCCGAGTAGAGGGGACCGACCTAACGTCGACAACTACAAGCTCGCGGCCGAGCACCGTTCGCCAGAGTGATAAGTCCCCCCATCTGGCTCCACCCCAAACCCGACTGGGAAGTCCATCTAATGCACGTCCACCAGGAAGAGCAACCTCGGCCTCCAGAACCACTACTCGTGAAGCCTCAGAGGTTACGCAGTCGACCGATTCGGATGCGACCTCGATAGCCCCGGACCGCCAGAACCTTCGGAGACAGCCTGCGGCCTCACCCACAAACTCAGAGACTTCCCCAGCTTCTGTTGTTGATTCCTCTCCTCGCACTCCTACCCAACACTCAGTCCTCCCCTCAGTCCTGTCCACACAGAAGGACAGACCACCGACAGTCGAGATATTGACTGATCCTGTCTCACGGACTCAGTCAATCGACCCTAGCTACTCCGACTCGCCTTTGACACCTCCTCCACCCCCACCACCGCCAGCTCTCGGAGACCCGCCTCGCGTGGATTACTTATTGCAGAACGGAGGCTTGCCACGACCTGTCCCACGTAGTCTATTCGCCGTAATCGACAACCGACCGATCATGTCTTACTCTACTTACCAGTCGCCGCAAGTGGCAGGAGCGCAGTTTCAAGATGTGAACCAGTTCTTTGCTCCGTTCCGTAAGTTGCTCGATGACTACGCAACTGTCCTGAACAACAACGGATCTCTTGCAGTCGCTACTGGCTACAAGTCCATTGCACGTCGTCTTTTGGATCGCCTCGAGAACGTCTTTGCTCGGAACATCGCCTCGGAGCATTGTACCTGCATCATGTGCGTACACGAAGCCGAGTTCTCTGATGAAGCAGGAATCAATTGGGGTGAGATTCTCGAACTCGTTTCTGGCCGCTGTGACTTGCCGGTATGGCCTCCTTTCGATAAGACTACCACCGACACTCTGGGTATACCCGACCTCGAGGCGCCTTGCCAGCGCATTGATGACGACGTTCCTGAGGAGTACCGCGAGCATTATGCCCACCAGTCTCGCAAGACCAAAGTCACTGTCCAATCATGGCTTTCTAATCAGCAAGAGGCCGCTCCAGAGGATGCTGACGATGAAACTCTTGAGTTTGCAATGTGCACTCGCCTGCCCTCAGACAAGCGTCCGCTGTTCTACGCTCTTCTGTATGGCATGAAGACACTTCCCTCTAGAAATTTTCAACCTCAGCATGTTGTCGAGAGGGGCACCCCACCGAGCATTGCCAAAGCTGCTATTGCCTTAGAGCGCCTCTACCGCCTTGCCAACCGTCCCCGTGATCATGTCGTCGTCATGTATCTCCTGCGCAATCCGAACATGCACAACATTCTCGCTACCCTCTCTGCTGTCACGAAACAAGAGTGGGAGATTCTCATCTCTGGCCGCTTCGACGGATTCCTTTGGTCTGGAGCGGAAAATATTCCTAACCTAAGTTCACCACCACCAGTATCCCGAAACCCCTCCGGCGCAACCCCATCTCGGATTGTCTCCCCGTTCAGCCAAGGCCCATTCACCCCATTCAGCCCAGGACCGTCTCCGGCTCCGTATCCGGCCTCACGACCAGGATCGACACGCCTTCTGGCTGGTCCAGCCCCAGTTCAAATGGACGAAGAGACCGAAATCGCTGTTCTTGCGGAGGTTGAGCGGGAGATCTACCTTGGCATGGAAGCATTGGAAGATTCATTTGAACATCTTCATAACTGCGCTGAGGTTCTTCGCCGCCAGCTTCGTGAGCGTTGCTCCTCCTTATCTATCCAAGCGCAGGCTCGACGCGGTCCCATGAGTGGTGGCATCCAGGTTCGCACTGATACACCAGCCTCATACCGCCCTGACTTGGATGGAGACGCCTTGGAGGATCTGAGATCAGATATTGGCCCAGATGACTCGGCTTCCAATGTCAGCCACAACCGTCGTCGCCGCGGCCACAGAGCCAAGGCCCGCCACACGCCGGCTCCAGTAGAGGAGGAGAGTGAGGAGGATGTGGGGCTAGTACAGAGGGTCAGGAAAATGAAGTTCTAAGGCTGGCTGAAATTGCATGGCAGGCGTGGAGGATGAATCTCTCTGTCGGGTTTTCTATCTGTTTATTATGAATGCATTTGATGGGGTGTTCAAGTCTTTTCTCTTACACAATAAAGGCAATGATGCCTTCCAAGGTTCAAATCTCAATGAATTCTTTAGCATTTCTTAACGGCCAATGAATATGGATACCCTGTCTGAAGGATGACTGCTACTGCTGGTTTTCCTATGAGCTCTTTTTTTTCTCGGCCGGGGTGTAGTTTTAAAGAACATTCTTTATTGTTATGATTGCTCTTTGGCGCGTATGCATGCCTGCATAACTATCGTGAAGGTGCTAGAGGTGTGAATGAATACTGCGGTTGGTGTACAGAACAGGAAAGAGTGACGTGGAGACTTGCTAGGGTCTTGGAAGCTGCTTTCCATTTCCTTCTTCCTGTTGTGATTTGCAGCACTTAAGTTACTTCAGGCAGGTAAGCCGGAAGTGTAGAAGGCGCTGTAATACCTTGAGATGAGCTTACAGTACAGGAATAACTCGGAAGTCGGCGCCTTTCCCTTTTGTGTTACGGTTCACTTTGCTCTTGACGTCTCGAGTACCCTCTCCACTCTCTCCATACAATGCTCGCTTGTCCTAGGAAAGCCCCAAGGCTTTCTAGCCGGGTTGACAGAACAGTGGGCAGTGTCTTGAGGGCTTGCTAGGATCTCCAACAGGGTGACTTCCTCATCCCCCTCTGTCAGAATTTGGACTCCTTCTGGCTTCCTCCTTCATATTTTCCGTATTAAGTAGGCTCGTGTTGAAATAACGTTAAGACGTCTTGGGTGAGTAATTGGAGAAGCGTTCTACCGTCTCGTAGTTTGCCGGACTCTACCGTGTTGTTCAGCGGTTTTCCGCTTGAGATAGTGACAATGGCATGGGATTAAGTTCGCAGTGGAGGGGGAGGCTAAGATATGGGAGTTCACGCAGGGATATAAATGGACAGGGGAGTCGTTTGCATTGCTAGAGATGACATGATTTTGCGATGTAGGTCAAACCCCTAAAGAGAGCAGTATTTTGCAAGAATGTATTCTCCCAACTCTTTCTTCGAGCATTCAAGTCCCTGTAGTTTCCCCTTTCCTTCTCTGGAATTTTGAAGCGGGTATGGAGCTTGAGCGTGCCATCAGAAACAGTTCACATCTGTGTTGAGCGTCGTCTTTGCGAAAGAAATAGCAGATATAAGAAGTGAAGGAAGTCACGAACATGCCCTAAACAACTTAACAGAGAGAAGTGCACTATCCCGACCAAGTCATGTAAAGGCATAATGCAACCCCTCTTTCGCATGAGCGGTGCAGAAACTTGAGTCATAGTCTACGTGGGCGAGCTTGGTGAGCTGTTTCGCTGTGAACGAATCGAGGCGGCAACAGCGCGGAAAGCCGAAACCAAGCTTCCCCCTCCACACCACCAGTTCTCCAGCAAGTTGCTCGTGCAACCCCAGGCATTGGTGGCCATTCGAGATCCAATGCATGGGATAGTTTTTCTCCAATTGAGTGCGGGAATGATATCATGCAGATACGAAGTGTGGCGATGGTGTTGTTGTTGTCGAGCAGGAGCTCCCCGCAAAGCCCCTGTCATCTTCTCCCACCGGCACGCATGCCAGCCCATCCATGACAACGGAGTGTAAACAGGCCGTGCCCAAGCTGGCAAACCCGTTCATTCAATCAGTCGCCCGGCCATTTCTTCTCCCATCTGCTCACGCCTCACCCGAGTAATACTGCCGACGAGGTTGGCTTTCTGTGAGTGTGGTTGGCATGGGACACCGCTACTCTTGTTTACGCAACAACACCTCGGATTGACGCCTGCGTTGACGCCTGCAAGAAGAATATTGTACCGCCTCGAACAAACCCACGACGGGCCTCTCCTCCACGCAATCATAATTTTTATTATCGACGGTGAAGCGAACTGAGCTGAGCTGAGCTCATCAGAGCTCATCCGAGTTGCGGGTATGTTCTATCCTTCCTAACATTACCCAAGTGTGGACCTCGGGGTACTAACCTCCCTGGACAGCAGCCACGAGACTCGCCACACCCTTTGTTCACATAGTCCCCCACCACCAAAACCAAATACTTGTCTGATCAAGAGGTTTACCGCTACTCTCGCTCGTTGTAGAGTCAACAGGTCTTTTCCCCCTCTCTCACGGCCAGTTGCGACTTCCCATCTGTGGGTTGAAACAATCTGCTCCCCGCAACTCCACCGCGTCGCGCCGAGATAATCCCACATTGTGTGTGCAGTCCACAAGTCGAACATGTCTGCGGATATCGTTAGTGGGTCTGTAGACCCGGAGACGCTCTACACCAAGCAGCAATGCATTGGTAGGTGCTGACCCCAAGGGACTTGTGATGGATACTGACAACACGAAATAGGCGGTGGGAGCTTCGGCAAAGTGTACAAAGGGTATGTCTTGAATTACTAGTTTTTCTCACAGAACCACAACCTTAACAGGCGACAGAATGGATCGTCGTACCGGTCAATTGGTCGCCATCAAAGTCATTGATGTGGAAAATGCCGAGGACGAGGTTGACGACATCATTACCGAGATCGCCATCTTGTCTGGCATGAACTCTCCCTATGTGACCAAGTACTATGGGTCGTACCTCCACGGCTCGGATCTCTGGATTGTCATGGAATTCTGCTCTGGCGGAAGCTGCGCTGACCTCATGAAGCCTGGTCTAATGAACGAGGCTGAAATTGCTGTCATTCTCAAGGAGCTTTTGATGGGGCTGAGCTATCTGCATGATGACAACAAGCTCCACCGTGATATCAAAGGCAAGTTGCGGCTCTTAGAAACCCAAGCCTCAAATTAACAAGATCACAGCCGCCAACATTCTCGTCAGCGCGAATGGTCAGGTGAAGCTTGCTGACTTTGGCGTCTCTGGCCAACTGTCTGCAACCATGACAAAGAAGAACACCTTCGTTGGCACTCCATTCTGGATGGCACCAGAGGTCATCAAGCAATCAGGCTATGACCACAAAGCGGACATTTGGTCCCTCGGCATCACTGCTCTCGAGCTAGCCAAAGGCGAGCCTCCTTACGCGGATATCCATCCCATGAAAGTGCTGTTCCTGATCCCAAAGAACCCATCGCCTGAGCTAGAAGGCAACTTCTCGTCTCATTTCAAGGAATTCGTCCACATGTGCCTGAAGAAGGATCCTCGTGAGCGCCCGTCGGCAAAGCAGCTTCTTCAATCCAACTTCATTCGCAAGGCTGGGAAGCCCGCTCGCCTCCAGGAGCTCATCACCCGTTACCAGGACTTCCAGTTCAGGCATCCAAGCCTAGAGGATGACTCTGAAGAGCTCACACCGCAAAAGAAGGCTCCAGTGAATGAGGACTTGTGGGACTTTGGCACGGTACGCCCGGTGAATGGAGGCCCCGGTAGAGCTTTCGGTCTCAAGCCTATGAATGATGCTGGAGCTAACGCCCGCAACGTGTCACCAGTGAGGAAACCAGTCCAAGGACATAGCGGCATCGAGAACAGCAACATCGGATGTGAGGATACTGTTCGAGCAACGAGCCCACCACCATCTCCTACGAAGCGCCTAGCTCGATTGCAACCTCCTTCGCCAACTGCACCATCAAGGATTCCGCTTCCTCCATCACCGGAGAAGGCAAACGGAACACCATTCGTTGCCCCGCTGTCTATCCCTACTCAGGAAACCCCACGCAAGTCACCTATGCCAGGAGTCTTCTCACCGCATCCCCCAAACCGTGGACTTGTAACCCCGACGAAGCAGACCCCTCAGCAACCGCGACGACAGACGCCACTTGCCCACAAGTACGACGAATATATCCAGCGAGAAATCGCAAATGACATGGCATCCATGAACATCACCCCCCAGCGGAATCCTACACCAACACGTGCTTCAGTCCTTCCTTCCTCACAGATGAGCCTCCCTGAAATACCACCCTTTAGAGGAAACTCCACTAACGAGCCTTCTCACACCAGCCCATTTGTTGCGAAGCAGTCTCAGGTGGTGAGTCCTGCACAGGCCCCGAGGCACTCTCAGGTGTCACCTCCGAAGGTGCTAGCTGAGTTTCGGATTCCGATCGAGCTTCCAACCAGGCCCTCTCAGGTACTGAAGCCGCTCCCGCAGCTTGTTGGTCAGCAGCCACTGCCACCCCTAACTACTCCCCAGCACCCTCTTCCGCCTTTCAGCCCTAAGTCTGCTGGCAGGATTCATGTAGGGCCACGCTCACGTCCCGGATCTTCGTCAGCATCAAATGACCCATTCGGTGGACCCTTCGTCGGGGACTGGGCTCTCGAGTCACGGACGGGGAAGCATGAAGACTCCCCTTCAACTAGTTCTCGCAATAATGCTACGAACAAGTCCACGCCAATCTCTCGTGGCTCCTTTGGTCGAACAAAGGCCACCACGCCAGGCTCACCCACTCCACCTGCTGAAATCACTGCCCTGACAGGTGTAGTCGTCCCAGCTCTCGAAGCAGCAGTGGCCCGCCGCACCTATAACTTCAACCTAAAGAACCGTGAGGAGAATCAAAAGGCCCTTCGTGATCCTCAGTACTTCGATCGCCGGAAATCGCGCCAGGAGTGCCACGATCATGTCAAGAGACTTGTCGCCGAGCTCGTTGGCCGATTTAAGGAACTTGATCAGTGGGATATGAAGGGTGAGGTCGGCATGGGTGGGGAAGTTGCCGGCTTCCTTGAAGGCTTTCTCGAGGAGGTGCTGGTTCGGGTTGAGCCGGCTGATGATTAAGAAGATTGTTATTAACAGCTGGTAGTTCGAAGAGAGGGGCTTATACGACATGAAGGGAAATTGATGATGGTGAGAAGGGAAATGTAGATGGAAATGGGCCACACGACTTACGGTCCGAGCTATCTACGTGCATGAACTGGCTGGCAGTCAGTCGATCGATTACGATTTCCGGATGGAGCTATGGGGTTTCGGAATGGCATGGCATGGCATACTTCCTCTGCGTTATGGCATGGTGTCTGTCTGTTTTTCTGTTTTCATGGAAGAGGATGCATTTGCGTCTGCGTCCGGGTTCCGCGCGCGCCTGCATGCATACATGGCGTTTTCACGGCAGGGCAGGCGCTTCCTTCCCGCGCCCGTAAGGATTCCCTTTGTGCTTTCAATTTCCTTTGTTTTCTGCTGTGTACTGTATGCTGCGCACGCGCTCATGTCTGGTTTTCTCTGTTTTTCCCGGTATCGATATCGACATCTTAAAGCATGGGTGTATGGCAACTGATACTGAGGCAGAGCCGCTATGGATGCCGGGAAGAATATGAGTAGACTCGTAATACTCCAGACTATTCTTATTGAAACAAAACTTCCGTGCGTAGTCTGTCTGCAGTTCTGGTGGATGGAAGCTACGCGTTGGCTGATATTGCTTGAATATAAGGGACGGATAGCTAGAAGCGAAGGCTATGATGGAGATGATTCGAGGATGTGTCTTAATGTTAGTAGAAGAGAGGTAGGTAGTACAAGAAGCATCGATATGAAGGAGTGTACGGGCAGCGAAATAACAGCACAACCCTTACAGTATAGCTGTCTTCGAGGATTTTAGGCTCGGTTCGTGGCGGATGCTTGAAGGGTTGTGGGATTCTCAACTGTTGTATGCATATTGGGTGTCGATGTACGTCTAGGTGTGAATCTGAATGTGAATTAGGGTTATGTCGACATCGTGCCATATTTACTCATGCATGCATGGCACGCTTTCAGTTTTGCAAATGGAAAGGGAGATAGAAGTCTATGTAGCAATGCTCCTAATCTCTATATCCCTGCAAGTAAAAAGGTAGGTTTAATTGTATGATGTCTTCATCCTTATAGGCCCTAGTTAGCTAGTTACCTGCTTGCTACTTCTAGAGGTGTGAACGCGGGGATTAGGATTAGGAGTGAGCTGCGATGATGAATGAAAGGTGAGTTCTGGCAGGAGGGCCGGTGGATTGGGATGGAAATTGCGAAAGAACCCCAACATCAACAGACAGGCTTGGGGACGAGCGATATTTAGAATGTTGAGACTGGAGAATCCATCTTGTCACCCGGAGTTGGTTTTTTAAAAGATGGGCAACGTGCGCGAATATGTCGCATGCAATCGAGATTTAGTGATTGATTCTTGGGTGAAACAGGAAGAGGAAGTACTATGATTGATTTATGCCCAAAAGTTTGGAGCGCAGTCTTTGAAAGTTGAAATAATGCTCCTTCTCAAGAAAATAAGAGGCTTCGCTATGTGGAAGACCTAGTAATGACGAATCATTAGGTATACTTGCTTTGGGAGGGCCGCGGGTGATATGTAGCTGGGATTGTGGAATACCCCCAATTTCTCCATCGTAGAGAAGGGTTGTACATGATCCCTACATAAATAAACCACAACATCCATGTGGGAGTGTCTAGCAACGCCCGAGAGAATCCCACGAAGCATGCATTCGAGATCCTTAACAGCGGCGAGCCAATAGATGAGCCGCATAGAAATCCATCAGGCTGAAAGGAAGCGCTAGAATCCACTGATAACCCAAAGTGTCCTCACCATCGCCACGATATTCTCGTTAATCTCACCCACGGTTCCAACATCGCAGCCGCAGTGTCTAGTGGCGGAAATGACGGAGAGGCGGGTGTGCCTGCCAAGCCTCGATATAAGTGAAACGCCGCGATCAATGCAACAGCCACAGCCACTGATGATACTCTGACTTCATTGACCGTAAAGATTACACCAGAGGCCTTAAATGATGGGAAATTGCCCTAGGTGGAGGAGAGAGATGTTTGATGACAGGGAGGAGAGTCTAGACCTCCAATCTGGAAGCTCATGGGGCACGTCTTCCGTCTTCAACAGTTGAATGCCTTAGTCTTCAAATTGTTTGGCCACACTGCTCTCAACCCACGAGCAGGGGGAAATATTGCTTTGCCTTTCGTGTCGGACTGAAGTGGAGAACAGGGAGGCGCCATTGGCCATCTAGTGCCACGGCGGGAGAACCATAGACCTGGGGCGAGGCGAAGAACGGACAGATAGCCGAATCGAGCAGGAACAGTGAGGAAGTAAAGTAGAGCTCTGTCAAGGAACAGGAGAGCTGGGTCGCGCAAACTGGATCCAAAGAAAAGGTCACGCATTCAGATGGATGCGCCACATACCTAGATAGTAAGTGCCACACCAAGGCACTGCTGCTGATATCAAGAATTCGTTGCTCGGTCTCCAGCCCTGTTCCAGAAATCTCCTCCGACATCTGCAACGTTGTTGATAGTCTTTGTTGAGGTCGCTGATATTGTTGTTCGAGAACTGTGCAAGCATTAGTATATATATGAGGCGCCACATATTGCTACACCCGATCCAAAGACACGTGGACCCATCAAAATAACAAATAGGACCCCAGAGTTTGGAGACTTCGCAATATCTTTCTGCAGTGTTCTGGGGCCGATTATCCAGAATAGACAGCTACCAGATATCAGGACCCGGTGATGCTTCTAAGATAGAGACGGCGTCGTTTTCAGGAACAGTTTCGCGTCGATGACGAGATCTGTTGAGCGCTTTCGTGAAAATGGAAGACAGATTGCAAAACGGGTGTGAGAGAATATTTTACCTGTCTGACATGGGAGGCCTGTCGGCCGCAACAGTAAGCGGATGTCTGCGTAGTCGAGGTATCGTTCGACGTTCTCAACCCGCTCACATGCAGCTGCAAGGTGAGGCGTCACGCGTGTGGCTTGATATTGCTCCCGAACCGTATTCGACCACACTTTTGCGGGGATGTTATCCGACACTATGAGAGAAAAGGATGGGTGGTCTTTGCGTAATGGTGCCTCGAACGCGGCTATATTTAGCACACTTCTGTGGGTGATTTCGAGGGAATCTGGGGCAGGAGGCCTTTGGAAACGTGGGCCAAGGGGTCGGCTGGGTGTTTAGATGATGGAAAAAGAAAAATGAGAGGCGCTGGGAATGCGAGAGTGATGCATCACGATCACGATACCGTTTCTGCAAGCCTTCTCGGTTTGCCGCCGAACAAGTAGCGGTATCGGATGCCGTGGATGTTCCTGGCGATCGCACTGCAAACTTGAGTGTGAACGCGAGTGCCTTTGTGGAAAGTGGTGCCGGAACATCAACGTTGGCAGCACATGGCAATCACCACAGGCACAGGATAAATGGTAAGAGTTGCGGTGGCTGATGAAGGATGGGCTGGGGGGTGAGACAAGGGAGCAGGTTTGTAAGAGGTGAGGCGTTGATGGAGCTCAGTGGCTGGTTTGGCGTATGGCACGGTAGCATGTACGTCCGGATGACTTGAGGCCGTCTCGCGCAGGCCGACCTGAGTGGCACCCAAGTAGCAAGGGAGAAGACAATAATGGGAGCGTGGTGATTGTCCGCGTCCGGTGAATGCTGAGAGATACTGCAAGATGGAGCCCTGAATGGTGGAGATAGCTGTGGCTTGAAGGAGCTGATATTAGCCACAGCATGCGATCGCGGCGGGAGGTGTCTGGATTGGTGAGGTATTGAAGGCCGACATCAGGCTGTTTGAGCAACGGTCAATCCTGCTGTCGACGCTGTCCTCTTAAAGGCAGGTTGGCTCTGGGCAGTTGGCTACTTTCGGCCATCCTGCGGTGATGGGAGAGGCGGCAGCTGCTTGGCCGATGATAGGTTAGTGAGGATGGAGGGGAGAGCAAGATTCTACGCCTGGTGGCGCAGCGCCATGGAGCTCTGCCACCACTCGGATCCGGGCGTCGTCAGGTCGGCAAGTTGTAGCTCTGCGCGTCTCTGGGGGAATTCATTTCCTCCCGCGTTGCTTTTCACGTCACTGACAGCTGAAATCCTCCACTGCCGAGCCATCACTGCGCTCTTTAGACGCCGTCCTGGTTCTCCTATCCTGCGTGCGACGCTTGACACTCACTTCTTAGTCAGGCAGCTGGGGTGGTGCAACGCGGCCACTGTGGCGTTCGTATTGTGTCTGTTTTCTTTGAGCAGGCCAGGGAGCTTTTCGGGATGAATCCCAGGGGACAGTGTGAGTGGCCAGAGGACGCTGGTCCCCGCCCTTTGGAGCTGTTGCTGAGCGAGCGCGTCTGCACAGCCCGCGGCTGGCCTGGCACTCTTCGGCAGGCTGTTGCGCATTGCGTCGCTCAGCCCATGGTTATTCGCCCGAGACGAACCATCCTTGCCATCCACCCTCGCAGCGGCGTGAGGCTGCCCACTGTCTGTTCTGTGTCTGCCGTCCACTGCCACTCGTTTGCCTCAGCGTCCTGTCCTGTCTGCCCGCTCTCACAGTGCTCGTCGGCGGTTTTGCGGTTTCAGGAGTTCCCAACGCGTCCATCAGTGCCCCTTTGAGTCGGCCATTGCGGCAGCAAGGAAGACAACCTGTGCTTCTGGTTGCTTCTGGTTCGGAGCCCTGGTGCGCCCCAGCAATCGTCGCTAGCCCGCGGCATCCAGCCACAGCGTCCCAGCCGACCTCGTCATCGGCACCACCAGCCTTTCGAGCCCAGCGACCACTGCGCAGCCCAGCACCACCACACTTCTCTCCACACACACATCCTCACGCACGCACTCACCCGCTGCCCGTCCCAACGCCCATCGCAGCAGAGATAGCACGTACCACGTTCATCGCTGTTCAACCCTCTTCCACGGTAGCATTTCTAGATCCGCCACCGCCTACTGCTTCCGCCACGCCGCACCGCCGTCAATTTGCCCACCTCAGCTCACAGCCTCACTTGTCCTCGAGCGCAGAGGGTGCCGCACTCTTGCTCTTTCCCCCCCCCCCCCTCCCCCTTGTCCACCACCCGGCCTCTGAGAAGCGCATCAAGAAGCGCGAGCCCATTGCACTCTTCAAGCAACCATCGAGACTATCAGGAGAAGCACTGGCGGCGACGGCTGCCATGAGCTCGAATTGATAGCTGTTCTGAGGGCGGCTTTTGCACAACAGTGCGTCCAGCGACGACTCTGTAGCATAACAAAGGTGCGTGAGAGCAATGCGCGCCGCACTCCATCGCCAATCACTTTGGTTCTAACATTGGCGTTGAAATGCACGTCGTCGCGAACATTGCGATGGCGTCAAGCAAGCCATTTGAGTGAATGTACAGAACACTGACATGGATGCAAGGATCATTCAATACCTACAATCTACATCTAAAAACATACACCCAACCCTCTGATGGCCGCATCAACTCGAGCGATCACGCCCACGCACTCTGGCCCTTTCACCGCGCCCAACAGGCCGTCCACTCCCAACTCAATAGGCGTCAACGCCGCCAGCCGCAACTCGAACTCAGCAGCAACGTTTGGCACGCATCTCACCAAGTCTCCGCGCGGTCTCTCGCCGGGGCACTCTCCTCAACCGCTGACGGGCGCGACTGCTATGGCCGACGAGCGCCGTCTGAGAGAGCAAGAGAAGTCTCGACAGACTAGTCCTAATCCAGCACTCGCAATCGTCCAGAGCCTCATTGGCACCGCGCCGTCCGTAATGAGCCGACCCAAGGACGCGCCCCCAGAGCCCGCGCAAATGAGCGCACCGCTTGAAAAGGCGGCCAAGTCCATCGTGATTCCTGAGCAAGTCACCGGGGACAACATGCAAACAAGTCCCGTGAGTCTTTCTAGCTTTGGCTCCGCTGACTCTACCACCGCCCCGACCGCAACTGCCACCGAGGCCACCGCCGGACCGATGACAATGACGATGGGCAACCCTCCGACTCAAGATGGCCTGCCTCCGCCACACCACCATCAACCCATTGCTCCAAATCCAGGTGACGCGCCTAGCAACCGCGCATTTACCTTCCCCGGCCCATTGGCTCCAGACCTCGACCCTCGTGCTCCATCGCGCCAGATGAGTCTCCCCGGATACGGGCAGAACAGTCCCAAGTCGCCCTCAACCAAGCGCCACAAATGTCCCTACTGCTCGACCGACTTTACGCGACATCACAATCTCAAGAGCCATCTCTTGACGCACAGCCAGGAGAAGCCATATGAATGTCCCACGTGCCAAGCCCGCTTCCGCCGTCTGCATGATTTGAAACGCCACACGAAACTTCACACTGGCGAGCGACCACACACCTGTCCCAAATGCGGCCGCCGATTTGCGCGCGGCGACGCCTTGGCCCGCCACAACAAAGGCCAGGGTGGCTGTGCTGGTCGACGGTCAAGTTTCGGGCTTGACGATGATATGGCTGATGCTAAGGGTGAGGATGGCATGGATGGCGTCGTTTACCATGAAGACCACGATGGAGACGCTAGGATGGAAGATGACGAAGATGGCGAGGGACATCGGCGTGTGAGTGAGCCAGCGCGTAAGAGGCAAAATACCGGAAACTCTACGCAAGGTCCGTATCAACATCACTCCAGTACCTACCCACCCATTGCTGCCAGTAGATCACCACTGAGCCACAACAACATTCGGCCACTGTATTCACCTGCTGGATCTAGTGGACCTTCGCGCGATCAGACAACTAACATCTCGCCAAAAGTAGCTCCGTCAAGTCTTTCGTCGATCCACTACAACGCCAACCAGGCCAACGTATTTGGGCAGGGCGGAATGACCGAGAGTCCGAAGCCCCTATCCCCAGGCCAGACCGAGCACCATCGACTTGGTGCACCGCAAGGCAGCCTTCCAGGCGCCCGCTCACCGAACATGTCGCAGCAATTGCATCACCAGAACTTTGCTGGTGGCGCTGGACGCGGCGGGTCGCCAATGGGCATGGCTCCTCCGCACGGCTCAAGCGGCCCGCAGTTGCCAGCTTTACCCTTGCCAAGTCTCCACCCTATGACAGGTGCCCGCCAAGGCTCGCAGGGCGGAAAAGGAAGCGGACCCAGCATGCTCCAGCACCAACAGATGCCCGGCCCAGGAACCGCTTCCCAACCTGGAAGCATGTCAAGTCACGGCGCCAGCAGCGTGGGCAGCATGCGCGAAGTCATTGGAGGTCGGGATATCGACATCTATTCCTATGTGCGTGAAGTTGAGGGCCGCATGGCACGAATGAAGGAAGAACACGAGCAGAAGATGGCCTCGCTGCAGGACGAAGTGACCACTCTTCGCGCCCAACTTGCTCAGCAACATCAGCAACAGCAACAGCAACAGCAACAGCAACAGCAACAGCAACAGCAAGCTGCGACTCAACAAGGCCATTAGCCTGGAACACACGCCAAACTGTGCACAATTACGGCATCCAAGCAACAATAGATACCGTGTATTCTTATTCAGCAATATCAACAGCGTGCGCTTTCGAGGTTTTGTACCACTACACGAGCAGGGAACGAAAACGGAGTTTCTACATCGAGGACATGCACTAATGCTTATCACGTTGAGCCATGGACCCTTCTTATTTTTACACCACTATATCACAGCGGACGGGGGTCAATTGGCGTTTCCCGTGACGAGAAAGTCCAGTACACGATAGCGACTTTCTCAATGATTGCTGAAAAGCGAGGTGCGCTGGGACATAGTGGATCAGTGGATTTTTCTCTTGACATGAGCGGGTTGGGATATCTCATCTGGGGGCGTGGCGTGCTAGGAGTGGAATATTTCTGACTGCTTTTTAGCTTTGCGATTTTTTCCCCCGACAGTGGCGGTGACGATATTGTTGTCTTATCACCTTCGTCTATCTTCGTTATAAGATAGATGGGGGCCTTAGATTCTTTTCGATTTTAGGGGGCTCATACTCTCATAGGAAAGTGTGGATTCCAAAAGCGCAGCCTTCACCTTTCTCGATATGATATCCCTACCACACTCCACCTACCCAGTCGTTCGTATATCCACCTGTCAGGTTTTGGGGTCGAATCTTTTTTTTTTTTCACTCTATACACCCCTGTATATTATATTGCGTGCTGCCTGCTATCCATCTGGACTTATCCATTTCTTCTTTACTTTCACTTATCTTTCCACAGCAGATCGCTTCCACGGTCTTGGACTTGGACTGGTGTTTATGACTTAAGCTGGTCTGGTCTGGGTGTAGCCGCGCTCTAGAAGCTATCTAGAGTCGTCTATGAGAAAGGAGATCATGGAGACCGATATTGTATAGTTGCTTGAGAAAGATTACCCTGAATTTTCGATATTTTCTTGTCTGTGTTTGGAAGTGTGAGGTTCTTTGGTAAGGATGATATGGAATTGATGGAGAGATTCACGGGTGGGGGATGAGATGGCTTGGACCATATATGCTGCTGCTCGCAAGTATTTGGTCTTTCGCGTGGATACCATGATAGCGATGGGGAGGTGGACAGTCGGGAGGTGTGTGTGTACCTACGGCATGGTATGAGGGAATGGAATGTCTTCTTATTCTTATGGTGATTCCGTGGTGCAGTGCATTGTGTTGCGTAGCGTTGATTACTTACTGTGATGAACGGATACATGCGTGCAACCAGACTCGTCGCGTGTGCTCCTTTTCTATATTACAATTCTTGGGTTTCAAGACTTCGACATATTACCCATCATCCTTACTTTCCTTGTCGAGAAGGCGAGATTTGAGAACAGAAATAGAACCCCAACTTAGGAGGAGGGAAAGATATACAGAGCATAGAAGAGGACATGGAGGTCGGCCAACGGGATAATACCTGTTTGCCAGAGGGGGGAGCTTTCAAGAGTATACGAAGTAGATCTTGATGCTGTGCATGGAAAAGTTAACCATCGGTGCCTCGAGATACAGGAAGATGGATCAGGGTGAGGACTTTGAAGGTTCATGGTATTTATGAGGGGAATCTGGGGTGGGGAAAGGGGAGGGACCTTTCGGATGTGATGCTTCTAGATAAGAAGAATGTAGTAAATGGAAAGGTGTTTTGACGTTAAAAGTCTTGTAAAAATTTGAGGGATCCTTTGCAAGATGAATTTAGTAGAATAGCTTTAATGATAGGTGGATTACAAGTGAATGCAACGAGCATGACTTCACCGAATATAATTGAACTCGTACACTCGTATTAAACCATCGATCGATCTATAGCCCGTATCCATCCATCCCATCCGTCCTCCCACCCATTTAACCATTCCCCGCTGGTCCATATGCATACCCTTACCCGACCCAAGGAATTCCTGAGTAATGGAAACGAAATGCTGGATCAGTGATGGGAAGGAAACTGAAGACTACAGAGACACCGAAACGCCGATGCAGAGTAGTTGAAACTTTGAAGAAGATCCGGGAATTATGAGGGATATGTGTACAGCTATTCGAATGGGTTGGGGAATGAGGTGTTGACATTTGTCCAACGAGGACTCACCACAGACGGACAGGAAAGGGAGTGTGGCGAGTTGGAGTAGGAGTACAGCGTATCTTATGCCGGACTTGGAGAGGTGGGGAGGTGGCAGTGCGCATCGAGGAAATTGGTGTCGCGGATTTCGTGAGTCTCACATGAAGTCGTCACTGAAGACTGTCAGAAATTTGAACGGGAGCGAGGAATGCATCTGGATACTCACTCTCCAAAGTCGTCATCATAAGTAGACGTATCTGCCTTGTAGCTCACATCCCGTGTCGCTACCAAGCTAGCCTTCGTCTTTGCAGCCTTGCTCTTCTTCCCTCCCTTCTCGGCCGCCTTCTCCTCCTTCATCTTCTCGTTGCTCAGGGTCGTCAACCCGCTCGCAATCTTCTTGATCTGGTCGCTCGGTAAGTCCTTCGCGATCTGTTTGGTGAATTCCTGAAGGAAGAGGACATAGTGCGCTTTCTTGGTATTTGCCGCCAGGAGCGGTACGAGGGTCTCGCGGAGTTTGGCGAACTGGTCCTTGGTGTTTGGATTGAAGATGCTGAGGGCGCTGAGGTCGATAGTCTTGGTCGGATCGCTTGTGTCTTGCAATGTGACGGGCTTTGCGCCGCTGCGTTTGCCACCGACAGCGAGTTCGCCAAACAGATCCTCGGCGTGCTTGAGGTCTGAATCCTGTTCTGTCTTCCTGAGTCTTGCACGGCGGGTGGCCTCGTCCTCATCCTCGTCGCTCGACTCCTCGTCTTCCATTAGTCTACGGCGCATGTTCTCTTGTCTTCGCTCTTCGATGCGCTGAGACTTGGACTTGTGGTTAGCTTTGGCTTCTGCGTCAGCCTTCGCTTTGGCTTCGGCGGCCTTCTTTGCCTTTTCGCGCTCGACTTCGGAGTCCTCGGCGGCATCCCATGATTCTAGCACCTATGTCGCCGAAGTTAGCATTAGAATTAGCATTTGAGGTGCTGCGGGGCAGGCTCCGCCGCGGCGGCTGCCTGACATACGTCGCTGTCCTCTTCTTCTTCGTCATCGAACTTGCAGCGCCGGGCGAGAGGCGCGGTTGGTGGAGAGGAGGGAGGTGTGCTTTCTTCATCCTCCTCATCTGTCGTGCAGAGGCTGATTGTCAGTGACCATTCGTGTGGAGAGGATGTGCAGAAGCCAGGTATTGAACGCGCACAGAGGGAGGGGATATGACGTACCCCATTTAGACGGAGCCATGATTGCGGTAGCAGGGGTAGAGTACGTCTGTGGTGCTCGTTGTATGTGTAGAAGGTGTGTTGGTAGGAGTGCGTGTGTCTTCGGCGCGAAATCTGCGCTGGGGATATGTGTGTGTGGGCGAAGGGGAGTGGGAGAGATGAAATTACGGAGACGAAGAGACCGCGTCGCAGGACAAAGGTTGGGCTCGGGTTGACTGTCCTCTCGCTTCCGATGCCTGCAAGCCCAGCCCACCACTCTCTTCCAAAATTGCCCGTTTCGATGCTGCCCAATCACAGTGGACTGGCTGCTCTTCTAGAAGATGCACTATTTTGGGAGTAGGACAGGCGCATGTGAACCCGAATCTCTCTACTCTGCAGGGAGATTTTGGCAGTGTGGGCATATGTGTAGTATTTCACTTTGCAAACTTAGAATCCGAGCTTGCGCCAGCTCTGTTTCAGGAATGAAGGAACGTCTGACATTGAGGCAATACGGAGTGCTTTAGAACATCGATGTGCCGCTAAGCGAACGAAGAGAGTGAGGTATTGGATTCCCTCAGTGCTTTTTTCTCAAAGTCGCGCAGCTTCTGTGACGTGTCTTCTAGGGAAGTAACTTGTCAAACTAACATTCCTCTTCGAGACCCCCAGATGACCGCGTTTGGAGACGTGGACGCGGATTCACTGAGCGGAGATTTATGCTATTTAGACTAGTGGACGCAATGTATGCACAATCCCTATGTAGAGCCGTTTTTTCTAATGAGGAAAGAGCAAAGTTCCTTCCAAATTCAGAAGGCCTAACATAGTGAACAGCCAGGAAAGGTTACCATACCTTTGGCTTGCTGAAAAGTCAAAAATGGCGTAAATGATGGATTCCTCGAAGATTGGAGCCCCCCCCCCCTAAATCTGCCCAGGGCTCATTAAGCCAATTGAAGCTAAACTGACTGTCATAACTAATTAGTCATGGGAAGTGAAGCTAAGCTTCAGGTGAGAGACACGGTTTCTTGTCAAATACAGTGAGAGAAAAAAGGCCACATTGTAAGAAGGGTAGTCAAGTGAGAGAGACGTTGTGAGAGTAGTCACACATGTTTCCTGGCTGCCAAGGGCAGTTGATCTGCCAAGTGTCACGTGTTGCGGTCAGGGCTTATTTCGTACGTGGAAATAGCCTACAGCGTCAAGCTCCTGAACTCAAAAACACCAACTCCAACACCCTCACCTACTCGCACATCTCACCGTCACTCTCTCATTTCCTCCAGCGCGCCTTTGGCGTTTAACATCTGGGTCTAATTCTTCCTTCTCTTCTTCTCGATACCCTTGTTGTTACCCGTACTCTCACCTCTGGTGAGGTCGGAGCTGTCCAGTCGCAAACATGTCGCAACGACAGATTCCATTGCAGGTCACCCAGCCTGCCTCTGTGAGTGTCCTCCCCAGTGCCTTCCAGAGTGCCTTGGAGATGAAGACAAACGCTAACATCGCTCCCTGACAGCTTACAAGCATGGGCATTCAAGTATGTCCAGCTCCTTACGTGTCCCAGGCTCATCTAGTCAACCCTATAGATGAAGCTAACCCAAAGAACAGCCGGCATCAATAACGTGGCAGAATTGTGTAAGTGGAACAAATTTGCCCCTAACTAAATGGTAATGACGCTGACTGCCCACTAGACACTCGAGTCCGACCAATATGTGTGTGTGCGCCAGGTCAATTCCGACGCCTCCGCCCCGGCCGAGACGGTCATCCTCAACCTCAAGAACATGAATGACATCGTCCGGCGGCCCATTCGCGCCGACAGTGCTATTATGCATTTGACTGAGCCCATTATTGCGCTCAAGGCACAGCAGCGGACCCTCCAGATCTTCAACCTCTCCACCAAGGAGCGCTTGCAGACGTACACTCATGAGCACGATATTGTTTTCTGGCGATGGGTCAGCGCGACAACTCTCGCACTCGTCAGTGTCAAGAGTGTTTACCACTGGGATGTACTGGGCGAGAAGCAACTCGTACCCACCAAGGTATTCGATCGCCAAGAGCATCTTGAGGTATGTTTGTACACGATACAATGATTCTGCTGTAGCTAAACCGTGTGCAGGGACACCAGATAATTAATTACGTTGTCTCCGAGGATGGAAACTGGGGTTGCCTGATTGGCATCGCACAGCGACCGAGCGGTGGCATTGGCGGGAATATGCAGTTGTACTCCAGGGCGAGGAATATCAGCCAGCCTCTAGAGGGCCATGCAGCGACTTTTGCTACTATCCGACTAGATGGAAACATGGCGGACTCCAAGCTGTTCGCGTTTGCCGTACGATCCGCAAACGGCGATGCGAAACTGAACATTGTCGAAATCGATCCAAATCCCTCGAACACTGCCTTTCCCAAACGACAGATTCCAGTCCACTGGCCTGCCGAGGTCAATGGTGACTTTCCTCTCGGTATCCACATTGCAAAGAAGTACGGTCTCATATTCGTCATTACGAAGTTCGGCTTCATCCACTTGCACGACCTGGAGACTGGAATTCCTCTGTTCATGAATAGGATATCGGATGACACTGTATTTACCTCCACTGCAGACTCGGAAGGTCGTGGGATTGTCGTCATCAATAAAAAAGGACAGATTCTATACACGACTATTCGCGAGGAGACCCTGATCCCCTATATCATGGAGAATCCCGCAAGTGCCGAGGTTGCCTACAAGCTTGCTGGGAGGGGCGGTCTCCCAGGCGCTGACCAACTGTATAAGTCGCGTTTCGAGAACTTAATGACGCAGGGCGCCTATGCGGATGCTGCAAAGATAGCCGCCAACTCACCGCGAGGATTCCTGCGCACAGCTGCGACCATCAATAGGCTTCGTCAAGCGCCCAACCAGCAGGGTCAGATCACGGTCCTCCTACAATACTTCGGAATTCTGCTTGACAAAGGTGCGCTGAATAAGGAAGAGACATTGGAGCTTGCCCGTCCTGTCTTCCAACAAGGACGGAAGCACCTGATTGAGAAGTGGCACCGAGAAAAGAAGCTCTTCTGTTCTGAAGAGCTCGGCGACCTTGCGAAGCCCCATGATCTCAACCTGGCCCTCGCCATCTATAAGGAAGCAAATGTGCCACAGAAGACCGTTGCAGCTCTCGCCGAATTGGGCCATTTCGATATTATTCTAAAGTACTGCGACTCAGTTGGGTACCGCCCTGACTTTAACGTGTTGCTTCAGCACATTATTCGAGTCAATCCTGAGAAGGGTGCCGAGTTTGCTTCTGCCCTGGCGAAACATGAAGGCGAGCCTCTTATCAGCCTTGATCGTGTAGTCGACATCTTCCAGTCCCAAGGCATGATTCAGCAGGCGACTGCGTTCCTGCTCGAGACGCTCGCACAAAACCTCCCCGAGCAGGGCCATCTGCAGACCAAGCTTCTGGAGATGAACCTGTTGAACGCACCTCAAGTCGCTGACGCTATTCTCGGGAATGAGATGTTTTCGCACTATGATAAGGCCCGCATTGCCCAACTGTGCGAAAATGCTGGTCTTCTCACTCGTGCCCTGGAGCACAACGATGACCCGGTGGCTATCAAGCGCATCATTGTGCAGACCGACAGGCTACCCGAAGAATGGCTAATAAACTACTTTGGCAAGCTGACGGTTGAACTCTCATTGGAATGCTTGGATGAGATGCTCAAGGTCAACATTCGTCAAAATCTTCAGGTGGCTGTGCGCATTGCTCAGAAATACTCCGACCTGTTGGGTTCTAACCGTATCATCGAACTGCTGGAGAAGTACCGCACTGCCGAAGGCCTATATTTCTATCTGGGCGCCATTGTCAATGTCAGCGAGGACAAGGAAGTTCATTTCAAGTACATTGAGGCTGCTACGCACGTCAACCAGCTGAACGAGGTCGAGCGCATTTGCCGTGAGAGCAATTATTACGATCCCGAGAAGGTCAAGAACTTCCTCAAGGAGGCGCAGCTCAAAGAGCAGTTGCCGCTTATCATAGTGTGCGATCGTTTCAACTTCATCCATGACCTTGTTCTTTACCTCTACAAGAACCAGCAATTCAAATCGATCGAAGTCTACGTTCAGCGGGTCAACCCGGCGAGGACCCCGGCTGTTATTGGCGGACTGCTCGATGTCGACTGCGATGAAGGCATCATCAAAGGTCTCTTGGCCTCTGTTACACCTTCCTCGATCCCAATTGACGAGCTCGTGAGCGAGGTTGAGTCCCGCAACCGTCTCAAGCTCTTGCTCCCCTTCCTTGAGCAGACCCTGGCTGCCGGAAACCAGCAGCAGGCCGTCTACAATGCTCTTGCTAAGATTTACATAGACAGCAACAACAACCCGGACAAGTTCCTCAAGGAGAATGACCAGTATGACTCACTTGTGGTCGGCAAGTACTGCGAGAAGCGCGACCCCAATCTCGCATACATTGCCTATCGCAAGGGTCAGAATGATCTCGAGTTGATTAACATCACCAACGAGAATGCCATGTTCAAGGCTCAAGCTCGTTATCTCCTCGAGCGTGCAGATTCCGAGATCTGGGACTATGTTCTTAGCCCCAACAACATGCACCGCCGCTCTTTGGTCGACCAAGTTATTTCAACCGCTGTTCCAGAGTCCCAGGATCCGGACAAGGTCTCCATTGCCGTGAAAGCTTTCATTACGGGCGACATGCCCGCGGAATTGATTGAATTGCTCGAGAAGATTATTCTGGAGCCGTCTGCCTTCAGCGACAACCCATCGCTCCAGAACTTGTTGATGCTGACTGCTGCTAAATCCGACCGAGGCCGTATGATGGGATATATCCATAATCTGAGCAACTACACGCCTGAGGATATTGCCATGCAGTGCATCGACGTGGGCATGTACGAGGAAGCCTTCGAGATTTATAAGAAGCATGAGAGCCACGTTGACGCCATAAATGTTCTTATCGAGCATGTTGTGAGCATTGATCGAGCCCAGGACTACGCAGACCGTGTTGACATCCCAGAAGTTTGGAGCAGAGTTGCAAAGGCTCAGCTAGATGGCTTGCGGGTCACGGACTCTATTGACTCGTACATTCGCGCCCAGGACCCGTCCAACTTCCTGGAGGTCGTCGAGATCGCCACCCATGCTGGCAAGGATGAGGATCTGATCAAGTTCTTGAGGATGGCCCGAAAGACCCTCCGTGAAGTTCCTGTCGATACCGCTCTTGCTTTCTGTTACGCTCGCACAGACCAGCTTCCCGAGTTGGAGGAGTTCTTGCGTGGCACCAATGTTGCCGACATTGAGGCTTCTGGTGACAAGGCATACGAGGAAGGCTACCATGAGGCGGCTAAGATCTTCTACACTAGCATCTCAAACTGGGCTAAGCTCTCAACTACTCTCGTCCATCTCGAGGATTACCAGGCTGCCGTCGAGTGTGCTCGCAAGGCTAACAGCACCAAGGTCTGGCGTCAAGTTAACGAGGCCTGCATTTCCAAGAAGGAGTTCCGCCTGGCTCAGATATGTGGTCTCAACTTGATCGTCCATGCTGAGGAATTGGCCGACCTGGTGAGGCAGTATGAGCGCAATGGTTACTTCGACGAGCTTATCAGCCTGCTTGAGGCTGGCCTTGGTCTTGAGCGTGCACACATGGGTATGTTCACGGAGTTGGGCATCGCGCTCTCCAAGTACCACCCGGAGCGTGTCATGGAGCACCTTCGTCTCTTCTGGTCTCGTATCAACATTCCCAAGATGCTTCGACACTGTGAGGAAGCGCACTTGTGGCCTGAGCTCATTTTCCTGTACGTCCACTACGACGAGTGGGATAATGCTGCTCTTGCCATGATGGAGCGTGCGACGGATTCCTGGGAGCATCAATCGTTCAAGGATACAGTTACAAAGGTCACCAACTTGGAAATCTACTACCGCGCATTGAGCTTCTACCTCGAGGAACATCCAACACTTTTGACCGACCTTCTGCAAGCGCTTACAGCTAGGATCGACGTTAACCGTGTCGTCCGAATGTTTGTCAAGTCAGACAACATTCCTCTCATCAAGCCGTTCCTCCTTAGCGTCCAGTCACAGAACAAGCGTGAGGTGAACAATGCTCTCAACGACCTCCTGATCGAGGAGGAAGATTATAAGACACTACGCGACTCGGTCGAGAACTACGACAACTACGACCCGGTCGACCTTGCGCAGCGCCTTGAGCGCCACGATCTGGTGTTTTTCCGCCAGATTGCTGCCAACATCTATCGCAAGAACAAGCGATGGGAGAAGTCGATTGCTCTCTCCAAGCAAGACAAACTGTTCAAGGACGCTATTGAGACTGCAGCTATGTCTGGCAAGTCTGATGTAGTCGAGGAGCTCCTTCGCTACGCAAGTCACCCATTCCCCCTTAGTCCTCCTCTCCACTAACAACCCCTACAGTTCGTCGATATCGGCAGCCGCGAGTGCTACGTCGGCATGCTCTATGCTTGCTACGACCTCATCCGTCCGGACGTCGTCTTGGAGATTTCATGGCGTAATGGGCTGCACGACTTCACAATGGTATGTTTAACTTCTCCCGCTATGTTGCGTAGCATTGTTAACGATCCTTAGCCATACATGATCAACTATCTGTCCCAGCAAGCAGTCACCATCGAGTTGCTCAAGAAGGACAACGAGGAGCGGAAAGCTCGCGAAGCTAGCCAGCAGAAGAAGGAGGAAGATACACCGATCCTTGGCTCGCGCCTCATGCTAACCCAGGGTCCAATGGCTTCCGCACCGTCTCCAGGTCCCTACGGCCAGTCCAACGGCATTGCTCCTCAGCCAACCGGAAGCTTCCGAGCCTTCTAAGACTCTTCCTCTTGCCCACGCGTCATCCTGGGAGTTTCTCGATAGATATTTCTCCAGAAGTCGCCTCTTCCCCTACTTACATACATGACTTTAGTGGTAAATGCAAAAGCGAGGGCCGGGTGTCTACATCTCTGCGGGTAGTGGTTTCAATCTGGGGCCGATAGGCGGGGGTGTACTCTACAGGCGTTTAAGGTGTTTTCAATGTTTGGAGCATGCTTCTCATGCGCCAAGTACTTCACACCCATGTACTTTAGTTAATCCATGTCATCTGCTGGTAGCATTTGCTTCTTCTTGTGTTTCCCCGGAATATGGAGCTGTGTGATGCGCGGACTAGGTCCGCTCAAAAGCAAAGTGGCGCATAGAGTGTGCTCAATTCTTCATCTTGATGTTCACAGTATTTTACCGAATGCGGCGTCCCGAGCACTAGTTGTGAGGGGCGCACCTCCACAAGAACGACACAAGCTACTGAATTGAGGTGTTTACAGATGGTGGAGCAGCGTCTACGGCGAGTAAGGATGTTTATCAGGCCATGACACGATGCGTCTAGAGTCTGGAGAAGTCCCGCATGGCTTCGAGAGAGGAGCCTTCCGAAACAACCTCGTGGATCCCTCTGGTTTGGAGGATTGGCGGCTGCCCTATGGAAATTGTTCACAGATGCACAAGATCTCACACCCGTTGCTCGGCTACCTGTCCTGCGGATCTTCCAGATGATGCCCGACCATGGCCGAAGCAAAGCGCGCGAAATTGTCCAGGCAAGGCAAGGCAGGCGAGACGAGAACACACTGATTCCTTTTCCCCGTTGTGCCGAGCTTAGAGTTACCAGGACGGAAAATAGCAGGCAGGAGATGACGCTTGCCCTGGCGGTGAGCCTGTGTGTCACGGGGAGCAGAAAGTGTCTGAGGAACAGCTGGGCACTCAGAGAAAATTTTCTGGACGAGGCGAACGTGGGCGTGGTTGAGCGTGGGATGGCTGGGGGGAGTTTGAGGTGAGTTGGCAATAATTTTTACGGCCATGTTCTGTGATGTCTGGTGCCTGCTGCACGGGAGAGTGGGCGTGGGCCGGGCGCGGCGGGGAGTGGAGGAGCACGGCTTTATCGACAAGCCAAGCTGGAGCGGCGAGGAGGGGCAGCAGGGGGAGCTCTGGCCTGCAGATGCTCCGGACCCAGGAGCTTGCACTGGTGCATTGCTTTTGAGGGCATGCACACTGGCCGCACAGCACAGTGAAAGCCGCCGACCCCTCGTCATATCTAAGTGTTGAGTCTGGCTTACCTGTTGGCCTGGTAGCTGGCCGGCTTTTAAAGTTCGTCAAGTGTCCACTTTTCGTTCTGACACAATTCTGAATTCCCATATATTCCCCTCCACTCCAACACCCTCCTCACCTTTACACTTCACCTACCCTCTCCACTCCACCACATCCCTACACCTACACTGCTCTTTTCATACTTTGCCAAAGCGGCTGTCCACTATGGCCACGCTCGCATTCGACAATAAATCTACGTCGTCCTCAGCCATCGACGATAATGAGTTCGACGACGAGCACGATGAGCATCATCCCCACCGTAACTCAGTTCACCACCGGCTGCGGGCAAGCAGCTCTATTATGCAATTGAAGAAGATCCTGGGTGCGTTAACTACCCAATGGCAGCCTGGAAGCTGTGGGTGCCCGCTAACAGCTCGAATAGTCGCCAACCGTGGAGAAATCCCCATCCGCATCTTCCGCACAGCCCACGAACTTTCCCTTCATACCGTCGCTGTCTACAGTCATGAAGACCGTCTCAGCATGCACAGGCAGAAGGCGGACGAGGCCTACGAGATTGGACACCGCGGCCAGTATTCTCCCGTCGGAGCCTACCTGGCGGGTGATGAAATCATCAAGATTGCACTCCAGCACAATGTCAACATGATCCATCCTGGCTACGGATTCTTGTCCGAAAATGCAGAGTTCGCACGAAATGTCGAGAAGGCCGGGCTTATCGTAAGTTGCCCTTTTGTTCTTCTTATGATGAAATCCACTTTATTGCGGGAGCACATGACAATTGCATTTGTTGAGATGGCCTCTCCCGGAGAAGCAAGCTTGCGCGGGGCCGGCTGCAGGGTCGTGCAGGACAGACACCGACTTCTTTCAGCATGTCTTTTTCTGCCCGGACTACTGCCGATCACCGGCCCGCACCAAGACCCTTTACTTTTCCTTTCTTCACAATTGAGGCTGACTCTTGGGGTTTAGTTTGTAGGACCCACTCCGGAGACCATTGATGCCCTTGGCGACAAGGTGTCTGCACGAAAGCTCGCCATCAAGTGTAATGTCCCCGTCGTCCCAGGTACGGAGGGACCAGTCGAGAAGTACGAGGAGGTCAAAGACTTCACCGACAAGTATGGCTTTCCCATCATCATCAAGGCCGCCTTTGGAGGTGGTGGCAGAGGCATGAGAGTAGTCCGGGAGCAGTCTACGCTCAAGGACTCGTTCGAGCGAGCAACGTCGGAAGCCAAGTCAGCTTTCGGCAACGGCACGGTCTTCGTTGAACGATTCTTAGACAGACCAAAGCACATTGAGGTGCAACTATTGGGTGACAACCTCGGCAATGTGGTCCATCTGTATGAGCGTGACTGCTCGGTGCAGCGCCGACACCAGAAGGTCATCGAGCTTGCTCCGGCTAAAGACCTCCCACAAGATGTTCGCGAGTCTATCTTGAACGACGCCGTCCGACTCGCTAGGTCGGTTAGCTATCGGAATGCCGGAACTGCCGAGTTCTTGGTTGACCAGCAGAACCGATATTACTTTATCGAGATTAACCCGCGAATGTAAGTTGTTCTGGCCGTCCTTGCCAAGCTACAATGCTAATATCGTGATTCAGTCAGGTTGAACATACTATTACTGAGGAAATCACCGGTATCGACATCGTTGCCGCACAGATTCAAATTGCTGCAGGTGCTTCGCTTGAGCAGCTCGGCCTTACACAAGATCACATCTCTACGCGAGGGTTTGCGATCCAATGTCGTATTACCACCGAGGACCCGGCCACCAACTTCTCGCCAGATACCGGGAAGATCGAGGTGTACCGTTCTTCAGGTGGCAACGGAGTGCGACTTGACGGTGGAAACGGTTTCGCGGGCGCAATCATTACTCCTCATTATGACTCCATGTTGGTCAAGTGTACCTGTCATGGATCTACGTACGAAATTGTACGCCGAAAGATGCTTCGATCATTGGTTGAGTTCCGTATTCGAGGCGTGAAGACCAACATTCCTTTCTTGATCAAAGTTCTCACGCATCCCACTTTCATCGAGGGGAACTGCTGGACTACTTTCATCGACGACAGGTAGGTTTGTGACTCTGAATCTGTTACGAAGTTTCTAACACATGTCCAGTCCCGAGCTCTTTGCCCTCATCGGCTCGCAGAACCGTGCCCAGAAGCTGCTTGCATATCTCGGAGACCTCGCGGTCAACGGTAGCCAGATCAAGGGACAAATCGGCGAGCCAAAGTTCAAAGGCCAGGTCGTCATTCCTACCCTCCACGACTCTAGCGGCAAGAAAGTCGACTGCTCCGAGCCTTGTCAGAAGGGTTGGCGAAATGTCATTCTCAAGGATGGTCCAGAGGGCTTTGCAAAGGCTGTCCGCGCCAACAAGGGCTGCCTCATCATGGACACCACCTGGCGTGACGCCCATCAGTCTCTCCTCGCTACCCGTGTGAGGACCGTTGATATGCTTACAATTGCGAAGGAGACTAGCCATGCTTTCTCCAACGCCTGGGCCCTTGAGTGCTGGGGTGGAGCGACCTTCGATGTCGCCATGCGCTTCCTATATGAAGACCCATGGGACAGGCTGAGGAAGATGCGGAAGCTTGTCCCCAACATTCCCTTCCAGATGCTCCTACGTGGAGCCAACGGCGTTGCATACTCATCTCTTCCGGACAATGCCATCTCCCATTTCTGTGAGCAAGCCAAGAAGAATGGCGTGGATATTTTCCGAGTCTTCGATGCTCTTAACGACGTTGAGCAACTTGAAGTCGGTATCAAGGCTGTCCTCAAGGCTGGTGGTGTTGCTGAGGGTACCGTCTGTTATAGCGGTGACATGTTGAACCCGCACAAGAAGTACAACCTCGAATACTACCTCGGAGTCGTCGACAAGATCGTCAAGATGGGCGCACATGTCCTTGGTATCAAGGATATGGCGGGTGTTCTGAAGCCTCGTGCCGCCACTTTGCTGGTGGGAGCCATCCGTGAGAAGTATCCTGACCTCCCCATTCATGTTCACACCCATGATTCTGCCGGAACTGGTGTTGCCTCCATGGTAGCCTGTGCTCAGGCTGGCGCAGATGCTGTCGATGCGGCTATTGACAGCATGTCTGGCATGACATCTCAGCCCAGTATTGGCGCTATTCTTGCTTCTCTTGAGGGCACCCCAAATGACGCAGGACTTGATGCTCATATCATCCGTCACCTCGATGCATACTGGGCGCAACTTCGGTTGCTCTATTCTCCCTTCGAAGCAGGCCTTACCGGTCCTGATCCGGAGGTTTACGAGCACGAGATTCCTGGAGGCCAACTTACCAACCTCATTTTCCAGGCTTCGCAGCAGGGTCTTGGAGAGAAATGGGCTCACACGAAAAAGGCGTACGAACACGCCAACGACCTTCTCGGTGACATTGTCAAGGTTACACCCACCTCCAAGGTCGTCGGTGATCTTGCTCAGTTCATGGTCTCTAATGATCTCTCCCACGATGATGTTCTTCAGAAGGCTGAGCAACTCGACTTCCCATCATCGGTACTCGAGTTCTTCGAAGGTCTCATGGGCCAACCCTACGGAGGCTTCCCCGAACCCCTCCGCACCCAAGCCCTCCGTGGCCGAAGAAAGATGGACAAGCGACCTGGTCTGTATCTCGATCCTATTGACATCGCCAAGGTCAAAGCCGATCTCAAGCAGAAGTGGGGCGATGCCACCGAGTGTGACGTTGCCTCCTCCATCATGTACCCCAAGGTCTTTGAGGACTACAAGAAATGGACCACGAAGTACGGTGACCTCTCCGTCCTACCAACCCGCTACTTCCTTGCTCGTCCAGAGATTGGAGAGGAGTTCCACGTCGAACTTGAGAAAGGTAAAGTGCTTATCCTCAAGCTTCTTGCTGTGGGACCACTGTCCGAGCAGACCGGTCTGAGGGAAGTCTTTTATGAGATGAACGGCGAGGGCCGAACAGTCACTGTCGAGGACCAACATGCCGCTGTCGAGAATGTACGGAGGCCCAAGGCTGATCCTACCGATGGCAGTCAAGTCGGTTCGCCGATGGCTGGAGTTGTTGTTGAGGTCCGTGTGCATGATGGCGGCGAGGTCCTCAAGGGCGACCCCATTGCTGTCTTGAGTGCCATGAAGATGGTAAGTCTCCTAGCCCACCCCCACTCGACCTTGCACGCTAACAAATATTCTAGGAAATGGTCATCTCCGCGCCCCACAGTGGCAAAATCGGTAGTCTGTCCGTCCGTGAAGGCGACTCACTCGATTCTCAAGATCTTGTCTGCAAGATCATTAAGTAATTTCTTTCCGGCCCATGTCTTTCTGCTTTGTGTTTTCAGTACGTTGCTGAGTCGATGGTGTCTAGTGTCGAGAAGAAGCCAGCTAAGAAGGTTACCTGGCGCTCTCCTTTGACCATACTCTAAATAGGGTTTTATTTCCTGATGGTTAGGGGCAATGGGATAGGATGGTTTATGTAGTTTATGGTGAAATGGATGATGACTTCTACCTCAATTCAAGTATGTTGTACGCTTTGTGATGTGCTGAAACTTGATGATTAAGTGCTGTTAACTACAGCGTGTTCTGGCCACTCAAAGTACAGGATTAGAAAGAATCCGATTGCTTATATTCCTTGCTGGAGTCGAGAGCATTACTAGCAGAATTAGAAAGGGTTGTCTTAAAATTATCCGTGTCCTCTCCTGTGGGTGCGTTTGACTCCAGCACATTCGTCCCTATCAAGTCACGATAGCAGAAAATATTTGATTTCTTAAATTCCTTGCTAGAATTAGGCGGAATGAAATCTTTTGCTCTGAATTACCCCCTTACTATGACCCATATTCGTACATGTCTATCCATAGATTACCGAGCAAAATTCGCAAGAGATGTCCTGAGAAAATCTAGTTATTCAACGCCACAAATGCAATTAAGAACATTCAAAGTCTCCTCTTCATAAAATCAGAAACTCAGAAACTCCGTGACCCCAAGGTAGCCAATAACCACACTGCCTACTTCCTCACAGCACTAAAATCCAACCTCCGCGCAACCTTGTCCGCACGCCCAGTGTCCACTTCCCCACCCCTCCTTTTCAAATCCTCGCCCATCTTCTGCTCCCCACCTCCCTGCCTAGGCAAATCTTCTTTCTTCGTTGGCCGCGGCGCATTCGTCCAGTATCTGTGATCCAGGACCGCTCGCGCTGAGAGACGTTTGAGGGGATCGAGCGTCAGCATCCCACGTATCAAATCAATACCGTCTTCGCCTAAAAGCGGGAAACGGTTGCGCCAATAGCCGAGGGGTTGCGCGCGCTTAAGACCGGGTTGAGAAGTGTTTTGTGAGGGATTGCCGTTCGCCGCGCTGGAATTGAGCGTGAGGCTGGGAGCAGGTGTATTGTCTGGGGCAGTGTAGAATTGGAATTGGGATACGCCTGGCCAAGTCTCTTCAGTCGGGGTGCCGAAGACGTCGTAGATAATACACAATTGCTGAAAGTCTGTTTCAGATGGTAAAAACCATTCTCGGATCGCGAGCTCGGCGATGACGACGCCCATACTCCAGACGTCCACGCCGCCGCCGTAGTGTCGTGCGCCGAGAAGGAGTTCCGGGGGACGGTAGAAGCGCGTGATCACGTTGTAGGTCATGATGCGTCCGGGGTCGGCGAACGAACGGGCGAGACCGAAATCAGCAAGTTTGACGGTGCCGTCGGCGGCGATGAGCAAGTTGTTGCCCTTAATGTCGCGGTGCAGGATGAAGTTTTCATGGCAGAACCATACGGCTTGCGCTAGCATGTTCGCCCATGCTTTGATGTCTGCGGATGTGTAGCTGATTGTGTGTGTTTTCCATAATGTCTCGAGGTCGCCGAGGGGTAGGTGTTCGAGCACGAGGGAGATGTTTTGGTCTTTGGTGGAGAATACAGCGTGCAGTTTTATGACGTTGGGATGTTCGAGCTCGGAGAGGAATTTGATTTCTCGGATGGCGTCCATGGCGATGCCGTCTTTGTAGTCTTGGTTTACTTTGATTTTTTTTATGGCGACGAGGGAACTAGGATCTTCGCGGTAGTGGCCGCTGTAGACGATGGCATAGGTTCCTTCGCCGAGTTTGGAGCCTGAGATGGACAATCAGCATCAGCAATATCTTTCTAGGTTTGTTTGAGGCGGAGGTGAGGTGAGAGGGATAGGGACAAGGGTTTACCTGTGATGAACCTCTTGCGGACTTCATCGTTCATTTGCTCCGCAAGATCTCGTCCTGGATCTCCAGGCGTCGAGGCCGCGGTTGCTGTCTGCGCATTGCTGGAATTGAGAATCGCGAGCGTTTTCGTTTTCGTTGAAAGAGCCCTCATGCCTGGTCCTGGAGGGTTAGGCCTCGGACTGAGGACCGGGGAGATAACCATCTTGTCAACCTTTTCAACCATGATATCCGTGTCTAGCGAACCCATGTAAAGAACGGAGTATGGAAGCTATCGCAAGGTCGATGCTGGGAGGAGATTCGGGGTGTTAGAGGTGGTAGCGGACAGAGACGTCGAGCGCTCGAGGGATGTTGTAGGTGAGAGTTTCATGCTTTGGGTGAGTGCGGACACATATTTCCCCTTTCGTTGGAACCGTGCTCTTTCACGAGAGGTTGGTGAGAGTGGATAGTTGATGCGGCGGTTCGATGCATAAGGCTACGTTTGGCCCGTGCGTCAAAGCCTCTCGACATGTCCAGGTGCAGCATCCCGTATACCAAGAAAGGTAAGACCAAGTTCCTGGTCGTTTTTCGAACAGACGAGTTCAGTTTCGGTCTCCTCTACTTCTGATACCACGCGGATGCAACGCTGGATAGCTATGTAATGGAGGGATTTCTGGCTGTAAGTTCTTCCGAGGTTCAGCCGAATCTCGCAGCTGTTCTAATATTGATGCAAAAATCACGTCAAAGAGAATAGGATAAAGGTAGTCGGGTTTAGAAGGCATTGGAAATGTACAGATTATAATTGTTAGTTATTTTAGAGGGGTGGATGCAGCACTGGAGAGCCGGGAGCTGCGATGGAATGTGGCCGGTCAAAGCTTCCCTATCTTGGCATCTTCGAAAAGTTGATCATCTCTAGACCACCAACATCAACACTCAATTCCCGCTTCAGCACCTACACATCGCCGTACCTGATACTCGGTCCATTTGCATTGTAATTTATTCTAAGCACAAAATCAGCAGTTCCCCCCCACTGGCCATCACTGCCTGACTGAGACCATGATTCTGCGGAGACCTCTTCTCACAATCTCTACCTCTTTCTCGGCCCCAAAGACCTGCGCCCGAAATCTGCACCACCGCATCCCCCTCCGACCAATCCCACAGCCCATTCCATTCATCCCTGATGTGCCCACCTTCCTCACAGCAATCGGCCGCAACCTCTCGGCACACAGTTCCAAAATCACTTCCTGGGATGCCCTCTTCACCCTCACTTCTGCTCAACTCAAAGACCTAGGCGTTGAGCCCGCGCGCTCTCGCCGCTATCTTCTCCATTGGCGCGAGAAGTTCCGGAACGGGGAGTACGGGATTGGAGGGGATTGCAAATTCGTTGAAGATGGCGTTGCTGAGCTGAGGCTTGTGGAAGCGCCTGTTGTGCCGAATACCGAGCAGGGCAGTATGAGTAGGAGGAGTGCTGTGGCGACGGCGACGCATATGCCCGGTACGAGGAAAGCTGTAGTGAATGTGCCTAAAGGAACCGAACGGCCGACTGAGCCGTTGGAGAACGTGAAGAGTGTCAAGGGCGTTGTAGTCAAGGGCGCGAAGACGATCAAGGCGCCTTATGTGGAACTTGTGAAGGGTAGTGCCGGGCTGAAGGCGTTGTTAAGGGTACAGGAGGGGATTTGGGAGGAGAGAAGGGGGCATAGGGTTGATGGGGGTGAGAGGAGGAAGGCTGAGACGAGGGCGAAGAGGAGGGCGGCAGAGAATAAGGAGAAAAAGAGGTAGATCGCCGGGGAAGCTGGAGGGGGTGGAATAGCATGGAATATGGACTTTGGAAATGATGGATCTGGCTCATGGACACGACTTGTAACATACCTTTTGTGCGAACATGTAAGTTTTATAAATTTCAACTGACAAGGCTTTACCTGGTACAAACTCTCATGCGAAAAGCCATTGATATAGTCTGCTTAAGACTGAGATGCGACTAAAATAACAAAAGAGTCGCATCATGCAAAACGGTCTCAAATTTGCTTGGTTAGGACGAGAACGAAAATAGTGCCCACACTTTAAATAGCCAGGGCATTACAAAAGGTAGAGAGAGATTTGTTATCGGGTTCCAATTCCAAGAGAAAGGCATCAACCCATGTTTGGCCTCTACTCTAAGACATGGGATGTTCTTCCTGGCCTGTGTGTGACGGGCGCCTTCACGCCGTGTTTGGTCCAACCCCGCCAATCCGTAACTACGACAGCTAATTCGACCTCACCTCTAACTTCATCCCGTAACTCGGCATTCTAATTACATCTATGTTTTTTCTACAATATCCTTGCCACTTATTTTGGTTTACCTTCTTCGTGGCTATATCCTGCTAGGAAACCTTGGGCAGGTGAGTGTCAGGCAAACTATTCATCTTTCCGGACGGCGCTAGGGCCGGGTTATTGTCTCTTCCGATCCGTTTTTATGAACGCTTTCGTCCCTTGTTAGCTGCCTCTTTTCCTCGTGGTTTTTTTATTTCCCCTACGTCATGTCATCGATTTAGTAAGATTTTCGTGAATTTGACCAGTTCTCTGATTTGGGTTTTAGGTGGGCATACGTATCCGTACCTACGCCTCATGACTACTGTTTCAAAACCATACTCTCATCACAACAGTTCTTGACACTCACCAAAGACTTGCTTTACACTTCAACTCTCAGTTACATTGTCATATCCCGCTGCAACGGCAAACAATGGCAAATATCACCTATGCTATCCTAGCAATCCTGCCGCTTGTCGCTTGGTATCTCTACGTCCAAGCTCGACGCTGGCGCTTCAAGAAATATGCACATATTCCCCACCTACCCTCGTCCTTCGCTCTGGGCCACCTCAAGTTCATTGCTGAAGGCTTCAAAAAACTTGGCGATAGCAGGCGCCACGGAGGTATGTGTTCTCTCCCTTTACACCTAGGCTAAAGTTTCAACTAAGAAATGTTGTAGATTATGTATTCGGCGACATGATAAAGGCCGCCGGCAACCCACAGATATTGATGGTCGATCTCCGTCCCGTTAACTATGCCATGGTTCTGGTGGCTTCCCATGATATTGCAGAGCAGATCACGCGGACCTCGAAGTTGTATCCGTATAGTGTGACGAAGTCGCCGACAATACAGATTTCGTACCAGCACTTAGTTGGAGCCAAGTCTATTCTTACACTTGAGGTACATACATCATGCCCTTTAAACCTCCCTTCAAACGTCTGTCTTGCACCCTTCATTGAATGAGTGCTAAATTATTTTAGGGGGAGGAGTGGAAGACATTCCGCAAGAGGTTCAACCTTGGATTCGCACCACAACATCTCCTTACTCTCCTTCCCCAGATTGTGAAGAAGACGTCGGACTTCATGTCGAGGCTCGACAGCCTGGCAGAGTCGGGTGTTGAGTTTGACATGGAACCTCTCTGCACCGACTTAACTTTCGACATCATCGGTGCCATTGTCATGAACGTCGATTTTGAGGCCCAAGGTGAACATATTCGCAGTAACAACATTGTGAAACACTACCGAAATCTTATAGAGACGTTCTCCGACACTGGTCGCCTCTGGCTGTGGCTGAATGTGCCTATCCGGATCCGCCGGATCATCGCATCCATGCAAGCGGATCGTGCGATTAAGAAGGCGGTGAAGCAGCAATTTGCAGAAATCAAAGCGGCACAGCGCAAAGCTACGAAACAGACCAAAGATCGCTCTGTGCTTGCGCTTGCTCTAGAGGATATCGATGTATTAACGAGCGATACCCTCCAGAGCATAACTGATCAGGTTAAAACTTTCCTATTTGCAGGACATGATACCACTTCGATCCTCTTGCAGAGGCTGTTCTATGTACTCTCCATTCATCCAAAATGCCTTGCCACTCTTCGCGCTGAACACGATGCAATATTCGGGGACGCGGACCCTCAAGAAGTCTTCCTCGCTAGGCCAGACGAAACAATCAGAGCACTCTCTTACACCTCCGCCTGCATAAAGGAAGCTTTGCGCCTGTGGCCTCCAGCCGGAACCGCAAGGCGAGCAGAACCTGGGTCAGGCTTCAAAGTGCGGCTGGAGAACGGAGAAGAAGTCTGTCTTGATGGAGCAGTACTCTATCTCTGCCAATATCTAATCCAACGTGATCCCAAAGTCTACGGTGAAACAGCCAACCAGTTCATTCCTGAGCGCTGGCTTGGAGACACGGATACCAGTGCCGCGAACAAGGACGAAGCGGGCCACGAGGCTGGAGAGAGTAAGATTCCTATCAGTGCTTGGAGAGCATTCGAGCGAGGACCAAGGAACTGTATTGGCCAGGAACTGGCAAATTTGGAAGCTCGGGTTATTCTGGCTTGTGTGATAAGGAGGTATGATTTCATTAAGGTTGGAGCTGGGGCGATTAAGGTTGATGAGAAAGGGGAGCCGGTGATGGATATAAAGGGGGTGTATGAGACTACTTCGGAATTGTTTAGTGTAAGTTGCAATCCCTTTCTGACATGTGAATGCATAGCTAATTGTTGATAGTCGATGCAGGTGACCTCGAAGCCGTTTGATAAGACTCGGATGCGCATCAAGATGCATCATAAAGATAATTGAGATTAAACTTCATGATATCTGCTCGGAATGTAAGATTTGTGGTGTCCGATACTGAGAGGGTTCTTGGTGTACTAGTCGTGTTTGATACCTATCAAGGGCCCTGTCAATTAGCAATCAGGTGCCTTTGAAGGGACAGATTTCTGAAGAATGTACATGGGTTTTCAGTGCATTTTGCAGAGACTTGGGTCAAATCAAACTTCTGAACAAGTTTTTCAAACCCAAATAACTGTGAATGGGAAATTTAGTGCTAATTGCTTGCCGATTTTAAGATAATAGAGAGTCCCAAGTCGGCACGCTCACCGAAATGTTAAGAGATGATGCATGCCTTTTGAAGTCTTCCATATCAAAATTTCTGTCCTGCACACCCCTAGTCGCGCCCCTACCATGACTTCAATGAGAAGTATGGATAAGCGGTTCTTCGTTCCCATCATTCCTTCTGCTGCCCCATCGGCCCCCGGTGCGTTAACATGCCGATTGATGAGAAATCGGTTTCAGGATGCGCAAACCGGACGAATTCTACGGACCTCATTTTTATATGCATATTAAATAACAATTGCTCGAATTTCAACATCTTCAGTCCCTTTAAGCATCTTTTACTCTAGATTTAAGGTTCCTAGGCGTAAGTTTGCCGGTGCCACAGCTACTGCAGGAACCCTCCAATGACATAAGGTGCACAGACAGCACGCGATCTTGTACCGCAATGACGACCGTCCAAACTTCTACCACCACCCCTTCTCTTGCCCGTGCTAACTCGTCCTCGACTGAACGAGCAGGAGCTCCAGCCTCCGCGTTCCACAAACTCGTGGATCGCGTACGGTTCTCTTACCATCGGAATTATGCCACGACTTTCGCGTCTCTTCCTCCCATATCCAACGACCGCCTCAATGCCTCCTTGAACGAAGCACCACTCGATGTCTGGTCACTCACAAAATCCGAGATTCTGGCAGCGGAAGAAAAAGGGAAGACGGTGCTCTACCTGGCATATGGGTCGAATCTGTGTAAAGAGACGTTTAGGGGCAAGAGAGGCATCAAGCCTCTCTCGCAGGTCAACGTGCTAGTGCCGGAACTGAAGTTGACGTTTGACTTACCGGGAATACCCTATTCGGAGCCTTGTTTTGCCAATTCGGCGATGCGAGATCCGTCAGAGTCGAAGCCCGAGGGCGGGAGTCGTGTGGGCGGAGCAGATTATCACAAAGACCGCTGGCACAAAGGGCTTGTGGGATGCGTGTACGAGGTTACACCATCCGACTATGCACACATAATTGCGACTGAGGGTGGTGGGACTGCATATAAGGATATTATGGTTACTTGCTATCTGCTACCCGACTCGGACACGGTTCCCTCCTCACCGTCCTCCCCATCCTTCAAAGCCCACACGCTCTTCGCACCCGCTGCTGATCCAGACTCCACGCAGGCCTGGGGTCTCCACACACGAGAGCGTTTCTCCCGCCCAGATCCCAGCTACGCGCAGCCCTCCGCCCGCTACCTCAAACTCATCACCGATGGCGCATCCGAGCTCTCCCTCCCTGCCGAATACCAATCCTACCTCTCGCAAATCCGACCGTACACTATCACAACAAAGAAACAGGGAATGGGGCAAAAGATCTTTCTGAGTACATGGATCCCGTTTATAGCATTTGTGTTTGGGCTTCAGGCTCGGTTTCAGGATGATAAGGGACGCAGCCCTAAATGGCTCGAGAGGTTGAGTGGGTTGTTGTTTTTGGGGATGTGGACGAATTATGATGCAGTGTATAAGAGGATATTTGGGGATGGGGAGAGGACTGAGGGACAGGATGAGGATGCTATGGGTGGGCAAGAGAAATTAGGTATTCTGGGAAGGAGGGAGGACAGAGTGAGTTGTGGTATTGTTTGAAAGCGCTGGGCGGGGTTCTCATCGTCTTGCCTGGGTAGCGCATGCTTTGTGCGTTCTATCCCATACTTATATCTCTCTCGAGTTGAACCAAACTTAGCATCTGCTAGTATGGTTTCTACCTGATTAGTCTAATACCTGTATGCATGCATGACGTCCACCCCTTCCAAGGCCTCTCTATTAGGCTTCGACTTAGTTAGCATCGCTTAAAAAGTTAAGGAAAGATATTTTACATCGCCCCTGTCTAACAGATTTCCTGTCATCTATGCCTCCTTTGAGAATAACCTGTCTTGAAAGTTCTTTGGGCATGCCCTGCTCAGTTCTCGAAGAGGAAGAATATGAATCAGCTCTGGGTTTCAAAAAAGACTAGCAGTCAGTCTTGGATGCAGGAGTCTGCGGTTTACTTAAAGGTAGACTCCTCGATCTGCTTCGGGGTGTGCTGTTTTTAGCCTCGTCTTGGCGCATGTGTGTCCAGCTGCATCAGCGCAGCCTTGCTTCCTTCGTTCCTACGGCACTTTCATCACTCCCGCCACCAACAACTCACGAGATACTTCCTTATTGACGAATCATCCCTCCTTAACCCATGGCTTTAAATTTCAACTCCAAATATAGTCTCTCCAGCAATACTGAAGCGTCCTTCGAGACAATACAGCCAAGACTTGAGGATAGTAGAGATACAGATGAGAATCATCATAGTACCAGCGCGGCGCTTGACGATCCCGACATCGGTTTTTCTACTGAACTTTGTAAACAAAGTACTTGTCCAACAAGGAGAGAGTTCGATGGCTTTGACAACCCAGAGACAGCGCTTTTGGATTGTCATAAGGCAGGTTGTGCACGTTGCGGTTTTATTCTTGGGGGTTGGGGGTTACCACGCCATAAAGGACGAGCCATTTAAGTCCGTGTACCTGTCAGTCAATTGGCAAGATATATATCAGGAACTAGGAGTGGGAGACCTATCACTCTCTGTTTTTAGCGCCCAAGGAGGTGCTGCGGAGTACGAATTTTATAGCCCTGTTCATGGTAAAATGCCGTAGCTCTCCTGCTTCAAGGTTGGACTAACCCAGCAACCCAGTCAATGACTTCAAAGCAATGTCTGCACCTCGGTTCCGTGATTCATCAGCGCCAGAGTCACAGCCAGCTCCATCCTCCGCTGTCATCGTATCTATCGATGACGCCTCTGTGCAGATCAATAACTATCCAGACATTGCAGACAACCCTAAATCACCTGAGTGCATTGTACATGCTCGAGCATGGTTAGATATATGCCTTGAAAGCCACACTGCCTGCTCTTTCTACGACCAACATTTCCTTCCAAAACGAATCATTTACGTAGGGGATACTTCGACTGTGCCTCGATTATGTGAATTTGATACAGTCTCGACTGTAGACACGTCCTACGTTGCGCTCAGCCACTGCTGGGGAGCTTTCCAGACGTACAAAACTGAGAAACATTCCCTCAACGACCGCCTCACGGGGCTGTCATGGAGCCATATCCCTGAGACATTTCAAGATGCCATCCTTATAACTCGCTCCTTAGGCTTCCACTTCATCTGGATTGACTCTCTTTGCATTGTCCAAGATGATCTTGACGATTGGGCAGGAGAGTCATCCAGAATGAACAGTGTATATGCTAATGCAGCTCTCACGATTGCGGCTGCTACTGCCGAAGACGATACTCAGGGTTTCCTTCAAAGGAGATACTATGCTAGCTACTTGATTCCAACGGGCGACAATGGTACTAAGATAAAGATACGCCGTTTCCTTCATGACGACAGCTTTGACCAGCCAGGTCCGCTCGCTCGCCGAGGGTGGGTGCTACAAGAAAGACTACTGTCGCGGCGGATTCTATACTATGAGCAAGACGAAATGGTTTGGGAGTGTAGAGAGAACAGACATTGCGAATGTGGGCATAAGCTATCCTTCGATAGGAACAAAGGGACTCCCAGTTCCAAAACTCCGCTTGTGGACGCGTACTACTTTACACAATCCAGTGTGCCAACTTCAGAGACATACTCATGGTGGCGTAAGTGGGTTGTGCCTGAATATATACTGCTTCAATTGACAAAACTCTCCGACCGACTTCCTGCCCTGTCGGGGCTCGCGACCGCCATGCGTTTAAAATCTAGGGTCACTTATTTAGCAGGAATATGGTTAGAAGATCTTGCCCCCAGCCTTCTATGGAGGACATTCGGTCATGCGAGGCTTGTTATTGATGAATATATAGCCCCTTCCTGGTCGTGGGCATCTCTGAATGGCCGAGTGGATTTTGGCCCTGGTGTTGAGGGTATCAAGTTCGTCAGGGTAGTTGAATATAATATCACAATCACCTCAAAGAACCCTACAGGTGCTATATCCGGTGGATCGTTGAAACTGCTGTGCCCTGTCATCGAGAACTGGAGGGTTTTCAGCAACAATTCAATCGTTCCAGGACTTGGACTTGATCAGTTAGGGCCTCTCTATTCGGAATGGGACACGGCTTTGGAATCGGTTGACGTCGATACTCTAAACGGGAGGGAGAAAACGATTGCAAGGTGGGGGGGAAATATATATTCTGTTGTTGATGGAACAGTCAGTCTAGCTTTTGTAGCACTGGAAGAGGATAAATCATATAGGTATAACCAGCTTACCTCCATATATGGCTTACTCCTTGGGCTCTCTCCATCTTTACCAGGGACTTATGAGCGCCTCGGACGTTTTCACGTTGATATATCTAGAAAGGAAACGTGGCATACCATTCAACAGGCATTACAGCTGCATATGAGGGAAATTGTTCTTACATAAGCCACTAGATTCTTGTTGATATTCATCCAGTGTACTCCGAATATTCTTACCACTCTCCAGAATGCGGGAGCGAAACACCCATACTGACTGTAGGTATGCCCATGTTATCTTTGTCATCGACTCGTCTCTTTAAGTGATCGAGCTTCTGGGCTGGGGCGGTAGTCCGAAGCACTGAGCCCTTGCTTAATTTTGGCAGGACCTCTTCTAGCTGCTCGAGCCAGACTATCCAGAAGGAAGTAGGTGGGCAGGATCCTTATCTTGAGGGTCCTGTTGTGGGTGACGTAAAGGGGTAAGATACCTCCAGCGAGTTCCATTTAGGATGTCAAAATGTCTTCTGACGCCTTTTAGTGTTGCATTCTGGGAAATTATATGGCCGGAAACATGAATAGGGTTTTTGGTGGCTTTCTTTCTTGCTCCCTGTACCTACACTTTAAACCATGATGTGATATTGTAACTTTCGTTCAACAGGACGAAGATATCAGGCCGGTGGCTCTGCCACTGTGGTCTGTAAACTCGAATGTGAATAAGAACTGATGTAGGGTATTTGCCCACGGAACCGCTACGCTCTATCCGAGTTTATGAAGGAGTCGGGCTCGCGAGTCAAAGGGATAAGCTGAGGACTTCATCTAGTTTACTAGGTCACGCCGAGGTGCTCGCGCCTTGTCACATGAATGCAGAAATAGAGAGTTATGGGGAGGGTGAAAGAATTGTTTAGGGAACAAGGAAGGAGGCTTGAACTACCTACATACGTCAGGTTGTTCGAAAATGATATTGTTAAGATGTTTATAGGCTCATAGTTGAACAAGCGTCTTCATATGGCAGAAAGTGACTCAGTATCGAAAGCCTAAATGACGAAAATGTCATCATTCGCCCGAAAGAATAATGACTTAGGTATTCCTACACTCCAGCACCCCCCTAAAAAAAAGCCGCAAACACGCCCGTCCTTCACTGCACGCTCCACAAGCAGTCACTTGCCTACCCAACCCACTAAAGCAGAACCCTGACTCACCGCCTCACCTTTCCAATTCCCCTCACCTAGGGTATATAAACAGTTTAGTAGAGCTTCTCTTTCGCCTTCGGGCATCTGGTCAATTTGCATCGATACAGAGAAGATTAGCATGGCCCCTGCACTAAGGATGACACGCTCAATCAAAGAGAAGCAACCATTTTTTTGCACTTTTTTTGGTCCTAGGTTCGGCCCACAGACGAGGAGGATGGAGGGCTTTTATTTTTGGGTTGTTGATTACGGGGATAAGTAGTTTGGGGTGGTGGCTAGAGGCTTGATGTAGGTGGTAGAGCTTAATAGATTAGTGAGCTTGTAGTGCTTGTTCTAGATATGTAACTGGCGTGGAGGGATTTGCTAAGTTAATTCACTGATACCCGTGGGGGTTGTGCTAATCTAGGTAGCTTGCCCTACAGTGAACTACATCTTCCTGTGCATGCGGGATAAATACGGCTGAGGGTTTCTTTGGCATTATTCGCCGTTTGGGTAATTAGGATATTTTCCACAACTTGGTCATCGAAATAAAGGAATGCGCTTGGTCCAGCTCATGTAGTGAAGGGAGAGGGACTTCATCCAGCATCGTCACGTCTCGGATGACCTCCTTGGAGATACACTCCAGAGGAGAGGAAACTTTGATATTTGCAATATGCCAGGAATCATAACCACCTTTTGCGCTTCATAAGAAGCTGGCAAGCCAAGTTGTTGAGGAACCTTGCACGAATTCGGACCCACGATTAACACCGCAGACCACATCATTTGTATCGATGCTCATGAATTTGGTGGTATTCATGATGAATTAGAAACTACACTAAATTCATAAAGCGCAAGCCCAGGGTATTAGATCCAGCCCGCAGATACAATCCATGCAATGCCCTTGAACGCTCCCATAACGCGGAGTCAAATTATGTCCATTTGACGGTCTAGGCCAGACCTGCCATTTCCCATAATACCATACCATGTCGTGAATATTCCATATTTCCAAATCCGAGAACGCCATCCCAATGCAATTGTTGATACGGTTAAAGCCATGCTAAAGCAAATGCACTCACTCCAACTAGCACCGCATTCCATGACACTTTCCACCGTTCTGCAACGCCGCCTGAAGATGGTTTATTGGTGGCTTGCGGCCCGGCGGCAGATGTAGGGGCATTAGAAAGTACCGTCGTGCTACCATCGATCGTGACAGTTTGGCCGGGAGTCGCCGTGCTTGTTCCGCCGATAAGGTAGATAGAGACGCTGGTTGCTACGCCATTGACCGTTGTTGGGATTATAGTTAAGACAGCCGAGGGTGCGGATAAGACCGTCGGCTGACTATTAATCATGACGGTTTGGCCGATCGTCGCGGTTGCAGATGAGCCGGGAAGGATGAATGCGGGAATAGTAGTAGATTGTCCATCCACAACCGTAGGAACAAGCGTGTAAACGGGCGTCGGCACCGCAGCAAACTGTGCGGGCGCATGCGTCGGGCTGGCTTGGGCCTGGATGCCCGAGGAGAAAACTCCTGGGTAGTTGTTAATAATGCTCAAGAGGATCTCAGGCAGATTTGGCGGGTTCTCGGTTCCAGGCTGCTCGGGCTGCTGGGTCTGCTGCGCTTGCGGATTTGCAGGGCCGAAACCTGGGGCCGTGTTCTCGATGTGTGCCGCGACTGTTACTGATGCGGGAGGCTTACTGCTTCCTCTTCCTCCCCATGGCTCTGTCGTCTCGAAGCCAGTGGCCGTCTTTTCGATTCCGACAAGTTGGGGTGCCTTCTTCGACCCAGTTGTTGTGACCTCCCAGCCTGTCTCTGAAGGTTGGATTATTACGCCCGGGGCAGTTGCACTATAAGTCCTGTTTCCATACAGGGTTGTCGTGACCGTCACGTATTTGGCGGTGGTATATTCTGTCGGAAGCGGCGTTGAGGGATTCACAGATTCACAGGATGAGAAAGCGGACTCGGAAGGAAATGCTACCTGGAAGAAGAGCGCATCTGGCTCATCCTTGTACGGGCCCCAGATAGGGACATGCGATGTGCCAAAAGGGTCGAATCTTCCAGGACTTAGCTCTCCTTTTGGCTGGGGATATTCTGGATGTTCCCTAAGGGGTACCTCTGAAGGTTCAGGCGTTGCCGTTGCGCATGAAGGTTCAAATGCTTTGTTGTGAGTTTGAAGGACTCCCTGCCAGTGATACTCCCATGAATAGTCAAGAAAGGGTGTTGGATACGCAACACGGGAGTAGAATGTCATGCCATCAGACTGCGGGACTGGGAAGGTTACCATCGCTGTACCCGCTACGTTTGTACCCACGGTTAAGAAATTGTAATCTGAGGGGAGGGGGTCGTTGTATGCTATGCCAGTTCGCGTGAACAGTGTGGTATTGGCGGACATTACAATTTCAAGTAGCATCGTAGCCACGGTTATTGAGGTGGTGTAGACGACCTGAGTTTCGGGAATCCATTGGAGGGCCGAGATCTGTGGGTACTCGACTGAGCATTTCGAGTCGCATATCGAAGCAGTTGACGTAGGTGTAGGTTGCGTCGTGTTGGCGTAGGAGGGCCGTAAAGGAATGATGCCTGTACCTTCAAGTCAATGACGATCGTTGCGAGCAGTTGATTTCACGACACGAACCTCGGGGTGATGCGAGCGCCACGATGGCGTGCAATCCGAAGAGCGCGCCAAGCGTAAGGCTTCTTAAGCACATCGCTGATATTGCGCCTGAGAGCGCTGTTAAGGTGTCGAAACACGAGGAAAACGAGCGTGTGGAGTCAGAAAAGACATGAAAAAGTCGATTGAGCGAGCGATGGCGTTTTGAGGGGAAGAAGTGGAGAGAAAGGCCCCTTGAGATTGGAAGGTGGTTTTCACGCGAGATCTCGACCTCGTATTCAGCCTCAGCTCTCATGCACACGATATTGGGGTCGCGTGGCTCACGGTCAGGCGCAGGGCAACGCGGGGTCACCAGTACGAATGCGCAATGCTTCGTAAATCTGACTTGTTGTTGAGCATCCAATGCCGAGAAGTTGAGATGCCTTCTGCAAAGCAGCCTCCAACACAGAACGGCCAAACTTGGAGAGCAACATGGCCGCGGTGCGTGAAATGACCTTGAGAGTCAGGTGCAAGGTCTGGCCAGAATGGCGTGGCCGAAGACGGAACCTTCAGACCAAAATGGAAGATCGAGCGAGAGTGAGAGTCGGGTGTGGGATTGGCCGCGGTACTGGAATTGTGAGATATCTGCCGGAGAGGGAGAAAGAGAGAAATGAGGAATAGCATCAAATACCTGAGAATCGTAGTCTGGACATAGAGAGCCACCTAGTAATGTCACACGGGTGGTCCAGGGAAGATGTGCACGTCCACGTGACGAACGGGTTATGAGGGAAGGATCGTGGGATGATAGTTGTGGCGCCGCTGTTTGGATGCAAGTGGCGGTGCGCAATCTCAGCCTAAAGTGCGGCGTCCCGCGCCCCTCGTTTGGTACCCACCTTTCAATCTCTCTAAATGAAGTGGACACCAAAAAGCCAGGTCGAGCAAATCTTGGAAGAAGAGCTTACCGGGCTTCGACCAAAAGCCAAGTGTGCACGTTATACACTCTCGAATATCTCAATATCAACCCCGTCTCTCGGTATCGTTAGGCATTCACGCAGCTGTCTTTGCGCACGACGTCGTCAGCCTCTTCAACTTTCATATCTTCCCGTGTGACACTTTCTGGATTCAGCGCGTCTTTCTGGCTCCCGAATATATTGAAGGTATCGCTTGGCCGGTGAGACGTTGGTCCTCTGCCGATGCAATATCGACCCGCGGAGCTCCAGGGCTACGCCTGTTTCAATCGCCGAGGCTACGCAACTTCTAACATCCTTCTCAACCCACAAGGGAACCAATCATGCGAGCAGACTAGTGCTTCAATTGCATGTTCTGTCAGCTTGTGTGGGCCCATGGGCTTCAATTTGGCGCTTGATCGGACCTGCTGTTCCCCACGGGGACGGAACTTTTGTCGAAACATTCCTCCCGAGCTTCCTTGACGACAGGTAAAACTCCATCCCAAAGCTATCGATGCACTCCTTACTCTTCCCACTTTCAACTCCTTCGAATTTCGAATGACGTTTAACATCACCGGGCACATAGTCTTGGAATATTGCCTTGCATAGAGTGAGTGCACCGCGGTCCTGGATTCGTCGCGCAGAGACGTTAATTGGCTGAAGGCAAGGTGATCTCATGATTTCTCTATTGGTCAAATGTTTCATCTTCATCAAATGATCCCTAATATCTCGTATCTGTTAAGCCTCCTCTGCTGTATCACGGGAGCTTCTATCCTTGCGGGGCTTCGTCGGCTTCATCTATTTCCACCAGTTAGTTAACTGCAGGATAATATATTCGTCTACTTTTAACAATAACGCCGAGTCTACACTCACATGAGAAGGTTTCTAGAAAACGCCAAGTCTTCTACACAGCAATGATCTGACAAGTCTAATTTGCAACCCTTCCGATCACCTTCTGGAAAAGGGCTGAGGCTTGGGATGCCGCAACGGAACATCCAACCGTCTCTTCCGTACTTCATTAACCATGGTTGAAGAAGAAGCTAAGGAAGGCCGGGTAGGTCGTTTCTGGGAATAGCCAATTTACATCGAAAAGAAATCCGGGTCAAAGACCCACGTTACACAGAAACAACACGGAGACAACGTACAACGCCACCTGAAGTTGACCGGAATACAGAGCCGCAGTTTATTAGGCACTTTATATCTCACAGAAGAGATCAGCTAGCATGGAAGGGCGTGCCTTTGAATCTCGCTTTTGGACCGCATCGTGAGCGAAGGAGGAGCATATAAGACAGGACAAGGTACTTCACGGATTCTCTCCTCATCCCCTCAGATTCGGTTCTCTCCTCCATCATGTTCTCCAAGACTGCATTTCTATCCTCCATCTTCGCCGCTGCGGCTACGGCCCAGCAGGTTGGCACCCTGACCACCGAGACTCATCCGGCGATGCCTATCCAGAGCTGTACTGCAGCTGGATCGTGCACGACAATCAACACCGCCGTTACCCTTGATGCCAACTGGAGATGGCTGCACACCACCACCGGCTACGACAATTGTTACACTGGAAATGCTTGGAACACCACGATGTGCCCGGATGGCAAGACCTGTGCCTCCAAGTGCGCACTTGATGGCGCCGACTATCCAGGAACATACGGTGTGACTGCTAGCGGTGGAGATCTCACGCTCAAATTCGTAACGAATGGCCAATACTCCAAGAACATCGGCTCGCGTCTGTACCTCATGGCTTCGGACTCGAAATATCAAATGTTCAAGCTCTTGAACCGAGAGTTCACTTTCGATGTCGATGTCTCCAATTTGCCATGCGGCTTAAATGGAGCTCTCTATCTCATCGAGATGGACGAAGATGGTGGCATGGCTAAGTACGCTTCTAACAAGGCTGGTGCTAAGTACGGCACTGGGTATTGCGACACTCAGTGCCCGCATGACATCAAATTCATCAACGGCGAGGTAAGAATTTCTATCCTTGTTCCCTTCCATTTTGCGCCCCCTCCATTATAAACGCTAACATTTCCTAGGCCAATGTAGACGGCTGGGTTGGCAGCTCCAACGATGTCAACGCCGGATCCGGCAAGTACGGCTCTTGCTGCAACGAAATGGACATCTGGGAAGCAAACTCCGTCTCAGCGGCATACACTCCCCACGTTTGTAGTCAGAATGGGCAAGTTCGCTGCTCCGGCACCGACTGCGGCGATGGTGACCAGCGCTATTCTGGTATCTGCGACAAGGACGGATGTGACTTCAACAGCTACCGCATGGGCGATACCTCCTTCTATGGCAAGGGTTTGACTGTCGACACATCCAAGAAATTCACCGTTGTCACTCAGTTCATCACCGCCGACGGCACCGATACTGGCAAGCTCTCCGAGATCCGTCGTCTCTATGTTCAGGGCGGCAAGGTCATCAAGAACAGCGTCTCCAAGATCTCCGGTATCACCGAGACCAACTCCATTACCGACAAATTCTGCAACGAGCAAAAGACTACCTTCGGAGATACCAATTCCTTCGAAAAGCTCGGTGGTATGGCAGCCATGGGTGGCGCCATCGGTCGTGGAATGGTTCTTGCGCTCTCCGTCTGGGACGACCACGCGGTCAACATGCTCTGGCTCGACTCTACCTACCCCACTGACAAGGATGCCTCCACCCCTGGTGTTGGTCGCGGTACTTGCGCAACTACGTCTGGCGTCCCGTCCGAGATCGAGGTATCGGCCGCCAGCTCCAGTGTTACGTACGGACAAATCAAGATCGGCAAGATCGACACCACGTACTCTACTTCCAGCTCTGGTGGCAACACTGGTGGCAACACCGGCGGAAATACTGGAAACACTGGAACCGTTGCCAAGTACGGTCAGTGTGGTGGAAACGGCTATACGGGAGCTACGGCCTGTGTTTCTGGAAGCACGTGCACGAAGCTGAACGACTACTACAGCCAGTGCTTGTAAGTATGGATGTCGTCAATAGGGGATCATGATAGAGGGGCACGAGGGACTAGGCATATAGAGGAGTGAGGGACTTGCTTGTATATACTTTGACTGGTTTGGATGGGCAAAATTTTGCCAGCCGGCACCTCTTTTTCTTCTTTGTACCTATTCAATTCCTACTTATACTGTCTCATTGGTTTGCTGAGCGGTAATGCGTTCATTTCTTCCCTGGGTTTTATGATGGTGCGTAAATGAGCTTATGGTCGACCGATGACCCGGACTCTACCCACGACTAAGAACAAGATATACAGGTGATATTCTTCTGAACAATGCTACCATAACTTTTCGAGCCTAGGGTAAGAACCAATTAACTGGAGCCAGCAGGTCGCAGGTGATCAAAATCCTTTGATCAACAGAATTTACCCTGACAAGTTCACCCTAAAATCAAGATTACGCATTGTCTCCAGCCTTCCCTTTAAGGTTAAAAATCTAGGAATGTTCTATTTACAGAGCGGTAAGATCTCGTTGATCGATTTCAAGTCGCACTATCCGAAACACAATTTCCGATATGAGAAATTAGCAGGGCATTTTGGGGCTGAGCCTGCACACAACACCCGAGTTTTGTGCTACTTTGAAATACGACTAGAATGGAAGCAGCTGTGAACGGGAATTTCTGAAACAGCACCGAGTTGAGCTTAGCTAAAATCCTACAGCATTTACCCTCATCGATAATCATTGAGGTGGGGGGCACATTCGTGAGAGATTGAGATTGGTAGACTGGGTTCTTGATGTTCTTATGATGGGTATATAAGGCAAAGCATTGTAGGTCTCTCAGCATTCATCACAAGCAGTCTCAACAGCTCTCGTTCCAAATTCTCCTCGATTATATCTCTGCTACTTATTTTTCAGCATATCAACATGCTTTCAAAAACCTTGGTCGTGATTTCGGTCCTATCAACTGCGCTTGCAGCACCTACAACACTATCCCCTCGCGGCGATCACCCTGATGAAGTCGTGGTTCTAGCCTCCTGCGACAACGGCAAGTCTGGAGTACAACTTGAGGTAAAGGACCGCCTTCATTACTTCTCGGACGACTATGCGCGTCGTAAGGGCGGGGCATCTCAAGACACCGTTCTACAAATCCACGATCCTGCCACGCACGATGGCTTCACCTACCACGTCTCCTGGGATGCAGGCACCATAGCCGATCCAGTTTCCGCTACCTTCCCCGATGATGGCCGCATATTCAAGGTCTGGGGACTTCCTTCAACTGGGGAGTCTTCGAAGGCCGACGAACCTGTCGAGGGAACGGCTACACTTGGAGGCGCCTCGTTTAAGTGCTACAAGGGGGATTCCTCCCAGACTTGGTCTACTGGTGATGGCTTTACATGCGCAGCCGCTTTCACTTGCACACGACTGGAACGCTGGATCCGCAAGACAAATGTTAACTTCGACGATAAAACGGTCCTCGTCGGCGAACCGGAATGCCATGTCGAGAAATCGACGGCGATCAACGCAAAGGATGCATTTGGGAAGCTGAAAGACGCCGTTAGCAAGAGTTGGGATACGGAAACTGGCTTCGACATCGGTGCCGGCTGCAAAATGTACTTTCCTGTGGTCACTGTGCCGCCAGCTTCAAACAACTACGATGATACTACCCCCCAGCAGATTGTCGATATATTTGTCGACCACATTGGTGCGGAAGTCGAGAAGAATAGGACCTCGAAAGGGAGGAATTGTAACAGGCCTGGCTACATGGGGCAAGATACTACGTATCATATTGAAGAGGAGCAGCTGGAGTACCCTCGAGGAGGCCAGTTTGAGATTTTTGTCGCTCAACAGTCAAATCCGCAGTGGGTTACCCAGACGAGGGTTGATTTCAGGGTTGCTTGTGCGTGCCACGATAACCACGTATTCTTGAGTGCTCTCGCAAATGGACTCGGTTTGTTTGGGGGTTGGATTAGTCCTGCGTTTGGTACAGCCTCTGCTTCTATCAACATTATGAGCTTGGCCTTGGGTCAGTGCTAGTAATGCAGCCTTTGTAAAGTTTGAGATATTTTAGTTGTGTAGAAAACAACGAATACAAGCATATTCATTCACTCAAAGAAAACACAACAAGAAAACAAGAACAAGAATGCTATTTCCCAAAAGTCGCGCTACGCGACCCCCAGTGTACTGGTATGTGAATGTCAGCATTTATACATCTTGGATGAAGAAGGAAGGCATTGCCAGAACTGTAGAGGAAGCGCAGAAAGGATCAGGACAATAAGCTCCAAAGATTTCCGGGCTAAACGCAGCAAAGAACAGAGGCACAGAACGCTATTCTTAAAGCCAGGTTTAAAGATGCTTTGATGGAAATGATAGTGCTATTCATAGATCACTCACATCCATCCATCGTTGTTAGAGGAGGACAATTATACTTAGACCGTGAGCTGGCATGGAAACCCGCAAATATGGAATTTCAAATTATATCCAATCAATGGTAGTAAAGAGGGGAAAGACGTCGGGTCTTCAGAAGATTGCAGCAAGCATCCTTTCTAATGTAGAATGTTCATGAAAGGCAGAACTTTGAGCTGGAAGGCCTCGTTTGTAACGGAAAGAAGCACATTCCTGACGTCTTCATTCATTCATTTCTGCCTGAAGAGGAAGACATCTACATGAGGTCAGTCTGAGCAGGAATATTAAGGAAAATTTCAGATCTCTTAAAAAAATACAGCATGCACCACCCCCTTTTTTTCTGGCAGGGGATATTTGTGAAAGGCTGCAATTTGAGCTGGAGGTCTCATCGGCAACAGGAAGAAGCACATACCTGATGTCTCCGTTTATTCGCTCTTTCAGAGGCATCGCTAAACATGTCACCAAGATGATGGGGTCTACACTATGCAGAAGTGCTCATGGGTATCTCACATTAATCCACATTCAAACTCCCAGCCCCCAAATCCCTCCTGTGATTAGAAGCTAATTTCTACTACGAAATGCCGATGATACTATCGTACTATCTGCTTGCCACCGTTCCCCTTTCCTCTCCCCGCCGCGGCCCCCTACTCCAGCGCAACCTCATCTGGGACACAGGCCCAGGAGCAGACCTCCACCCTGAAGGGCACGAAATTCACTGGACGATACCAAAACTCGAGCCACTCCGCTCGAGCAACGACATATTTCTTTCCGCATTGGTGGCAGTTGCGGAAGGGTCCGAAGACCAGTTCGTGGTTGTCGTCTGCGATGTCTAGGAATCTGTCGAGGTTGAAGAGCTCGACGCCGCTCCTCGCCATCATGGCCCGGGTTTCGAGTGTTGACAGGTGCTCTAGCGCAGTCTTACCGCAAAGCGAGAACAGCGATGGCACCAACATCCCAGGGCGGGAAAACCAGCTTGAGGGGCTTCCCCAGGTGCCGTCTTTCATCTTTACGATGACGTCGGCTGTGCAGCCATCCCCAGTGGGCTGCCGCGGGGATCCGCGAAGGCGTCGCCCTGCGTCGTCGTAGTAGGTTGGCGCCGTGTTGCCAATGTGAAATAGGGGGGTCTGTGTCTCTTTTGTGCCAGCGATCGAGATCTTGGAGTAGAGCGACACTTGATCAGGATCGCAGACTTTCTCAACTTCTTCTAGATATTTGGTGAGACAGACTGCAGCGGCTGAATCCCCCTCAAGTAGACCAGTTCGGTAGGAGTCTAAGTAGGCCTTGCGTCTCTCAAAAGTTGTGGTATGGAGTAGCGACTCGCTATCAAGAGTGATGATTCGATGGAGCGACGCCATTTCAAATAGATCATTGCCCATTAAAGACAGGCGCTCCAGCTTTCCACGCGGAGTCAGCATCTTTATGATGTCGTAGGGAAGCGACCTCAGGCGGTTGTTGCAGACGTCGAGCAGGGTGAGGTTGGTGAGCCGACCAATCTGGGGTGGCAGCTCCTTGATGTCGTTGTTGGGGAGCATGAGGGTCGTGAGGTGCTCGATGGTGAAGAGAGATGGCGTGAGGCGGGACAACGAGTTTTTGCTTAGGTTAAGGAGGATCTGGGGCAGCATCGATCGATAGTACTCCTTGCCTGGCACACGAGAGCCTGGGTCTAATGGTGGCTTGATGAGAGCAGAGAGACCTCCAAGAGGTGAAAGATCCTTGTCAACGAGACCGAGATCCGTGAGGTCGTATGACTCTGAATGGCAAGCGAGACCGTCATCAACCATATCATGAACGAAGTTCTCAAGGGACTGGGAGCTGTCGTATTTGTCGCTCTCGTAGTCATGCTCCTCGGAAGGTGGATTGGGTGCAATTGGGAGACTGTAAGCAATGGCGTCGTTGTCGGTGTCGTCGCTGTGCATCCACACTCCCGAATCGATGTTTCGCTTCAACTTGGTCTTCTTGGACGTTGCGTCTCTACCAGAGTCGTTGTGATGTGCACTCCCGTCACGCTTGTCCCACCAAGCACCGCCAAACTTCCTCTTCATGCGTGGTGCTTGGTAATTGTCGATACCAGCACTCTCCATCGGGCCATCACTGGAGAATACGGCGGGTTCACTCGAAGCGGGGGAGGAGGGCGCGTCCGCAGAGTCCATCATGATAGGCGGGGAGCTCCGAATGCGGTTCAATTCTTTGACACGGGGCATGGTGGAGGATTTACAACAACGGAGAACTGCGATGGATGAGGCAGACGCAGTGTTGGTAGTGAGGCAGGGGGTGAAGGTAACAGGGAGATTATGTGGGAGGACGCGTTGAGGACGCGGGCGGGTCGTCAGCTCAAGCGCGCAACTTTTAGTGGGACGCTAAGGTTGCGTCATGCGAACAGGGGTTCGCCAGGAGTGAACGGTGGCACGTGTAGCGGGGGAGGGTTGCATGCAAGTGCTTTACTGCTAAGGATGCGGATCTCCGGGTGATACAAACATGTGGGGGAAAAGGACTCAGAAGCTGCGGACAGGAGAAGAAGATATTAATGCTCCGCAACGCATGTCGTAAGGTCACTAGCCATTTAGAGGTATTATTTCGTCCGGGCGGGCCTCGCACTTTCCAAGGTTCGCTGAAGCATCATAAACTAGAAATAGGAGATGGGGATAATCAATCAACAAGCTCTCAGCTTCTCCAGCCGTTGAAATAATAACGTTCCACGTCAATTCCCGGGATATCAAACAGTACCTACAACCTCCCGCAATATGCCGTCACTTCTGTAAATCAACATCTTTGGGCCCCCAAGTCCGTCCCACATCCTCACACAAATCGTGGTCTCTTGTCCAGCTATTGCAGCCCCCCAGTGGCCATTTCTGCAAAGCCGCTAACCTTATTAGCCCCTACAGTTGCACCTCCTTGCAACGAGTTCTACAAGCCGGCCATTCGCCTAATAGCTACATTCGGCACAATTCGCCCCTCTGCGAGTATGTCCGTCCCTTTGAGCGGGGCCCCCTTGCTCATTGCCAGTTGCGTCAGAATCTTCCCGAGGGGCTGTGTAGGTGTCATGATGCCGCTTGCGAGTGCATTAAGCCCTGGCATAAGCATTCTCTTGTAGAATGCCTGCTGTGGCATGTAATCATGAATCTCGGGGTGCTTTGTCCAATCCACACCACCGGGCCGCACGTTGTAGACGTTGAAGTTTGGTGTCTTATTGCCAAAGTCTAGCAGTGACGTCTCTGTCTCTCCCTTGACTTTGCCGAAAAGGGGCGTGAACATTCCGGGTTTCTGGGTCGCACCTTCCCCGGAAACGTAGACGAATGTGAAGGGGGAGTCGGGGTGCAGGGTGCTGAACGCTTCAGCGGCGGCCATGGTGTAGTCGTGCGTGATATCATAGTAGTCGCTAATTGGAGTGCGTTAGAATCTAGAAGGTATCCTAGAAAGTCTTTAATACATACGTCTTGTTGACTGAGTTTTGCGATACGCCTAGCGACCATACACATCCCTGGGCGTCCTTCAGCTCCTCAAGTAGCGACGGATCATACTTCTTGAAGTCCTTGTGTATGATGACCTTCGCCTTGTCTTCGTGACCACTAGCCATTGGCACTGGCCGCCGGCTGAGAATGGAAATGCGCGTGATTTCCTTCATTCCGAGCATGCTCTGGAGCACGCCTGCGCCAACGAGGCCCGTCGCACCGGTAAGGATGAGATGCATATTGAGTATAGGTTTTGATAGAACTCTACTTTGAGGACGAAGAGGAGGATAAGAGCTGACAGTAAGAACTAAGACCATTAGTCCGCGAGAGAAGCTACATCCTTATAGAGTTGTGCCGCAAGGCCAACCGCCTTAACTCCGGCCCACGCATCCATCGCGGTTCGACCGACTTTCGAGCGCAAGGCTGGTTACCGAGTCTATGTACTCGAAAGGGATACAAAAGCTCGTTTCCTAGATGGCCAGGGCCGAGCCGCTGATGCCGTTGCTGATGGTGCGGTCGAACTTCTGACCGATCTGCGTTGGGCAGAGGGCGAGAGATTGACTAAGCGGAAATGGCTTCCGGCTGAACAGTGGCTGCATTCGTCGTGGTAGGTGCAGGACTTGGAGACTTGCCCAACTTCATCTCAATTGATTAAGACACCGTCACAGTCATTTCTGCGATGACAATGGATTTCCTGAGGACTTATCGGAGCAGATAGCTGGTAGCCTCTCACGCCGCTAGCACGGACCCTTGTCGCATTTACGTAGGACAATGGTGTCCGTCCGGTTTCCTCGTTAAAGACTTCTGCTTCCGACCGGTTCCTGAACTGAACACTCCTTTTTTCTAATCTGTTTATTATTATTCCCCTGAAGCTTTCTTTGTCACATCTTTTACAGTCCCTCCTTCCTTCCCACCTTCTCATTCTCATGGGGCAGAATGGCAGCTACGTCAGCACTGGCAAATCGCCACATTGTATCTACTATCCTTCATCAACTATCTGACATGAAGTATAAAGTCCGCCGACAATTTGGCCCGGACCAGCCCGTTGAGTTTCTCGAATTCCGTCCTACGCTGGTGCCAGCAATTCTTGTGAACAAGTTGTGGGCAGATGAGGGCACCTCGATTCTCTGGAAGCGATATCCGCACCTTCCGGCGTTAAAGACCATGGATCAGGCAAGACGACAGTACTACGCCAACAAGGTCCACCAGATATTTTCAATGAGTCCGCCACCAGGGCATTCGGTCACCTTAGATTATCAGGACGACCTGCAATGGACGAATTTAAAGTCTCTGGAATTAGAGGTGGACTTCTTGAGGCATGGAGCGCACTTTCTGCCTATGATTCATCCTGGACTCGAGCATTTGGAGATATCAGGCCCTCAGAGTGGTGGGCCGGAATACTTTACGGAAGTACTACTCCCTTCTGTATTTGTAAGTCAACATTGATGGAAACGTCTTCTATCCCCCCCTCAGCTCCGCATTTCTGTCGAAACTGCATACTCACCCTAAACAGACCCCTTGTCGGAGCCTCCAGAGCATCAAATTTGGACCTGGTGTCCTCTACGACGAGGATACCGTAGATGCAAGCGTTCTTTACGAACACCTCGACTCAATACCTTCCCTCCGAAACGTGGAACTGAAAGGCACAAGTTTCATGGATAAGGATTCGCTGTTTACACGTCTGAGTCAACGTGCCGGCCTCGAAGGCCTGGAGATCGATCTCGATCCTGGCATCGCTCTTTTGCCGCAGCTTGGTGGCCCAAATGCCCTTCCGCTGTTTACTTCGTTGAAGCGCTTGACCATCATGTGTTATCCTGAGATTGCTCTTGCCCTACCATCCCACCTTGCCCTCATCGAGGAACTCCAGTTTGATGTATGCCGAGTGCCTGAAGCGCCTGCCAAGGACGAAGACTTGACAATATTCGAAGATTTATTGGCGAAGCTATCAAATTGTCCACAATTGAAGATGCTCAAGGTCGCGGTCGGTGCCATGGCTATCAATTTCCCATCCTTCATGGTCTTCCCCAAACTTAGCGGCGCTTCTCTTCTCAGTCTCGCTTCCAACTGTCCAAAGCTGGAAGACCTCAAACTTTTGGCTACGGAGCCCTCGGCTATCGATGGTTCGGATATTACGAGCGAAAACTTTGATATGTTTTGTCAGACACTTCCACGGCTTCGGAACATCAGCTTGAAGCTGTCCCCTACAACCGCTACCGCGCTAGAAGTGACTGCGCTTCAAAGCCTTGGAAATCATTGTCGAGAGCTTGAACTCGTTCGACTCAAGCTTCCATTCCAACTTCCCATCCTACCAGTTCCTAGTCATATACCCCGAATATTAATCGACGGAGGCTCCAGCCCCAATACCCCGACCGCTGAAGAGACGTTCGAAACGTCATTTGACGAGCCCAACTCTCCAAATAGGTTTCGATCAGCTTCAGATATGAGCGGAGTGAGATCAGATCATGAAACAATTGCTGATTTTTACCCCCTCTTTCCTCGCCTAACGCACCTTGCCATTGCACGACCCGAGAGCATCCTCTTATCGTCCGACGACACTTTCACCAACTCTTCCGCATCCTGCGGAGGCCCCCCATCAGAGATTCTCGATCCTGATCTCGAAGCAGACCTCGTCCGCTCATGGGCGCACCCACTTCTGGCTCATTTTCCAAGCATCGAAATCCTAGAAGCCTGGGGTGATTGTGTGGGCCAAGACAACGAGTCGCTGAATTACTTCCTCCCCACGGAGGAAATTCTCGCGAGTACATGGGAGTTCCTGAGCGGTGCTGAGCAAGATCTATGGGATGACGAGGAAGAAATTGGTAGCTGGAAAACATACGAGAGCGGAGAGGACTGGGATACACCTTCTTACGTGGACAGTTTTGTTGGGGTTGATGACGCTATGCCAAAGTTGCGGAATATCGAGGAAGAATCGGAGGGTCGGATTACTCCCGGGCGTGTACCAGACCAGCTCCAACTCTTTGATACCCTAGTCACCCACACCGAATCGAAGCCGCCGCTTAATACTATTCATATTGAGGGAGAGGAGCTGGACGCCACTCCCCGAATACCGACTGATGCACTTGGCTATTCAAAGATCTGATGAGGCCGTGTGTTTGGACGGCTAGTATCGTCAGTCCGTATGAGGTATCCTTCATAGTTTTTGATCCTGTACAGGTCCATTTCGACTTTCTGGAACCTGGATGCTCTTAGTATACACAGTGGCCTAGCTGGTTTAGGCGCTTCACTCATGCATATTATGACTGACGATTATGATTCTGCACATGAATATAGAAGCAATGAGCCGTTCCAAAAGCACAAGGTTTGTTTCTAAAGCACACATGTTTCATCCCACATAATAAGATATTGGATTACACGTTCAGTTTGGAATTCTAGCACGAAAATGTTTCACTTCTGTCATCACATCATTGGCGCTTTTCCTCAGCTATCAACTGCAACTAAACGCAATACACAGACATCTAAAGTATCACACGAAGCCGATGATTCCAAGAACAAGCCTCTTTATGCCAAGTATTTTGATTCTCACAATGACGTATATATTTACAGTATCACCCATACTTCACCTTTTCAGCAAAATCAGTAGGACCAGCCTCCCCAACACTACTCCCAAAGCTACTCCCCCTATCCCTGCTCCTCCCTCTAGACGGCGTCCTCCCTCCCTTTGGCGTAATACTCGTCGGTGCTTCCACCACCTCCGTAGTGTTCCCATCTAACTCTAGCGCATCTGCTAATCCCTCTTTCTGCCCCGGTACCGGCTCATGCACCATCCTATGCGTGCTTTCCGAGTCTTCTTCCTCTGCGCGCTCAACGACTACGCTTAGTACATGCCCACGCTTCTTCTTCAATACGGCCCCGCCTTCAGTATCTCTCTCCCCTGTCGGCGAGAGCGGTGACCGGGGAGGTGATCGCCCTCTTCGACTCCCCCGCCAGCTTTTCCGTCGCGATATTGGTCCTGGCGCTGCGGCTGTGGATATATGTGCGCGCCAAACGCTTTCAGGGACGCCAGCCGCGGCCTTGGCGGCTTTGAGGTCGCGTTTCAAACGTCTGATGTATAGGGCGATGGTGATGAGGATCGCAGATGCGAAGACGGTTACGGAGATGGAGATACCGGCTTTGACTCCAGGGGAGAGCGAGTGGGGCGTTGGAAGGAGGGCGAGGGGTGTGTCTGTTGGCATGGCTAGTGGTGTAGAGGCCGGTCGCGAAATTGTGGGGAGGCGGGAGGAGATGAGGGTTGAGGGCGCGGGAGAGGAGATTGTGTTACCAGGCCCTGGGTTTGGGTTTGTATTAGGTCGTGAAGGCGAGGAGGATGTTGAGGATGAGGGTAGCGAGGTTGAGGAATCTGGGGTCTTGGTGGAGGTCTTGCCGTCCGTCTTCGATGTTGAACTCCCCTTGTCCATTGTCATTGTACTCGAGCTTTTACTCCCTCCGTCATTTCCATCTCCGTTCCCGATGTCCACCCCCACTTCCTTACATGCTGATCTGATGATTGCAAATGCCGTCGCTTGGTCGCTGTCATTGCATCCTTTGTCCACACAAGAGGCTGCAGAAGACAAGATGTTGCCTTTCGAGCAGTGGCATTCAAAGTCTGTTTCGCTCTTACAACCGTCATTTGCGAGCGCGTTTATAAAGCATTGTAGAGCACACTTAGGGATATCCAGATTGTCTAGCGACGACTGAGCGGCCGAGGACGAGGCGTAGAGACTGATAATGACCAAGACGGCTTGAAGGAGAGCTGGAGTTGTTCGTGAGAGAATCGATCGTGGGAGGCGCATGTCTGGTGCGAGGTCGGCAGAGAAGAGGGCGGCTCATACATGAATGGTCGTATATGAGAGGGAGATTTAGAAGACACTGGGCTTTCCGAGACCGACCTAGGGTCTGAGGGTTGAGATCCTGGTTGACTTGATGGAAGTGCTTCCGCAACTTGATCGAACTGTCTGTCGTCCACGTTCGCGAGAGATGAGGGTATCTAATTGCGACAGGGGATTAATCATTCACAATACACCATCGTACCAAGAAAATGAAAAAACTAGAGAAAGGATCAGGACTGAGACCTCAGCATCTGTCCATGAGCCGCAACAAACACCCGGTCGGACGGCATTCCTGCCCACAAAGTTGTCGCCAGCTCGTCCCGCATACAAACCTTCCATATCACACCCCTCTCGTATCACGTACCGTCATGATCTCCAGACAGCCTCGCCTCCACATTCCAGATCTTCCGAGACCCCGGTTCGCTGCAAGCCATCGTTACTGGTGGCAGGGATGCTGCATCCGCAAACCGTGCCAATCGGATGTGCTAGGGCTAAACGGGTTTGGGAAGCGAGGATTTCTAAAACAGACATGAGCTTATGCCGGACATGGCATAATTGGGGTGTTTTTGGGATGAATGGGTTTGTATGGAGGAAGGATGTTGTGGGCTGGTGGACGGACGGCGCGTGTGGTATTGGTGGTATTGGTGGAGGTGGTTCACAGAGGAGGACGAGGTGGTTTTGCGGCGCGTATCGCTGCTTACGCTGGATGGAGGTCTGGACCATGGCGAGCTGTTAGCAGGTTTCTGAATAAGAATGGGAGGTTTTAGCGCTACTGAAGAATGAAGAGCTATTAAATGCTTGGTCTGCAATCTGGTGTCGTCCGCCGCTCAGATATTTCCCAACCATGCATTGAGGAGAGAACGATGTCAGCGCATATCTAGACGGGATAATTGCTCTCTGTTACCGGATCCAGCCATTGCCAAAGAGGTGGGCGGAAGCATGCGTTCTTGTTTGAAGGTTACTGGCTGAAGCAGCGAGGAATTCGAACTTGATCTACATCAGTACTCTCAGGCCTGGCCAATGATGGAAGAGTCCACCTCGGGACTGTAATTCGACCGAAGTTCTCTCGCTTGTGTCTATCTAGATATTGTATTTGATGGATCGAGATCGTCGCTCGGGTCCCGACTGCCGCGATATGTTTAGGTCTTGAATCCCACCCTAGCGAGGACTTTTACGGCCATTGACAGCTTGGATGAGTTAATTCGAGGGCCGGATCGACAAGGCTTCACGTCGATTGGTTCTGTCTCAATGAGGATGTTGGTGGTCGACCTGAGAATACCTTTTCGTAACACGGGCATTAGCACCCGGCCAGTGGCTGTTATGATCTATCGTAAATGCTTTATCTGGACCAACAGAAGCAAATGGCCATTGGAAGGAACCTTTTGGGCGTGTCTCTGGGAGGCTTGCTGTCAACTTTGGGTATGATACCTCACGAGTGAACTTCTACACCCAAAACCTAGCCGAAAGTGAGTCTCACGCCGTTCTAAAACCTTAAGCCATGTCGCGGGAACTAGGCTATAGGATATCACTAGGCATAGCAAGCGAAAAATCTCTGTTAATACAGTCAGTTTGGCAGCTATATCCACACGCGGTTTCGCGGCTCCAAAACCCAATTTGGCGGCTGGCCCACAGTACAACGCCGCCGCTCCAAAACAGCCAACTGTATTGTCAACGGGCATGAAGTCAGGGCTTCATCAAGGTAATTGCTTTACAAGAACTCAAATCTACTCCAACGTCCCAAAAGCCCTCACTCAAAAGCTAAAGGCTTTCACCTTCAATAAACTATTGCAATTACTTCTTCCTCAACCTCGTAGGCCAGCCACGAGAATCAATGAAAAAGAAATGATTTGTTTATTTGGGTTGAACCCAGGTAGGAAGCAAAAATTGTGCCCGTGAGTTCGGCTGCGCTGTGCAATGCGGACCGAATTCATACCAAGATTTAGGCGGTCGAGGTAGGTTTCTGACTTCATGATCTCAGAAACCCGAGCGGGGCCAGACATGCAGGCAGTATAAAGAAAAGAAAGCGAATTTGAACTAGGGAGGGCGGGTTTATATAGATGGGGGGCAGCCAACAGATCACACTCGCTTAGCGCAGGCAACCCTAGATCACACTGACGTATTGCCCATCCAACCTTCACTCCAGGAAACTCTGGGGCCTCTTAGTATGCTAGAACCTTCTCTGGAGCCTGGAAACATGCTCAGATGAACTTTTACTGGCCAATTAAAACCAGCGCTATAGTCATGTGATTTTGTATTCAGGCAAGACAACTGATCCGTACTCCTTACTTCTTCACCTTCCATTGCGACATGGCTAAGTCTCTTCGCAGTTATTCTCACATTACCGGGATTGATGTTCTTGGTGGAAGACAAAGATGGGCACAAAAGTTGACGGTCATACGCAAAAATAGCTCGGGCACACTGCGAAACGAGAGGCCTCAAACTCATCCACTTGATGGTGATTCCAGCCTAAGAGTTTCCAGGCTCGCCAATCGCATGTGAATACGCCCATCTAGCTTATGGGCGCTCTTAGGCTTTGCTAACATCGTTCTCTAGCTCCTATTCAAATAAAAATTAGCAGTCTCCGTCCAGCGAGCCATTTATTGGACAACAAATTGGACCATAATCGGATCCTTCCACCTTCAAGTATGTTGACTAGGAGGTTTTGAAGGATGAACTACCGAGAGAGAGGATCTAACTTCATATTCTGCTCACATTACGGCGCACCACCGAAAATGCTACACAGAGTTCTCTCTCCGTCCTTCTCATCGACGTCGATGACAATTCCAACAGACTCCCATTTGTCATCGTTCAGCTCGCAGCGGTGTTACTAGCACCAATATCATGCCCGCCGACTTTGACGAGTCGTGCCCATTTAATATTCTTCATTGCTACGGTGTTGGACATGTTTTGGTTAAGTTCGACTAGGTGAACTATTCCCGCGTCGCGCAGTCGATCTCCTGTGATAGTTGAGAGTCTGGTCGTAGACACCTTTTTGGGGGATATTTGAACGGAGTTTGTGGCAGATATGACACAAATTCCGTTTGGAATGGAAACTTCACCTCGCCAAGGAGGTGTTCTGCACAGCGCGGGTTTGACAGATGGCCGCACAGAAGTTGTTGCTCGCGAATTTTTATCCGCCTCTATATATTCTTCTGCTGTGCATGCAAGAATGTTGACCTTGGACCATTTGGAATAGAAAGGAATATGTGACGAGCACAATAGTTGGGCAGCTGCGAGCGCGAGGGCAAGAGAGTTGAATATGCTCTGAAATGATCCGATAACGTCATGAAGGTGGAGATTGTTGGTAGTAACGGATAACATGGACTCCACAATCTCAGGAATGCGGTACTTACCTATTCCAGGGGGCCCAAGCCCACTATACTTCTCACCCCTCCGTTTGGTAAAGCTGAACGAGATTCATGAACAAATGAACACAAATAAGACAGCAGCACGATGGAAGAAAACGATATACATTGACTTCGGATCACTAAAAACCCTCACACTATCCTCTATTCCCCTAATCGAACAACGACAGCCCGATCTCTGACCCAGAATCGTCACCATCATCTCCGGCGTCCCCAACCTCATCACCCTCCCCACCCTCCTCGCCTCTGTCCTCCTGCCCCTTGCCAGAAGTCTCCCCTTCAACCTTGCCTGGTCCAGCAGCAGTGACGTCAGTGAGCAATTCCTTGACGTTCTTATCCTTGAGCGCGTTGGCGAACAGCGTGGTCCAGATGGGTTCGACGTCCTCGATACCAGCAGCTTTGAGAAGAGTTTGGAGCTTCTCGGGCGTGATTTTGAGACCCTCGTCGGCGAGGATTAGGGCGGCGTAGGAGGTCGCGATCTCGGCGTTGGTATTGGCGCTAGAGCTAGCGTTGATATTGGCAGACATCGCAAACTTGGTTTCGGTTGAAGTTTGTGTGCGTGACTTTAAGTTGTTGGAAGCTATTCAGAACTTTGCTAGATGTTACTTTAGGAGGTGATGAAGGAAGCAAATTTACTGTAGGACGCGAGCGACTTTATAGATCTAGGGTATGCGGCATCATGTCGCAGCCTGATTCGCAATTTTGTTTCGATTATGGAAGTGCGGTTGTTGTTGTGAATAGGCGTTCTGTACAATGGTTTGTGAGTCAGGGGTGACTCATGCTCCATTATTCTGACTGGGCAATGTGGCGAAGCCATCAGCAAAGTAACACCTTCGTCCTAACAAGAAATGGGAATCCTCCTGGACTATAATCAGACTACGCCCCAAATACTTCGAAAATGTCTTAGTGGTATTTTGCTTCGTTACGATTACGGTGTTGTTTTCCGGGAAACTGTCTACGGTTGCACAAAGAAACGCATCGCAAATATCGGTAACATTCGCGATAAGTGCAATAAATATGTTAAAAGGGCGTTTAACTAAAGCGATCTGGATTATTTCGTTTCGAGTGGAGACTCAGATGATAAGAAAGAGAAAAGTGCGGCCCTTTCTTTATCAACCACTGAGAACTAAAGTATGACCTACCGCCATTAAGATAGATATGTATCCCTCATGAGGAGCAGAAAAGAAAAGAAAACAAACGTATACCCGAAAGGGTTCATAATATTTCTATTCCGGAGATACATATTAAATGGGCGAGTGCATAATTCATCACGGGTCTTACAAATTACTGGCACTCTCGAAGTAAGAATTATGGGCGACTTCGAATGCATGTGTGGTGTATGCGAATGCTTTAAGGTAGCGGTAATGTAAGTGTCGGGTTTTCTTAGCTGTTGGAGTGGCTAACAGAGTTTATTGGATCTAGTTGAATTCAAATGTCCTCGAACGTGCCATAACCATGGGATCTGGTCGGAATCGGTTGGGGTTAGGTCTTGTGTTACGAGCTAAATGTTTAAGAAGAGCGCAGAGCTAGATAGAAGAATCGTTGAAAAAAAACGTTCAATTGGCCAGGTCATTCGATAGCGAATTTGAGAGAGACAAGGGACAATATTTTGAGAAAAGTAAGCGCTCTTCGAACTTCGTTACAGGGATGCGTGCTCCCGTAAATGCATTAGAGGTGAGGGAATGAGATTAGAGCTTGCCCTCAATTCTATGTACTGAATTGACAACATCCGTGCTAAACTTTCGCATAATTAGTAGCTGTCTTGTAACATAAGGCGGATGTAATCATAAAAGGGATAGAAAGAATTGGGTTCACATATTAGAACCTGAAAGACACGTACTCATGCTGCGAAGATATAATGGCCGCTAATATGGTACAAGTAGTCAATTCAATAGCGTAGGAACCATGAAAATTGTCGCACATGTCTCACGCGATACCATACCCATGTACTGCACTATTCACTCATTAGGACTAGCTCCTTTCTCGTACAGTATATAGTCAGCCCAGAGCTCTCTCGAGCTCCTTAGACCTTACAATACACTCGTACAATCCACTTTGTTTGGATTTCAATACCTTGTCGATTCGCTTACCATATGACCCCTTCTCAGCTCATGCAAGAAAAATTAACATGCTCAATAGGCGACAATTTTGATCTATGGTATATATCATGGTCAGGAAGAAGAATAGATGTTATGATGGTGTTGGATCTCGACTCTAAGCTGAGGAAGAGCGTGTTCACGCAGAGCTTTTGCATTTCTCCTAAGGCTGCAATTTACGACGAGTAGATTGCAAAATATACTAGAGTTACCTTAAAAATTAAAGGGCCAATGAATGGAGGCGTCGTACTCACGTCTGTCGAACTGGGGATGATGCGCTTGGATGGATTTCTTGAATCACTGGAAGCGTTCTTGTGTGTGCAGTGAAGACGATATGCTGTTCTGGATTCTCAGAATGGAGTGAGAGGACGAAACTCCAATTGATGTTGGCCTCAGAAATACTGTTGCTGCAACCATCGAATTGGGAAGCTCCACTTACAGACTTGTCACCGAAGGTCTTCGAGATATACTCGGTGCAGATAGCAGTTAGTGTAACTTCGAACGGGCGCCCAAAAAGTGCCTCATTACCTAGAGTTGTAAGCAAGCGCCGTGAATGAGTCAAGAAAAACAGTACCAGGCCGTTGGAAGAGTGTATGATGGTAAGTTTCGGAACAGGATGGCATTTGATTAGATTTGGGGGTATTCTGGATAACCAAACTCCTGCCAACGAGAGGTTTTACGCTGGGCTATGAATATGTGGCTTCAAGGCTCAGGGGCAATAGCGCTCTCTGCGCGATGCAGTACATCACGGTAAGTTGAGTAACCGAAATTAGAAACTATGAAACCGAGTCCACAAGGTTAGAGCGTTATTTCTAAGCTTCGCTCTACTCCCAAAGCCATTCGTGCGGCTATAGACAGAATCTCACCAGGGACGGAGTGGTGAATGAGAGGGCTGATTAAACTCACGCTACATGCTAAAACAATCATGGATCTTCACCGCTGATTGTGCAAGCTAGAAACAAGCCAACTCAACCCTTTCGCGTTGCATCACAATCGCATCGTAATGAAGCCCTCATTTCTCACTACTCTTGCTCTTCTGGCCGCCAGGGTCCCGGCTTGCGCTGTGGCGACAAAGGCAGCAGTTCAACTATCGAAACAAGAATGATCCGACTGTCTGGTAGTGTGCTGTTAGTAAGAGGATGTCCGGGAAACTGGGGTGCAGAAGTGTAATAACAAAAGATTGGGGTGACGAAAGATGCATCTTGAAGCGGACCTTAATGGCTATCATTTGGGTCGGAATTCAGGAATGTGAAGTCCACGGCCATATATATATTCCGCATTGTACTACAGATGGCTTCCTCAGAGCTCTCTACAAATAGAAACCCTCTACACTAACAACTCAAACAAACCAAAATGAAATCTACCATCTTTTGTCGGCTGCTATCTTGAGCGTTACAGTGGTACTTCCTCTTCCTCAATTGCAGAAGTATTTCCGGGTTCAGCTCATGTCTTGCCACTTTGATTGCACGAAGCCGTTGATTGGCTTTCATGATTGTAGGTGTAGGTGAGAGGAAGCTGAAGATATGTAACCCATTTTTGGGGTCTATGTGAGTAGGAAGAATTCATAGAAAATTGAGAGCTTCTTCTGACTATGGCCTAGGCCGAGTGCGCTTGGGAAACAAAAGTGCTCTGCCTGGGAAAAATTCGATTGAATAGTGCGAATAATCCCTCTTGGGTTTTATATATGGGCTCTTTTATATTCCCCTTTGAACGGGGAGTCGCCGATGAGTAGTGTTTATTGATGGCGAGAGATACAGCTCGAGCAGGAAGGAAATCCTGGTCGCCCAAGAAGAAATGCTTGGCTGAGGGAATCTGCGACGGTGCATGGGTGCAGGCAGGACCTCATCACTCAATTTTCGTCAGCCGCAGAATTAAGTTTCGCCTTAAGTGGGTAATACATGACTTTCCTTGATTAAACTAATACCATAACTGCAGAGCCTGAGTTCGCAAGTTGATGTCGGTGTACGAGTATATAGGGCGGGGTGGACTTTGTGTTAACATATTCATGCTCGATTAACGGGATATTTTCTTACTCGTCATGAGAATATAGCGGATTATAGGGGTTAGAGACTCCCATTCCCGATGGAGAGGCGTCGATAGGGGAATATAGGTGATGCAACACCAACAACGAAAACGGGGCGGAGCAGTTCTCAGGATCTTAAGCGAGCCTTCAATATTAGAATGTTTGATAGCAAATGGCTCCACTCTGATAAGGGACACGAGCTCGGCCACTGACCGGCCGAGGCAGCGGACTTGACGCCGAGACTTCCATTCCCAGATCCGGGAATGTTTAAGGATATTAAAGGGGGAACTGAAGCAATCCGCAAGCAACCTGAGGATGGGAGAGGATAACATGTTCAAAAAGGAGAGATATAAAAAGATAGTTGACTTCAAAGACGTTCGGTTTTGGGGGGACGGGCCACAAGATCCACGGGAAAGAGCCCAATCGTTAAGGGCTTGCATTCTGATGTTTGGGCCAATCGTGGCTGGTTTGGCGGCTTGACAGGCTGTCGTTAGCACAATCTTGTCACTAGCGAACCTGTAAGTGGAAGTCTTGGCACTCAACTTCAGGCATTTACCTATTGTTATCTAACTTGCTTCTTCAAGTATTCATAACACCTGCCAGCTACAAACTGCTTCAGCAATGCCGTTACTTAATCTGGCAAATGAGTTACACTATTATATCTTGGAAAACCTAGAACTAGAGAGGAACATGAACGCTTTTGCACAAGCCAACGCTAACCTTTATTATCTACTAAACGCATGCCTCTATCGTTATCGCATGCAACAATCTAGAAGCTCAGGGTTATTTCGGGCTGCCCGAAGTGGCCGAGAGGGGTAACGCAAAAGTTTCTAGAGGAAATAGTGAATATCCTAGTCATAAGTAACACCAACCAGGAACCCCTAGGATTAGTGGCAGAGAATAGTCATGGGAGGACAGTAAAGCTACTACGGAAAAGCAGAACTAATATCAACGCCTTGACAGGCTATGGTAACGCACTCCAGGTGACTTCATATAGAGGCCACAAGCAGATTGTGCAGCTAATGCTCAACAATGGCGCCGATGGCAACGCACTCTACCAGGCTTCGCATGGAGGCTACAAGGAGATTGTGCAGCCGTTGCTTAACAAGGGCGCCGAAGTTAGCGACCAGGGTGGATACTCCGGTAATGCACTCTAGGCGGCTTCATATGGAGGCTATGATGTTGTGCAGCTGCTGCTCGACAAAGTCGCCAGCGTCAACAACACAAAGTGGAAGGTAGGGCGACGCACTCCAGGCAGCTTCTTATAGAAACCACAAGCAGATTGTGCAGCAGCAGCTCGACAATGAAGCCGACGTTAACGCGCAAGATGGATACTACTGCAACGCATACCAGGTGACTTCAACAGAAGGCCATGAACAGGCTATGAAGGTACTACTCCAGAAAGGTGCTTATTGGCTAGTGAAGGGTATTACAACTAAGACACATTAATCAGCACATTTAACCTAGGCATAAATATGGAAGTCTAGATGTAGGAACAGAACTTCTAACTACTTAATCTACACTGAATGACCAAAGAAACATTTAAAGAAGCACTTGCTTCGGTAGTTATATAGAACTCAAGCGAGTATAAATATGGACTAAACGAAATTTAAACATGCTTATAAATAATATGTGCTTGACCTACCTCGACATTATGGTTGTCATCTCAAGCTGTGATAAGGCACCTTCTTGTACAATAGTGAATCACAGTCTAGGCAATGGGTACCTAATTAAGTATAGAAGGTGAGGTGCCAAGGCTGTCGCTTACGGTGGGCGAGAATTGTGTTGCAACCGCGTTCAGAGTAAAGCCGGTTTCAGTAGCGACTGCGCAGCGGACTCCAGCCACGATGTGAGTGACACGAAGTTGCAGACTCCCATTCACGATGGAAGGGGAATTAGATGACGCAACACCAACGACGAAAACGGGGCGGAGCAGTTCTCAGGATCTTAAGCGAGCCTTTGATATCGGAATGTTTGGTAGCAAATGGCTCCATTCTGATAATGGACACGAGCTCGGCAGCTGACTGGCCCAGGCAGCGAACCCAACGCCCAGATTTTCATTCCCAGATCCGTGAAAGTTAAGGATATCGAAGGGGAAAACGAACCCATTTGCAAGTAACTGGAGAATGAGGGAGGATAACACATTCAAGTTGAGAGACAGAAAGATAGTTGACTTTTAAGATGTGCGGTTTTCGGAGGACGGGCCACAGGATCCACGGCACAGAGCCGAGCCGTTGAGGGCTTGCATCCTGGCGTTTGGGCCTGTCATGGTTTGACGGCTTGACAGGCCCCTCCCTGCCGTCATCGATATTGTGCAAGACCGCGGAACACATCATGCCGTGCCCAGGCACCTAGGGCAACTTCGTGCTCGGCACGACGACACCATCTTACGCTTCCACCCATTCTTCCTGTCGCTCTCTAACTCCTCCTCTCATTTGCTTCTGTCTATTTTTTTTGGTAGATTTTAGCGCCCTGATACCTCTAGAATTCGTGTATTGTTCTCTCCTTTCAGCATGCCACCCTGTTTCGTCTAGTGAACGTTACTTTAGGACCCTCCGAAGGCTATCTTTTGATCCTCCGATCCTCCGAACGCGACTATTACGAGGCACTGGGCTTCTTTGCCACTGCTTCTGAGGCCATCGTTATATATCTGATTCAGGTTGCGCCTATTGCCGCCATTCACTCTCGCCATGGCTTTTTTCCGACAGACATGGACACTTACCAAGAAGAATCTCCTAGTGGTCTTCGTGCGGCATTGGTTCTTTACAAGTATACGTGCCTTTTGGGCGCCTATCATATTTGTGTGTATTCCTTCCCCTTTCTTTCGTTGACGGTGATTTCTACTATGCAACCTTTCATGGGTACTGACAATGGTGTATCCAGATGTTCTTCATTTCTTACGCAAAGAACTTCTTTGTGCCTCCCTCACAATTTGGCATTGGCCACCCTATACTCATTCGGAGCCTCGGAAACGCATTGAACTCCGCCCAGGGAAATCGGAACACGGTCGTCTTTGTGAACAACGGCCATATTGGGGGAGATATCGAGAGGGTCATCAACGACGTCTCCGCGACGGTCCGCACCGCTGGGAAGACCGTTAAGGTTGTAGAACAAGATGTGGACTTGCTCACGACGTGCGCAAGCTCACTTAGGGGCGCTAGCACTTGCTTCGGGGCAATCAGCTTCCATTCCTCCCCGACTGAGGGGGTTGGAGGTGGTTGGAACTATACTCTGAGAGCCGACGGTGCTTTTGGCGAACGTATCTTTGTTGACCGCACTAATAACGACGTCGAAATATATGTTCTTCCATTCCAGCATGCCGTAGACGCGGCGATTGGGGCTCTAAATGGGACGAATACGCAGAAAACAATCAACGAGTATCCATTCACTGACCAGACATCAAAGGAACGTGACACGGAGATTCGACGTCTATACATGGGTGCTCTCATCAACATCTTGGCTGTAGCATACTATATCGGTATCTGCGGAGTCACGTATCAACTCACTGGACAAATGGCATCAGAGCGCGAAGCTGGAGTATCTCAACTAGTAGAAGCCATGACTCCAGTGAAGAAGCCCTGGCATATCCAGGCCGCTCGACTTCTTTCGAACCATCTGAGTTTTGATATCATCTACCTCCCGGGCTGGATTCTCATGGCCGTCATTCTTGCCCGTCTCAACTTTCCAGAAACCAATGTCGGAATCTTGATCATCTTCCATATCCTTGCCGGTCTTTCGCTTTCTAGCTTCTCCATTTTTGGTGCAAGCTTCTTTCACAAGGCCCAACTCTCCGGTATCACCATCACTATTGGCGCCATAATCCTTGCAATAATTGCCCAAGTTGCTGGACCGTTCAATACGGCCGCAGTAGCTGTGCTCAGCCTACTGTTCCCCCCGATCAACTACGTCTTCTTTGTGATATATGTTGCTCGGTGGCAACGCGTCGCAGAGGCAACGAATCTAGTCAAAGCGGCACCAAACTTCAACAGCACACGGTGGACACTACCAGGAATCGCTTTTTGGATATTCCTCATTATTCAAATCGTTGTCTACCCCATTCTTGGTGCACTCGTGGAGCGCTGGCTTTATGGAACCGTTTCCAAGGATCGTAAAACCACCACTTCATCTTCTGATTATTCTATCGTGCTTTCATCCTTCTCGAAGCATTGGGCTCCTAGCTGGTTCCGTACCATTGTCCTTTCGAAAATTGGTATCAAACCTCCGGAGACAGTCTTTGCTGTGAACGATTTAAGTATCAAAGCGCGCAAAGGTCAAATCATGGTGCTTCTAGGAGCGAACGGCAGCGGCAAATCGACCACTTTAGATGCGATCTCTGGCTTAAACACCATTACTAGTGGGTCCATTGAGATCGACGGCACTGGGGGACTCGGTCTTTGCCCACAGAAAAATGTCATGTGGGACGAACTTACCGTTTTCGAGCACGTCCAGATATTCAATCGCCTGAAGTCTCCAGGGGCTGGCGACGATAAAACCGCTATTAAGAATCTCGTTAGGGTGTGCGACTTGAGCCACAAGCTCAAGGCTAAGTCAAGCACTCTCTCTGGAGGTCAGAAACGAAAACTCCAGCTCGCCATGATGTTCACTGGAGGTAGTCGCGTCTGCTGTGTCGACGAAGTATCATCTGGACTTGATCCCTTATCTCGAAGGAAGATTTGGGACATTCTTCTTTCTGAACGTGGAGAGAGAACCTTTCTTCTGACGACTCACTTCCTTGACGAAGCCGACATCCTCTCCGATTACATCGCGATCCTCTCGAGAGGGAACCTGAAGACCAAAGGTACATCGGTGCAGCTCAAGCACCAAGTTGGAGCCGGCTACCACGTCACCATGCCCAAGGACCAGAGATTCTTGCCTCTTGGTGGTGTCCGAAAGCAATCTGCTGGGGACAGACTCATGTACTGGTTTTCTAGTGCAGCTGAGACATCTAGGTTTGTCGATCAACTGCGCAAAAATGGCGTTAAAGATTATGACATCATTGGCCCAACCTTAGAAGATGTTTTCCTCGCCCTAGCGGAGGAAGTTAAAGAGGATGGATTGGCTACTGATACTACGTCTATAGAAGGTACCGCGCGTGCCAAAAGTGCCGATACCATACCACCCTCGGACGACAGTTCAGAAGTTGACAAAGGCCTTCACATGTCGAACGGCGAAGGCACATCAATGGCTGAGCAGACTTGGATTCTAATACAAAAACGCTTCACCATTCTCCGCCGCAACTACCTTCCGTATGCTGCTGCCGCTCTTCTCCCAATTATTACCGCTGGGCTTGTTACATTCTTCTTGGATGGCTTTAAAGCTGTCGGATGTGATCCGGGCGACCAGGCCAGCCACCCCAAGGTCTTTAATATTCAAGCTATTACTGTGACGCCGTTAATACCGGTTGGACCTTCTAGTTTGGTTGACCTTGACCTTCTCGCTAAACGGTCAGGGCTCAACAATACAGCTTTCCATGTCGTAAACAGCTTGAACGAATTTAACGATTATGTCGCAACAACTTTTCGAAATATAACACCTGGTGGCTTTTTCCTGCAAGAAAATGCTCCCCCTACGATGGCGTACGTCGGCAATGGCAACATTCTCGGTGGTCTTATTACTCTCAACGCCTTGTCTAATACCCTCACTAACATCCCCATATCAACCCAATATCAAGCATTCGCAGTGCCATTTGCACCTGGCACGGGAAAAACGCTGCAGCTGATCCTGTACTTCGGCTTGGCCATGAGTGTCTACCCGGCTTTCTTTGCGCTATATCCGACTGTTGAGCGATTGCGTAAAGTTCGAGCCTTGCATTTCAGCAACGGCATTCGGGCTGCGCCATTGTGGCTTGCGTATTTAATATTCGACTTTGTCTTCGTGCTGGCGATCAGCGCGATTGTTATGGGTATATTCATTGGGGTAAGTTATACTCTAGCTCTGTTGCGGGAGCCTTGTGACGGGGATGGTGCTAACATCTGCTTAGGTCTCTAGCGTTTGGTACGCACCAGGATACCTCTTTGTGGTATTTTTCCTCTACGGCCTCACGTCTATCCTCCTGTGCTATGTGGTTTCCCTCGTGGTAACATCCCAGCTCGCAGCTTTTGCGTTCGCTGCTGGCGGACAAGCCTGCTTCTTCCTGATATACTTCGTCATTGACATGTGTATCTTGACATACTCTCCAGCATACCGCATCAACTCCGACCTCACCTTATCTCATTTCGTATATTCCACGGTTACACCTGCTGGAAATCTTATCCGGTCTCTGCTCCTGACCCTCAACGAATTCTCATTGCTCTGTAACGACGAATCAATTGCGGCTTATCCGGGCGCACTCAAAGTTTATGGCGGGCCAATTCTCTACCTGATTGTTCAAGCCATTGTTCTTTTCATAACGCTAGTATGGTGGGATAGTGGATACAAGCCGCCCGTCTTCACTCGTAGCAAGTCGAGAGCGAAACATTCTGAGGAAGATATTGATGCCATCGACCCTGCCGTGGCTGCGGAAATGAGACGTGTCGAACAGTCAAGCGATAGCCTCCGAGTCCTGCATCTCCACAAGACATTCGGTCGCAACCATGCAGTTAATAACATCACTTTCGGCGTTCCTCAAGGGGAAGTCTTTGCCCTCCTCGGACCCAATGGCGCTGGCAAGAGCAGCACTATCAGCTTGATCAGAGGAGACATACACCCATCTCGCAATGGCGGCGACATCTGCATCGAAGGCATCAGTGTCATTGCCAAACGAGCAACAGCCCGCGGCCATCTTGGTGTATGCCCACAATTTGATGCCATGGATGCCATGACAGTCAGGGAGCACCTGGCATTCTATGCCCGCACCAGGGGCGTCACTAATATACAATCCAACATCGATGCTGTCCTTGCTGCTACAGGACTAATTCGCTTCTCTGACCGTCTCGCGCATAATCTCTCCGGTGGCAACAAGCGCAAATTGAGTTTGGGCATTGCGCTCATGGGCAATCCTTCCGTTCTACTCCTCGATGAACCCTCCTCTGGCATGGATGCAGCAGCCAAACGCGTCATGTGGCGCACGCTTCTGGGCGTGGCCGCGCCTGGGAGAGCTCTCTTGATAACAACACACAGCATGGAGGAAGCCGATAAATTGGCGACGAGGGTTGGCATCATGAAGCGGAAGATGCTTGCTCTCGGCAGCGTTGCTGAGCTCGGGGACCAATATGGTGATGCTTGGGTCGTGCAACTGGTTCTTAAAAGCGCACCGGAGACGAGAGAGGAGGAGATGAGCGTTGTACGAGAATGGGTTAAGAGCCGAATCCCTGGGGTGCAAGTTGAGAGATGGGGAAGCAAGGGCGGTGGGCATGGACAGTTGAGATTCAGAGTCCTCAAAGCTGCTGTTGCTATGTCAGCGACGTCCCCGGGGGGTTCGGTTGCGGAGAAAGAGGCTACTGATGAGATTCACGAGGTCGATGCTGTCTCACGAGGACCTGCGGGCGATAATGGCGGGGGTATCCCAGGGTTGATACACCTGCTAGAGGAATACCGTGAAGAGCTGGGTTTAGAGCATTACTCAGTCTCGCCAACAACATTGGATGAAGTCTTCCTCCGCGTTGTCGGCGAGGAAGAGGAGGAAGATGGGAATGTTAGAAAAGGTAATAAGAAAGGATCTAGGATGGAGAAGTGGAGACTCTGGTGATATGGATAATTGTAAACGAAGACCTTCAATGGCAAATAATTCTAGATTTTCAAAGCAATGTTTAGCAAAGATCTTTCTGTGTCAAATTTCTGCTTACCATCCATGAAGCCCTGGCAAGCGTGCAGAAAGGAACATGCCAATCGTCATCATTGTTCCCAATAGTCGGTCTGACTGTTAGTTACTGTTACTAACAGTCGGATTCCTGGGCAGTTGGTTAGTAAGGGGACCTCCCTCTATAACTAACTAATAGATAAGGCTGTAGTTACTGCAGTAACTAGCCTATACAAAGATTTTATTAGTGTTAAGGCTAGAAATAAAACCTGCTAAAAGCGCTTATAATAAGCTGTAGAAATTAAATGCTAGATTTGTTAAATCTCTATAATAAACTTAACTTTCTCTATCTTCTAGCTATAGCCTAACACCTATTAATATAAGGTCCTTCTTGACGTCCTAGAATTGTACGCTTCGCCACCTAACGTTGTTGTTAGCCAGCCCTAGTACCTAGGCTGCAGCCACCTACTTTGCGTTGTTCTGCTGTCTTAAGAAGGCAAAAGCAACCTTACTAACACCCTCTACATCTTTATTTATTATATTATTAGGCCTAACGCCCTTAACGCTTAAGGCTTTAGCTAAGTTGCTTTTAAAGGCCTTTCTTTATAAAGTAGGCTAGAACAACAGCGTTAAGTTTCTAGTAGACTAGAATAATATACACTACACTAACAAGCCCCTAGTAGCGTCACAGGTAGGATATTAAGTACAGGACCTGCGCTAGATCTCTAGTAATGCTAAGTTATTAAATATTTAGTGTTACAGCGCAGACCTAGTTTATATTAACACTATTAGTAAGCATATAAGGCTTTAGCTCTATAAGACCTACTACTTAAAAAAGTTAATAACAGCTTATAAAGCTGTTAATTCTACTACACATATTACTACCTATCTCTAGAAAGAGTACTCTATTAGTGTTATAAGTAGCTAGCTGTTTCTAATAGGGCGCCTAGGGCCCCTAGATCTATAGGCAGCGTTGCGGGCAGCAGGTAGTGCTTTTAGGGGGAGCTATACGCTATAGCAGGAGACGTTGTTGTTAAGGGTGTATGTAGACTAAGTAATACTATAAGACATAAGTTTTAACTTAGCTACCTTAGCTAAAGTCTAGAGTCTTATTACATAGAATTAGCTTAACCTTTTTAAAGCTTTACTATTATTAACAACTACTCTTTCTAGCTATATAGTAGATAGTTTAAAAGCATGTAAAGTAGAAGTTTAATTAATACTAAATTTAGCTGTTAGTAGAGTAGCGTTAAGTGTAGATGTATAGACTTTTTTAAACCACTTTTTATTTCTAGCAGTAGTTGCCTACTTTGTTAGTATGCTAAGCCCTTAGTGCGTTGTCTAAGGTCCTCTTAAACTTTATAATATCTTTATAAATTACTATATTTTAATAACTTATAGATATAAATAACTAACTTTAGAATTTACTTATTAGCTTTAAGAACCTTCTTAGGGACTATATAGGCGCTAATTAGGCTATTACTATCCTTTTTGTTATTAACAACTATAATATCGCCCTCTAGTTTAGCTGCTTTATAGGTAATAATGTAATAAATAATAACACTAAGCTTATTATAAGCTTTAACTTTTACCCTAATATTTCTATCACCTTTAAGCACTATATACACTGCGTGGGCTATATAATTAACCTTGTTGTTAAGGCCCTAATATATAGTAATAGCATTAGTAAGTTTAAAGAAGAGTTAGCTTAGGCTGCGCCCTAGAATTAATTTTAACTATATAGAAAGCATAGAGTTGTTAAAAAGCTTTATAACTTTATAAACACTATTTTTACATCTTATAAACGCTGTAAGCTGTTTAGGACTATATAAACTAAGCTAAGTAATAAGGACCCCTTCTAGTAATTTAGCAGTCTCTATTTAATACAGGACAGCAGGATTAGGTGGCACTCTGTGTATTGTATGCTCTTATGCTGTTATAAGCTTTAAGACCTAATCTCTAGGTTCACGCGTTAGTAGAGAGCTCTGTTAGGCGCTAATAATATTACTGCTAACAAAGCTAATAAGGACAGTAATAAGGTTAATAAGAAGGATAAAAATAAGCTAGACTATAACTTATTAGCTAACACCCTTTTAAGTAATAAGTAAAATAAAGTTAAAAAGCTTACTAACTTTTTTAAGCCCTTTTATTAGATAACTTTAAGGCTTAAAGGCAATGTTAGCACTTTTAGGTATAAGAGTTTTTAGTAGACGCTTGTTAACTTACAACACCTTTAGCAGAGACTTTATAAAGTTAAGGACACTGTTGCTTATAAGCCTAACTACTTCTACATTAAAAATGCTACTAAGTTTGTAATACAGAAGCTTATGTTGTATTTTATTAAGCTTATAATAGATTAGCTGTCTTTACTGTACTATGTTGCAACTGCCTTTAACCTGCAGCTTTAGCTACTCTAGTTTTAAGAGCAGTAGTTAGCTTACCTAGCTTAGTATAAAAAAGCTAAGAGATCTCTAAAAAATGTCTTTTAACAGTATGTTAATGTAAAGAAGAAGAAGGTAATTAAGCTTAACACCTCTGCCTTCTATTATTATAAAACGCTAAGTAGTAAATATTATAACAAAGAGTTTAAAGAGACTATAGCTGTTAACCTCTACTTACAGACTAGCTCTTAGGCTTATAAGAAGGCCTAGATGTTAAACAAGCTAATAACATATTTTAATAATATACATAGAGACCTTCTTATTGCTTAGAATAAGAACCTAATTTATAGAGATTCTATAACTTAGTAGCATTACATAGGCAAGAAACAGTACCTTATTTTATATAAAGTTACTCTTAATTATTTATTTATACCTGCTACCTCTTGTAAGTGTGAGAGGTGCTTTAGTAAAGTATAGAGGACTATATTAATAGATAAAAACCTTCTTTCTTTAGCTATAATAAAGGCCTTGTAACTCTAACATAATTAGATTTAAAATAAGGCTATTAAAAGTAAGCTAAATAAGCTTATAGCTTACATCTCTGCTAGAGGGATATTTAAGGATATAGATAATAATTTAAGGGGTACAACTCTAGTAACTCTAGTAACTCTAGTAACTCTAGTAACTTTAGTAACTACACCCTTTAGTTATAAAGCTATTAAGTAGTAAGCTGTTACAGTAGCCCTCAGTTACTGTACTTAACCCACCCCCCATCAGTTGGTCAGTCGGGCGAGACGTACAGTTACGGCTTCAAATATACCCAATAGTTACTAGTAACCGACTATTGGAAACGATGATCGTCATAACGTTCTTTCCGATCCACCCAGCTATTTCTGCCGCAATCCCGTCAATATAGCATTCCAAAATCCCTTAGTTACAAGCAATGTAGCCCCACTTTCCGCATTTATAGTACTCCTTGCTTATGGCAACCACCCACTATCCTGGTTTTGTCTGGGTCAGAAAGAAAACTTTGCCCGCTGCCAAAGCCATGTTCCAGCCCAATATTCACCCTATCGCAATTCCTGTCACATCCTTGTATTCCTGAGCTATTGCATTAAACCCACCCCTACAGCAATGTGGTGAATCATGAACCTTCGGAAATTAAGCCAGTTCTTGAGCAAAAGAAGCGTTCTAGCGCCCAGTAAGCGTAGTTTCTGAAGATGTCTTAATAGCGGCATACTCTCCGGTGAAAACTACAGTCTATCAAATCTGCTTCTGTTTTCAAACATGAGTTACGTAGGGGTATAACGTGAGCTATGAGTAAGCAGCTTGAGCTGTGGCTGAGCACTCCTGAGCTCGCACTGAGCCGACGTGAGCCAGCGTGAGTCTGCCTGATTTAACCCTGAGCTCCTTTTAATTGTGCCTGATTTCATCCCTGAGTAGCATGAAATGGGTCTGAAATTGGGCCCAAACAGCTCGCGGAGTTGCAAGTCTGACCGGTCCCATTCCGGGCCACAGGGTGTTCAGTAACTTAGATTTTAGACCTAGTATCAGCAATACTTTCCTTTCCTTCGCAATCCCCAATGCTGTCCGAAGAAAGCAAATTAAACTATGCATATCCAGCCAGTAATAGTGTCTATTACGACCTTCACAATTTTCATGCATAAGCCCCTTATAGACTAAATGTTTATTAGGACAGACCTTAACAATATCTCAACGTATAGAAAGAGTGTATATTGACTGACTACCAGCTTCATCAAACTACAATTAAACATAGATATATACGCGGGATCAGACTTCTGGATAATCCTTAGTAGAAGTAGCAAATTCCTTAATTACTTGGTATCTTTGCTTAATCCTGACCCAAGGATTTCTGTCTCTAGCCAAAACAACCTTATGTCAGGGTAAGGTCAGGTAGCTTGGCAGGCATGGAGATGACTGGATGGAGATCAAAAGAGCTGCGTAATCAAAGCCTCACCATGAGAGAGTACAGAATCCGCCACCACCAGGGAGCGCCTCATGGACTGACGAATTGCCTGACGAAGCACACCCTAAACGAGCCGGACCTAGGCGATCCGTCGTCGTTTCAAAGCCAGGCTCAAGGAGTCACAAGCCCTTGATGACGCACCTACGGACGAGCTGGAGATATCCAATTGGAGAACGAAGCCGCCATGGAGGGTAGTTTGGCCGTAACCGAGGGAGGCTGTGAGAAACGACGTGCTGTGCAGTGAGTCAAATCATGCTCACCGGAAGGAAAAATGGCGGGATATCGTTCCATCAAGCGCCTCTCTGCTGCCTGAATTTTGATGTGAGCGGCGCATGACGCATAGCGAGTATGGTATAGACAGCTGGTGCCAGGGGGCCTTCGGAGCGTGACCTGTTGGTGGAACAACGTCGTCATTTGTGCGAGCTGAATGGACACAAGAGCCCTGATATCCTTGTGATGGCTCATCATTTGGCGTCAAAACAGGTGGCTTATCTGTGCCAGTATGTCCAGGCGCTCGATGAGACCGAAGACTGGATGATAACTCGTAGGGATGATGCACCACTAGCATCCGTGTGGAATAATGAGTCAATGCCTGGCGGCCATGACTAGGTAGCTCGACATTTATGTGAGCATGCTGTGATGGAGGTTGCACTAGCAGCTATCTCTTCCGCATCGTCTTCAATATGTCGGATAGCAGCGATGACAAAACGGCTGAACCACTTGCCGACGACTGGTCAGGTGCTAGATTCGATTCGCTGAGGTTCACTTCCATTTGTTGGAGCACAAGAAATATCCTGACAATGCTGTCGCGGACGTGGAAGCATAGGTGATTAGGCTCAAGGAAACGAAAATACCTGGCACTCAATTGTAGCACATTGTCAAGGCCAAGAATGCTGCGTAGGGGCAGCACAAGTTGTTAACCATATCTGCATGGGTTTGGAATTTCGTTGGAGAGTATCAGTTCGTCTCCTGTTCTGCTTCCGGCGTATTTTGTTCTGCCTCTGACGTCTCCTGCTCTGCTTTCAGCTTCTCCTGGAACATTCGTATAGTCCAATCAAAGACGTTGTCATACTGGAAGTGCTGGCGACAGAACAAACCGCGGAATAGGCGTCGTAAACGTCCATAGTCGAGTTCCTTGCCCGAGCGGATGAGCTCAAAGTATTTCTTGAACTCAATGGAAGCTCCCTCGAAGAGGCCGCACTCCTCTGCTTGCTGCTTCTTCTGTAATATGATCTTCTCCTTGTCCTTCGATTTACACTTCAGGCCCTGCTAGGGAAGTGAGCCTTTAAGAAAGTACAAAAGGACATATCCAAGCGATTCCATATCGTCGTGAGGGGACTGCTCTGTAGTAGCACGTTAAAAGTCGTCTCCTGTACACTGTGCTGCACCCACCTTTCCTTAAGTGCGCGTTGATGCTGGCATATCGCAGCGTGCCGACCACTGAGTACGTGCGCCTATCCGGATCCTCAATCTCTTTAGCCAGACCAATATCCGTCGTGTAGACTGTGTTGCCTTGTGTGCCGACACCCATAAGCAGATTGTCTGGTTTGATGTCTCTGTGAATGTACCCCTTCGAATGGATATGCTGGAAGCGAGGGATGAGCTGGTCCACGAGCAACAGTACAGTCTTTAGAGAGAATTTCCGGTCGCAGTAGTTGAAGAGGTCCTCCAGACTTGGCCCCAAGAGCTCAAATGCCATCACTCTGAACTCGCATTCGGAGCCGTACCAGTATACCCGGGGGATGCCATGTCCGCCATCCAGCTTTTTATAAATTTCGACCTCATTTCCGAGCTGCGAAGGACTAACTTGGCTGTACTCGAGTTTGAGAGCAACTTCTTCGCCGGTTTCGATGTCATGGCCTGCATCAATCAGTCGTTGTCATAAATGTTCCACTGGATATGCTCTTACCTTGATACACTTCGCCGTACGAGCCACTGCCTAGTCGAAGGTCTAGCTGATATTTGTCTCGCACGATGAGAGGTTTCATGGCGGGGAAGAAAGGGGGCACATGTCAACAATCGCAAACGCGTGCTTTCTCGGGATACGGCAAGCTTGTAGTTGTGGAGTGCAGGATACAGGGGGGTCTCCTGAGCGGGCTGTTCCGCGTGCACAAGCCAACATCTGTGCGTAGAATGTTCTGAATAATTTATAACTCTTTGTAAGTAGGTTGCTAACAAACTTTATGTCCCTTGTTTAGCTTACTCTACCACTAAAATGTACAACAATGCTAAAGACACTAAATTAACAATTAATGTACAAGGAGCGTATACAGATTAATACTCTTTATAAGATAGGCTAGAAACAAAAGGATATTGCCTAGTGTAAGGCCGGATGTCCCAGAACGGGCCAGTATGGCCTCCCCTGACCTGTTTGGAGGTCACATGACCTGTGCTTTATATATAAGCATAAATCCTAACAAGTAAGGCTTAGCAGCAATTTGTCTCTCTTACAATACACTTCTCTCTTTCTCTAAAAGCTTGCTCTTAGTGCTATCTATGCTACTTACTATCCTATCTTTACATTTAAATTGCTCTACAAGCTAGTATACTGCTTAAGGGCAACATTCCTACATAATAGTGTTAAAGTAAAACACTAGAAAAGAATTAAATGTAACTAGCACTTAAAAACTACTTAAAAAGCTAACTAAAACTACTACTTTTAGTAACATACTTTACAGGCAAGTTGCTTACACACCTAAGTTACTTACTTTTACTAAGACTTTACTAAACTACTCTTTCTACACTAATGCATTTCTAATAACACTACTTAGACATACTAAAAGAATATTAGATATAGCTTACACTTTAAAGTTTTAAATAAAATATAAAACTTTTAAAAAAAATGCTATAGCTATATATAACGTACCTAACAGGTTAGCTGGCCACACAGGTTAGCCAGCCACTTTTACTAAGCCTCTACTACACTCTACCTATCTACATAATGCCTTAACAACAACACTAGATTAAATCTTCTAAAGAATATTAAATATAGCTTACTTTTTAAGCTTTTAAATAAAACTTAAAACTTTTTTTATAACACACTATAGCTATTTATAATGTTTTTTTTATATAATACTAAGTAATTAACACACTAGATAGCCTTTATAAGTAAAATGCTAGCTTAAATTAAGAAATCTAACTAAGCTTAAAAAAAAGTAGTTATTAAGTATATACTTAAGCTTATTATACATAGATTTTTTTTAAGCTTATAGCTATAGCTAATATAGCTAATTCTTTGCGTGTAAAGTGTAATCTAGGCTAGGTTAGCTTAAACTAGCCTAGTATATAAGTTAAGCACTACTTTAAGTTTATAATAAAGTTTAATTATAAGTATAATTATAAAAAAGTGCTTTATAAAAATTTAAAAGTTATTTAAAGCTAGTTTTACCTAGTAGCTAATATAAAAGCTAAGTATAGTATCTAGAATAAAAACATGTATAACTTTAATAAGTTAAGTTTTATAATAAGCTAAATATTAACTAAAGTAGTTATTATAGCTTTAAAAAAACAAAAACAGCTAAAAGTAATATAGTAAAGTAATAAAAAGTAGATAATAGTTATTTAAAGCATTAATATAATAAAGTAAGCTATTTTACTTTTTATTATTTTTAAAGGCTGCTATTACTTTTTTACTTAGTATAAAAAAAAATCTACTTTAAAACTAGATTATTATAGTCTTTAAAAATAGCTAAATAATAAATAAACTTAGGCTATAGTAGTTAAAGCACTTTAATAAGTATATAAAAAAAAAGTTATAAGTGCTTATTAGCTTTTTATTATTAATAGCTATAAAAGCTATAACTTGCTTAATTTCTAGTAGTACTATAAAAAAATAAAATTATTACTATTTATGTCTGTACGCAGCAGCAGCGTCACGATCTGGATACGAGCGATCGCGCACAAGCAGGACCACGTATCTATGTCACATGATGCTTGTGCGCGAACCTCTGTGCGCAAACATCTAGATATCCCCCTTTTTCTTTATACAGAGAAAAGACAAGAGTAATAGAACTAGAAACATGTTACCCTTACTTTACCTATCTTATATGCTGTGCACACTGTACACTACTCTTACTTTTACTACTTAAGTGCTTATACTATAAGCAGCTAGCTATTAAAGCCTATTTAACACTAATTAGTAGTTAATTTAATTAACTATAAATTAGTAAGAGTAATAATAAAGTACTTATACTTTATAAGGTACTTTATTTTATTACTTATTTTTTAAAAAGAGTAATAATAGAGCACTTATGCCTTATAAGGTACTTTATTTAGTTACTTATTTTTTAGAATAGTAGATTAATCCTTTACATTATACAGCAAGCTCTACTACTATATAAAGTAAGAAGGAGATAGTATAAGACGCACACTAAAGCTATTAAAGCTGTATAACTTAGTAGCTAAATAATAGCAGATTAATCCTTTACATTATATAGCAAGCTCTGCTACTGTATAAAGTAAAAAGAAGATAGTGTAAAGCGCACACTAAAGCTATTAAAGCTGCACAACCTAGCAGCTAGATAACAGCAGTACCTGTGTAATTTACTAGAAAAGTAATTAACTATACTATTATAATAAAATCTTACTAGCAACTAACAACTCTATGTAATAATAAAAAAAATAAGAAATAATTCTTATTATATAAATAACTTATAAAAGATATAGGGATATTAAAGGTAACACTACAAAATAAGACTAGCCTAGAGTACTAGAATAATAAGATTAACATATTAAAGGCTTTAATAAGCTTATAAACTTAATTATATATAAGTTATATAATTACTAATTTACATATAATAACTTAAAAAGGTGCTACCTTTTTAAGTTTATATATAAAAGATTTTAAAAAATAAACACTATAAAACTTCTTAGCACTTAGCTATACATTTAAAAGGGAGCTTATATAAGTACTAAAGAACAAGGGAATTACACTATAGCTAGGCACTAAAGGCACTTAAGCCTAGAAGCTATATAATATAGTATAAAAAAAAGTAATTATACTAAAAAAGCTTTATACATAACCTTTATTACTATATAAGGCTCTACATAGAAGTAGACTAAACATAATGCTACTATTAATACTAAATGTACTAGCATTACTTACTTTTACACTTTATGTAAGGACAGAGCTCTGTACCACTACGCTAATACAACTAAAAAGGTGCAAATAATTAACTAACAGTTAATTATTGCGTACAGAATAGTATATATACCTGTCGCACGTAAGCACCATCTCAGCCTTACACTTTAGCTAGCACTACACTAATTACTGTATAAACAATACATGCTACTCTACCTAACGCCTGCTCTACACTCTTAATTATACACACTACTGCCTGCAGTAGTGTATGCACTACTAATACTACCTGTATAATCTATACTACATTACAACCTATATAAACTTCTACCTTAAAAAAAAACTGCTAAAGAAAAACTCTTAGTAAATAAAATTATATAATTTTAAAAAGTATAAAAAAAGAATAATAACTATATAAGTTTACTATATAACATCTTTATAAATAAAATAAAAATCTTTATTAATTTATATTAATAGCTAGATATCTAGAAAACTTAGTACACAGACATCTTTCTAAATATCTTAAAAAGTTAGGTAAATATGTACTATATGTATAACATAGGCTCTAGACATAACTAGAAGCATTTGTATAACACCTTAAGTAGTTACTTTAACACTAATATAAACTATAGCTAGTACTAGACAGACTAGATAATAATAACTTTTATATAATGCTAATAAAAAAACTTTAATAAAAGTTTATATAAAGTTTTTAAAATAATAATTAATAAGCTTACACTTGCATAAAAAGCACTAAAAATAAAATTCTAAAAAGATGTTCTACTGCACACTGCTATTATACAAGCTTATTAAAGACAACTAGAACAAGAACATGCTATGTTTACTATTAAGCCTTTATAGAAAGCTTTATTTAGTAACTTATAAGCATTACTTTAAGTTACTATAAACTAAAGGGTAAACTAATACCTCTAGGAACTGCCTAATACATACTACATAAACTGCTAATATAACTCTGCACAATAAAAAAAAGCTTCCCTCTGCGTAAAAAAAGACAACATAGATCTTTATCTAGGTTTAGGCTATAATCTAGAGACAACTGCACGTAGATAAAGAAGTGCTTTGTCTACTATAAAAAAAGTTAGTTATTAAACTACTCTTATAATAACTATATGTAAGTAAAGAACTAGTACATTACCTTATATAAAGATTTTTATAATAAGACTTTATTATGTAAAGCTATTATCTTATACATCTAAGACTTTAAAAGTTACTCTAAGAAAAAAAATAATTTGCATAATGCAGAGGAAATAAAATAAAAAAGTAAAGATGCTAAAAAAGCTATTAACTACCTTACCTCTGCTACTTATCTACACTATGCAACAGAAGAGAACATCTATAGCATTAAACCTAAGAAGTATGCTAAGCAGTTTATTCTTAATAACTAATACTATATAGTATACTAAGGCAAACTATAAGACATAGGTGTAGTAAAGATCTCTACTATTAGTAAGTCTTAACTTAAAGCGTATGTATAAGAGAACTTATGTATAGAAATTAATTAGACATCTAGCTAAATAGATATTAGCTTTAAAAGCTAGACACTAAAGAGATTAATTAGTACTATATAAATCTAGAACTTAATTAGTCTAGTTATATACTACATTTTAAAGACTTTAACACTATTTTTGCTATTACTAGCAGATGCTAACTAACTTAGGGTATACTTTAATAATATTTTAAATGTTATTCTACATAAAAACAAAACTACTGTCCTTATTATATAAAAATAAGAACACTTTTTTTTTTAATATAAGTAAGAAAGAATTTATGTTTTTTTTTACTAAATTAAAACTCTACTGCCTCTACTGCTAATTTAGACACCTCTATATAAAGAAACCCTAGAAGATGCTAACTAGCGCTAGCTACAACATTAATGCTGCAGTGCTAGAAGAGATTAAGAAGTTCTGCTACCTCTGCTAATTATATAAC